AAAGATTCCTTGTAGAGAGACAGAACAAAAGCTAATGCCATTAGTAAGGCACTCCTGTAATTTTATCACAGCTAATGTTCTGCATCTCATCCCAATGCTGCAGAACATTGGCTACCACTGAAGAAAGCCTTTAAGTCATTAAAAGAATGTTCTGATTTTAAAGACCCAATTAACCAGAAATAAGTTAATAAAGGAACCATCGTCACTGAGTGAAGCAGTTATATTCAGCAAGGACAAGATGTCAGAGAAACAGAAAAATAGTGTCTGCTTCTGACTTCACAAAACGGAGATGACAAGGCAAAGGCTGGGAGCTTTCACTTCAATTTTTGACAAACAGCACTTGACGGATCCTAAAGAATTGGCAGGACTCGCTGATGACAAAAGGGAATTAGTATGGGTGCAAGCACCCCGTTGTATTCTGCATTAAGCTCACATGATCACTATGGGTCATACAAGTCAGAGTGGCTTGCTTAAGCTGCAGTGCATGCTGGGTGGCATTTGTCTAATGAAAATTCAATGCGATGGATATAAACTTGCTACACCTGCACTCCTTCCATTCAGCTGGAATAAGCAAGTTGGATGTTTTTTATGCATCTGTTTCAACAAGTAATCATATTCTCCAAGCCAACAATGTTTGTTTAAAGCAAGCCAATTTGATATGTTTTAAACAACTACAGTTAATGTCAGTTGACAAATTGTGACAAGGACCAGCCATCAAATAATTTAAGCTAACACAGATTTCAGCCACACAGGAAGAAAGAGAGTGGAATATGCAAGCCAAATCCCATTTAGGATTTTTTACATTGGTTTAGCACAACATGCAAATCTAGCCAATGGCAGAACATCTCCACTTCATATATATCCTGCAAGGTTTTGCTGTAAATTGGCTGTTTCTCCATCAAAATAATAGATCTGGGTTCTACTGCGGCAGGTACACAACAATTGTCTTTTCCACTATGATATCAAGCAAACTAAGACACTTGGTTTCCCAAAATTTATCTTTTTGCTTTATGTAGGGTTTTAACTGTAACTGAATTTGAGAAACCTAACAAAGCTAGAGCAGATGAAATCATGATCATGATACCCAGAAATACAGTTCGGCTATAGACAAGCTGCTGGCATACTGCACACACTAAAGATGCAATCCTATACATCTTCAGACAGAACAAAAGGCCTTACAACTCCCAGCATGCCTGGGCCATCTATGCTGGCAAAGGGATGCTGGGAGTTTTCAGACTTTTTATTGTCTAAATATGCATAGGACTGCACTTCTAGGATGCGTGAAATCCTACTGAATCCAGTGGTATTTAATAACCCATAAGAAGGTATATGGTCATAGCAAACACTCTCTTCCAACAACCCAAGAGATGACTCTACACATGGACATCACCAGATGGTCAACACAGAAATCAGATTGACTATGTGCTCTGCAGCCAAAGATGGAGAAGCTCTATACAGTCAGTAAAACCTAGACCAGGAGCTGACTGGCTCAGATCATGAACTTCTTGTTGCAAAATTTAGGCTTAAGTTGAAGAAAGTAGGGAAAAGCACAAGGCCACTCAGGTATGACCTGAATCATATCCCTGATGAAAATACAGTAGAGGTGACAAATAGATTTAAGGAATTAGATCTGATAGACAGAGTGCCTGAAGAACTATGGATGGAGGTTCGTAACACTGTACAAGAAGTAGCCACTAAAACCATCCCAAAGAAAAAGAAATGCAAGAAAGCAAAATGGCTGTCTGAGAAAGCTTTACAAATAGCTGAGGAAAGAAGGGAAGCGAAAGGCAAGGGAGGAAGAAAAAGATACACCCAATTGAATGCAAAATTCCAGAGAATAGCTGGAAGAAATAAGAATGCCTTCTTAAATGAACAGTGCAAAGAAATAGAAGAAAACAATAGAATAGGGAGGACCAGAGATCTCTTCAAGAAAATTGGAGATATGAAGGAAATATTTCATGCAAAGATGGGCATGATAAAGGACCAAAATGGCAGGGACGTAACAGAGGCAGAAGAGATTAAGAAGAGGTGGCAAGATTACACAGAACTATACAAGGAAGAGCTTAACCTCCCTGACAACCACGATGGGGTGGTCACTGACCTCGAGCCAGACATCCTGGAATGTGAAGTCAAATGGGCCTTAGGAAGTCTGAGCAACAACAAAGCTAGTGAAGGCGACATTATTCCAGCTAAGCTATTCAAAATCTTAAAAGACGATGCAGTAAAAGTGCTACACTCAATATGCCAGCAAATTTGGAAAACTCAACAGTGGCCACAGGATTGGAAAAGGTCAGTTTACATTCCTATCCCAAAAAGGGGCAATGCCAAAGAATATTCAAACTACCGCACCATTGCACATTTCACATGCTAGCAAAGTTATGTTCAAACTCCTACAAGCTAGGCTCCAGCAGTATGTGGACCGAGAACTACCAGAAGTACAGGCAGGATTTCGAAGAGGGAAAGGAACTAGAGATCAAATTGCCAACATATGCTGGATCATGGAGAAAGCTAGGGAGTTCCAGAAAAACATCTACTTCTGCTTCATTGACTATGCTAAAGTCTTTGATTGTGTGGATCACAACAAATTGTGGCAAGTTCTCAAAGAGATGGGAGTACCAGACCATCTTATTTGTCTCTTGAGAAACCTATATGCGGGTCAAGAAGCAACAGTGAGAACTGGACACAGAACCACTGATTGGTTCAAAATTGAGAAAGGAGTTCGGCAAGGCTGTATACTGTCACCCTGCCTATTTAACTTATATGCAGAGCGCATCATGAGAAAGGCTGGGCTAGATGAATCACAAGTTGGAATTAAGATTCCTGGGAGAAATATCAACCACCTCAGATATGCAGATGATACCACTCTAATGGCAGAAAGTGAAGAGGAACGAAAGAGCCTCTTGATGTGGGTGAAGGAGGAGAGAGCAAAAGTTGGCTTGAAACTCAACATTAAGAAAACTAAGATCATGGCATCCGGTCCTCTCACTTTCTGGCAAATAAATGGGGAAGAAATGGAGGTAGTGACAGATTTTCCTGGGCTCCAAGATCACCGCAGATGGGGACTGCAGCCAAGAAATTAAAAGACGCTTGCTCCTTGGGAGGAAAGCTATGGCAAATCTAGACAACATACTAAAAAGCAGAGACATCACCCTGCCAACAAAAGTGCGTATAGTCAAGGCTATGGTATTCCCAGTTGCAATGTATGGCTGTGAAAGCTGGACCATAAGGAAGGCTGAGCGAAAAAAGGACTGAGGCCTTTGAATTGTGGTGCTGGAGGAGACTCCTGAGAGTTCCTTGGACCGCAAGGCGATCAAACCGGTCAGTCCTAGAGGAGTCAACCCTGACTGCTCTTTAGAAGGCCAGATACTGAAGATGAAACTCAAATACTTTGGCCACCTAATGAGAAGGAAGACTCCCTGGAGAAGAGCCTAATCCTGGGAACAATAGATGGCAAAAGAAGAAGGGGACGGCAGAGGATGAGGTGGCTAGATGGAGACACTGAAGCAGTTGGTGTGAGCTTAGGTGGACTCCGGGGGATGGTGGAGGACAGAAAGGCCTGGAGGAATGTTGTCCATGGGGTCGCGATGGGTTGGACACGACTTTGTGACTAACAACAACAATAAAGAAAGCATATAGCTATACTGGCAGATTTCCAATGAGACTTAGGACTGATCTAACACAATGTGGATCCAACCCTGAAAATTATTTAAGAAATACAATTTCCTTTAATGCAAGGTATTATTTTTTAAATAAATGTTATCTTGTTCAATTGCAGTCTTAACTTTACCAAGACAGGAATTGGTCCAATTTACGTGTAACACTGCCTGTATCTCACAAAACATTGTATCAAATTGTTTGATGCTAAAGTTGTGTTTGATGTGGGTAAAGCAAGATGACACTTAAGACACTCCAAGTACTAGTTCAAATGTTGATATACCCTTTTTCAGAATGACACTCCCCCCTGCCCCGCCGTGGCAAAATATAAGAACTCTTTTAACTGTGGTTTCAACTAAATATTTCAACATAGACACTAAGAAATGTAAAGATGCTCAGGTTATAATAAAAGGATATTCACCAAGGAAGAAGCATTACTGTTGGAATGAATATGTGCGGGTAAAAAGATGATTAATCAACATATACTGATGTCTGAATAACTTCCAAATCTTTATCGGAAAAGAATCCCTATTAGCTAAGTTAGTCATCAATGAATGGAAGAGGCACAAAGGCCAAAGCTCTTGGAAGTTCTTTCTTGCAGACTAGAAGCAATAATTCCATTTGCCAAAAGATACCTTTAAGTTATAAGCACCAAGACTCACAAAATAGTTTGACCAGCCAGAAAGTATTCAAAGTACTGCTATGATAAACATCTAGAACACACAGCACACAAAGGAATGATTTTTAATGGACTGTAAGCCTCTGTACTTGACTTGTTGTATAAACTTTTGTCTTTTATATAGTGCTTAGCAGGTAAGAGCACACACAACACATTAAACTATGATGATACACTCACATATGGGGACTTTAAGAAAACAAAGATTAGATACATGTTGACAGTTTTCAATGTCTATAATCAGGCATTAGACTAGATGAGCCATTGTCCCTCTAGTATCTTGCTACTGTGATAGTTCAGTACGTTACTGAAGGTCATCAACTTTAGTGGAAGCCAGTTAATAGTATTTCTGTTGGATGGCTTGGTCATCTTAAAATGTAACAGGTAACCAACATTTAATAGATGCAGCCTAATGATTTACACCTCTGCATCTTCATTCATCATACTGGTATCCTTGGAATACCAGACAGAGATAGATCCAGTAAACTCTCACATCGCTTCCCCTGCCAGCCTCACCCCATTATCACCATCCACAAAATATTACCAAAAAAAATCCACAGATCACACTAGTAAAGCTAAATGAAGAATGTGGTAACTCTCACATTTATCCTTGGGACTACAGACAGGGACTACCAGTACAGTATCTCAGTGGGGGAGAAAACTGCTCTACCTGGTCGAGGTTCTACAGTCCTATTTGCACCTTCATCCATAAAGACAAACCTTCCACCACCAAAGTCTTCTGTGTACTCGGAGAGGTAAAGCAGTGATGTGTAGTCAAAGGAACCATATGTCACCTAGGAAGAAAACAAGATAAAGTATCTAATTCCACAAGAGCTCAGTTTAAGCACTATATAAACCTGAAGACTTTTAAATTTAGGTTCCTCCCCTTTTTTGCTATGATATGTTAAGTGTGATTGTAATACCATATTAGCTTTGTTTTCCTGAGAACAGCCTTGCCTAACTCTGTCAGAACACATTTCTCAGCAGACATCAAGAACTCATTTGACATGTAGATGAAGTACTAAAAGGCTATGCGCCCCCTGTAAACATAAATATTGCTTCAGCTGAAGAAGGTCCTCAAATAAGTCAAGCCTTTAGCCAAAACTCCTGCACTATGTGGGATTTGTTCCAACTGCACAATATTAAACATCCATTTAAAAGTGTTTTTGAAGATCCAACGCCAAATGAGAAAAGCCTATGGGAACTATTTTAATTGTTCAGATTCTCTTGAAAATGGCTTGTTTGGCTTATATCATGGATCACAGGGGTCAGCAGTGAGTGGCCCTTGGGCCAATTCTAGTGCTTGAGGACTGCTATATGGATTCCTGCTTCAGGATGCAGTCTCCAGGGCTGGAAGAAAGAGGCAAATTTACTATCCTCTGTTAGCAACTAAGCTTAAATTGGTGTTTGACTTAGCATATGGGAAACTTAACAATTACAATTTAAAAACTGAACACCATTCTTCTGGGCAATCTCAGTGCCTGATAGCATTCAATGGCCTTGTGTTTCTTATAAGAAATATCAGAGAAAATAGAGGGACAGTTTTCTGAGAAGACAGAAGAGAAACAAAAGAGTATGGACTAGAGAGAGAAAAGCTATGGGAAGAAAGGAGACAGTTCAAGTAACTAGGAGACAAAAAGGAACTAATTCCATCTTCTCATGTGATCAGCCACATTCACATAGTTAGGTGCAGCCCACGACCATACCAAGAAACTTGGGTATGCAGCTCTCTCTTAACTGGTAGAATAGTTAAAGGAAATCACAAAGACTACTTAGTTATGGTTTCTATTATGGGGGTCAAGCAGGTCAACAGCCAAATTAATACTACTGCCCATAATGAAAATACAACCCCCCCCCACCTAATTAAAAGTAAAACATTAATCCTAGCGATGCTAAATGTAGAACAATGTATAGTTTCATGGGGTTGGGGTTAGAATATCCTTTAGTGACATTCATTTACTGTGCTATTCAAGTGTTATACTTTTAGCCTCATTCTTAAATCTACTGATTACTAAGGGGTTTTTTTATTCTTTTATTTTTATCTTTTCAGCATCACTAACAATGGGTTTGATTAGATAAGTAAGTTTTTTTCACTTGAGGAAGATTTACTAACTGTAATAAAATGGGCAAACTATAGTCACAATTATTTTATTTATTAGATTTATATTCCTCCTTTTTTCAGACAAAGTGGCTTAGATCTTTCTCCTCCTGCTGCTCTCAATCTTATCCCCACAAAAGCTACCCTAGGAAAGAGCTTGGGCTGAGAGTCCATGACTGGCCTGAAGTCACCCAGTGGGCTCCATGGCCGAGCAAGGACTAGAACCCGGACTGCCTGAGTCCCAGTCCCACTCTGTTAACCACTACACCACACTGGCTCTATGTTAATTACGGTGGTCATCATCATCACCCTCAAGGCTGCTGGTATCAATGCTGTCCACTGTGCCAGTCACCTGGCTACCCCCTGGGGAGAGACGCTACCATGAATTTGCATCACCAGTTCCCTGTGGCAAGCAGTTAGCTTCTGAACTGGGGGAGATGCTGTTTTTTAGAGCTGGCTGGCTAAACCCTGTGGTTTGGTCATACAACTGACTAGCGTAATTCTGCATAGGTAAAGGTAAAGATAAAGGTTTCCCCTTGACATTAAAGTCCAGACATGCCTGACTCTAGGGGGCGGTGCTCATCTCTGTTTCCTAGCCGAGAGAGCCAGCGTTTGTCCGCAGACAGTCTCCGTGCTCATGGGGCCGGCATGGCTAAACACCGAAGTGCACGGAACGCTGTTACCTGCCCACCGAAGTGGTACCTTTTTATCTACTTGCATTTGCATGCTTTCGAACTGCAAGGTTGGCAGGAGCTGGGACGGAGCAACAGGAACTCACCCCATTGTGAAGATTCGAACTGGAGACTTTTCAGTCAACCAGCCCAGCAACACAGCAGTTTAAACCACTGCACCACCTGCATCCTATTACTATTAAATGATTCTTAAAGCAAACTTGAAACCATCCCAGGCAAGAAAAGCCAACCATTGTCCCATTTGAAATTGCCCCTTTCAAATCCTCTGCACTATTTTTCCTGTAGAACATGGTTGGCAACCAGTTCTTTATGTTTTTACAATACTGTTTTACTCTTCAATGTAGCAGAGCACATCAAATATATTAATAAGCAAACAACACGTTTCCCTTAGAAATTGATTTTTGTTCCAGTATAGGTCACAGTATCATATTTCATATATGAAATGACCTTTAAAATATGACTAAGAATAAATTCTATTAATTTGCTAGAGCCTCAAAGAAACTAACTAGAATCTGACGTTCACTGTATGTTGAAATTTAGAATTCTGTACTAAGGAAATGCAAACACTTTAAATTTTCTAAAAAGCAAAACAAATGAATGAAAATCTGCTTTCTGATATATAACTGTAAATAATTTTGAACGTGAAAATGTTAAGAGATTCATGAAAGAACCTCAAATGCATACTGGTAGTGCCAGGCCTATTTCAAAACAAAACCATGTACATAATTCCAATTTCTCTACAAAGGAACAAATTAAGGAAGAGGATAAGGTGAAACAGACAATTCCAAGTGAAAGCAAAAAGGCAGAAGATCCTAGTCACTTAACACCACTTCTACTGCATTCTCCAAACAATCTTGTGTCCATCCCTCCTTCCCAAAGAACCAATATACTGCAAAGGTTCAAGAGCTAGGTCTGAAGATGGAAACACCCATACTTAGGTGCTTATGGACTCAAGAGATGGGTGAATCAGTCTCTCAATCTTACCTGAGGACATGAGGATTTGGAGAACTTTACCAGTTGCTCCCTGCTGTAGTCCTGATCCCGACTGGGGACCCCAAGCCTGATATTTTCATTGGAAGGAAAGTTCAATAATTTAAACATTTTTCCTTCCACTGCCAACAAGAGTTGCAAAAGAAGCAGCAACCCAGTTTAGGATTACAGTGAGGGGCAAAGGATTAAATCCCACTATTTGGAAGGGTCAGGGAAGCTGCAATCCTAAACAGTAAAGTCACAATTAAGGCCCAATGAATGCAATAAACTTGAGTTAATCACAACTATGCTAAATCACATTAACTTCAATGGGATTAAGCATTGATTAACCTCCTTCACTTAACAACTCTGGAATGAATGCCAAGAACTCAGAGAAACATACTTCTAAGTAAATGCACTCAAACTTGTACTGTAAGTATCTTTGGACAGCAGTTGTAGAAAAGTGCAATTTTGTTGTGGTTGTGTGACAAGGCTGACACTTGTGAAAGTTGTGATCACTGTGCTTTTTTAGCATTTCATTCTATTTTGCAATACCTATGTTTGTCCATTGTTTGGATTAAAAACAAAACCCACCCAAGCAGCATTAAAACAGATCTGTTCATTTTCTCTGCAATGGCTGACAAGGTATTGGCACAGTCAGATGGAAAGGAAAGTTTAAGTATGATCATTTTGTTTTGACAAAATACCATCAAGGATAAGCCTGCAAAAGGCACACCACAGAAATAAGATCTGCAGCTAAAATTAAGTGAGGTGTCAGGTAAAAGCTAACTTGAAGATATGTGGGGAGGCTTTCCATAAATCAGTACCTGCTTTTGGGATTATTTTACCACACTATTTCCTGGAGCAAAAGGCAGATATCTTGTAAAAACCAGGAAAGTAAGTAGGAGACGTATTTTCTGTCTAGTGTTCAATGGACAAGGGAAAATGTCATAATAACGTTCATTCAGAAACTGAAAAAAACCCTACATTCTATACTCTCTAAAATGGTAGGATTGCCCATTATAGCTATTTTGCTCAAAAGCTATTTTCAAGTTGCAGTAAGGCTATTTTCTTATAAAATGAAACAGAATTCAAGAGAGAGAGGAAAAGCAGCCTTTGTAGAAATACTTTTTACCATTTGAAAGGATTCCACACAGTTTGAGATCTTATTTTCAGAATGTTCTTTACATACAATTGTGAAATAAAACCCCAATAAAATCTGTCACAGATGCAAAAGTTTATAAACACTAGTATTATTCAAGCAAGGAGTGACATTTTGGGAATGCTTACAGCAGGATGCATTTTACTTAAACGGATCTAGCTATAAACATTTCTTGCAGATGAATTATCTTTTCCTGGAAATGCATTTTTGTAATTTTTACATAAGTATACAGTAGCTTAGTTATTGGCTTATCTCTCAGCTTCTGCTTTGACTTCTTTACTTGCTTTTTTTTTTTTTTTTTACAACCACCACAGATTGCCAACTATGGTAAGCCTGAGTGGCAAAGGCATAGAGCCAAAAAAAAAAAAAGTCTTCTCCAAAACCCCCATCTAATAACAGCTGTTCATGTAATAACCTCAGTGAAGGGGTTCCCTACTAAAAGTAACCCTTGTAATACCTCAGGAGAGATTTGCTGCTGAATTTTGGTGGCAATATGCCAGTTCTTTTCCCACTGCCCCAAGGACTGAAATCAACAGCTGGGGATGTGGATCATAAAGCTGCACCAAAGAGACCTCCTGCAATTGTCTATCCCTGCTCTACTTGAAGACCAGATACTTAGAGGAAAAAATGGTAACAGTCTTTTGGAATCCCGCTTACCTTGTCAATATGTGGATGCCAATATTCATCATGGGTTGTCTTGGCTTCTGAGTTGTTTATTCTGGAGAAGAATGTGGGCTTTGTCAAATACATGGAAGAGGAACTGATACCAAAAGCAAGGGCTATTTTTTGTTGAATTCTTTGCCTCACATCACTGCAAAGAAAAAAACAGCATTTTAACAAAGCTGGACACCATACAAGAACGCTCACTTAAACGCTCCCTCTTTATAATAGGTAAAATTTGCATAGTGCTTTATAGAGAACTCAAAGCAATTAATACACATTGTCTCAGGAATCCCAAGGAACTACCTTTCAGTGATGCAATTCACCAGTATTAAGGTACTGCACCCCTCTCCTTTGACAGTTGTTCTGGAAGACTCCCAATTCTCTGGTAAGGATTTGGGGGTACAAGGGAGTGTAGCATGAAAAAAATCTCCTTCCCTTACAATAGTAGACACATTTGTTGCATTAAAAATCATTCTGCTAGCACTGAGTCTCAGCCACAGTGAAATTCTCAGTATTCTAGAAAGAACTAGACAGTTTTACAACTAGAACACCATAACCAACCATATAAAATTTCACTCCTGGGCATGCTTTTTGGCTGTATAAAACCTTTGCTAGCTGCCTGAGAGCTATTCAACAGTAAAACTGGAAGAACCAGTTTCACAGAATGATAGGAGAAAGTAGCAGCACTGATGTGTTTGCATATTAAAGTTTTGAGCAGACTCAAATAAGCTTCCCTTCCCCCTTCATTAGCAGCTGAATAAAAAGCAAGCATATCCTGTAAAAATTCTAGTCTTGATCTGCTTGACTGTGGTCTCCAACGTGGCCTTGTCCTCAACAGTTTCACATGGGGATGGTTGCTCTGAAGGCAGCAGAAACACATTCCCCGAGACACCACGGCAACTGGAAAGAGCAAGGACTGCACCTGGCTTGCTCTCAGCTGCACTGCAGTGTCACCACTGCAGGTGGCCAGACGGCGATGCTGCAACGCCTAGCCCACGGAAGGCACACACAGAGCCCAGAGCATCCCACGGGGCTCTATAAAGCCGCCAACTCCAGCTTGGCACCTCCTGCCTGGGCAATTTGTCACCCAGGAAAAGGAAGCTGCTTCTTCGGCTGCCTGCCTGCCTGCCTATCTGCTTTGCCATCTGCTCAGTCACTTTGTGGCTCTCCTTTGGTCTCCAGGTTAGCAGACCTGACAGTGAGTGTGGCAATTCACCTGTGTGATGACATATATTCCTTCTGCACTGTCCAAGTGTGAAGAAGGATTCTATCAGTACATTAAAATTACAACATGTTGAAAAGCCTAGGTTGCAGGGTCTGTCTCCTAGGAGAAAGGATCCTAATTCCTGTTTCTGGGATAGCATGGCACCTTGCAAACCAAAGCAGAGTTCAATATGGAGTTTATGGAGTCATATGGAGTTTTAATGAATGAAGCTCAGCAAGGCTCTGGACCTGATTATCTTGGAAACTGCCTCTCCACAGAAAGCAGAAGAGCCGTAGCTGACACAGTCTTAAAAGTCTATTCAGAAGTTTCATTTAGGAAGGCTATTTTCGCTGTGGTGAGTGTATAACTTGGCCATGTATAGCCCTTGCTTTACCTTCATCACAGAATTCTAATTTGATGACCTTCAGAAAAAGTGTAAAAGTTTTTTCTTTTTTTCAGGCCATCTCAGGCTGGTGGCACTTGTCAGGAGAAGATTCTTCAGAATGTGGTTTTGGACAAAGTTGCCTAAGGAAGCAGCAGAATCCAGCAACAATTTCCATGAATTGAGTTGGAAATTAAGACTAAAATGTGAATATTTAACTGCTTCACACAGGCCGTCAAACCACTGGCCTATCTGTTCCATACACGTTCTCAGAACCTTTTCCAAACCGCTTCCAAATACCCTTCAGTTCAGAGAGAAGGAACTTGTAGACCAAAAATCTGGGAAGCCACGACTCCCACCACTCAGTGTGGGTTGTCCATGGAACAACCCCGGCACACAGACCATCAGCCTTACTGTAGGTTGTTCTCCCTTTCTTTCTCCACCACCCTCTTAGCTGTGCAGGAACCCATTTTGCCTTCCTCCCGCCCCGCCTTGATCACAACCCCTTTTGTCGGCTTTGTCCGTCTGTTCTTCCAGGGCTGCATGCCCCCACAGTGGCAGTCAGGCACCGACGTCCACTTGGCGTGGCCATCACTGGCTTGCTGGAAGGAGGTGCCAATATGTGTAATTTCATTCGTAATTCTTGTTTTAATTTATGTTATGTCTTTCACGGATACGCACCAATGAAGGGTCACAATACAGAGCCTTTCTATTCAGTGTTCTGGTAAGTGGCTGTCAAGTGTAACAGGCAACACGGATGGATACTGACCTGGCGAGGCTGCATATGGGTTTGCAGGCACTTAGTTCAGCTGCGTGTCAACTGAAATGCAAAGCAGCAAAGGGGATTTTTCCCTGAAATGAAGTGGTGAGGCTATCTTCTCCTTTCAGGTAGTGATAACATAGTCCTGACTGTTTCCAATCCTTTCCACCTTTTCCACACTTCTGCAAGCCTCCAAAAAGAGGAGATCTACATCCTGCCCCTATTTTGTGAGCACTTTCTTTTGACTGCGCTCAAGGGGTGTGCACTTCTTTCAGTCTAGCAAATCGGAGCGTTCTGGGTGCGGGGCAGGGAAATAGATACAATACACGAAATCACAGATTTCATGTACTTGCCGCCCCTCTTTCAGGGGAAAACATTTCACCGCTTTGCTTCTCAGCTGACACTTGTCAGTCGACAGCTGTCAAGTAGGCACTAGAAATTTATATGCAGCTTCACTTGGTCAATATCCATGGATGGTTGCCTCCCACACTGACTGCAGGCAGGAAGTTGGCCAGGCAAGGCCCCACATTTCAGTTCTTTACACATGCGCACATGAAAAGGACTAGATTATCTTTAAACATCAGGAATGGAACTGTGCGTGTGTGTGCCACTCCCAATCCCAAAAAGGAGTGAGCAAGCCAGGGATGGTTGCTCCAAAGTACCATTTGGGCACTGGAGGACCAGACGTCACTGGGAGCAGCATGGGTAAGATTGCCAAGAGCAGCAAGGTTTTTGTGTGGCTCCTGCTGAGTGACACCCTCCCCAGTCCCCACAACGCACAATGGGACCGGTGCCCTGGAACAATATCCCAACCCACTGTGGGTTCAACAACCTCTACAACAGTCTAGAGGTTGCCAGGGTGGCTAGTTGTCCCCAGACAATCCACCCTATGAAAAGCAGTCTGCATTCAGGCAATATGACAACCCACAGGAGCTAATTACCCATAACCACTTGCCATGTTGTATACACCCAATCACTGCATAATGGAAACCAATGTCTTGAGATGATATCTTAAGATGAAAGCTATTTTATAGCAATCCACAATTCAGATTTATATTTTTCCTGGTTATTCACATTGAAACTATCACCTAGAAATAGCTATATTAGGAGAAGGAAGAGAACATATAGTATAAAACAACCTGGGCTGCAAGCACAACAAAATAATTAATCAATTGGGTTAAAATAATTGAAGTTAAACAAAAAGCATCTGTACTTCCTGCTGCAAGAGACTGCTTTAAATTGCAGCCTTCTTGGCATTATTCCTCTGCAATATAATTCACAGGGCACCAAAGCTATAATTCACTCCCCAAGCAGTTGCCCTTTCAACAATTTAAAATGCACACTCATTGGTTCAGAATGTTAACTCTATTTCACTGTTAGCAAAAGTCTGGAAAGCGTACCAGAGCCTCTCAGTTAGCAGTCACCAAGGTATTTTTTTGACATCTGTTCTTAACAATTTAAGAGAAATGATAAATGTACTCTTCAACATGCCTTGAAGGTAGGAGACACTGGAGCCAAAGCACTGCCATGAGGGAAAACAAATTCAGCAGGAAAAAGCTGAATGTTTTCTCCAGCAGGCACAGGTTCCCCATGCCACACAAGCTCAATGCAGCCCTCCACCTCAGAAGAGAATCTGAGGGTACCACGAAGTGTGTCAAGAGTGAAGTTCACGGCTGGACACAACACAGAAAGCTTCTGTAACCTGAAAAAGACCCTGATCCACCTAACACTAGAGTGTTGACCCTGACTGGCAGTGACTCTCCAGGGTTACAGGAGGGAGTTTTTCCTGCTCCACCTGGAAACACCAGGGATTACACCTGGGGCCTTCTGCAGGCAACGCGTATGCTCTGCCACGGAGCTATCACCCCACCCTACACACAGGCAGTGCGAGTTGACACAGTGATTGAACTGGTGGGTATTTTTTGTGCTCTTTCTCTGCTGTCGGCAGTAATGAGGGAAGAATTGGTGCTCAAAGGCTACTGGCGTCTTCTAAATACATTAGGACTGACTTCAGGAACTCGTGCTTTCTCCCCACAAGTTCTTCTTACCCAGCAGCAAACTAACACCCACTCTTCTCTGTACAATAGACCATAAGAAGCATTGACTCTGTTCTCCTGAGATTCAATAACTGACAACTGCAGGCTAAATTAAACAGTGCTGCCATATATACATATAAGTCACAAGGTTTAGCAAGAGGCAACTTGTAGATACAGATCAGTTGAATGGTTTCAGTATTTCATCCCTGGATGGAACAGTGCTAGTAAGCATAGAACGTCGAGGTGAGGATACCTTTGTATAAGGTACACTGGTGAGCTCACACTTGGAGTATGGTATCTGGTTTCAATCACATATATTCAAGCAGTTCATACATATGAAGGGAACTAGGATGAATAAAGGAGTGAGGAACTTGAAAGATTTGAACAGCTTAACCCACCTTGTTTGGGAAAAACACAATCTGGATGCATGAAGACTTTCTACAGATATACAGATAATAATAAAAGAGAGGGAGTGGACATTAAAAGGACCTCTGGCTGCAAGACTATATTAGATTTCAGTTAAAACTTACAAGATAATACTGAACTACTAGAGTGGTCTGATTCTGGAATAACTCCCTCAAATAGCAGTGGGTGTAAAGGACCTTGCTGGGCTGAATAACTACAAGAGCTATGTTGTACAATTGCTTTGATGGACATCTAAAGCAAGAAGAGACATAACGCAATCACAATCAACTGGTCAAATGCAAGACCATGTCAGGCAGAGCCTGACTTGGTCCTGCCTGTCCTCCTCCGAGCAAGGACTGGTAGAAACAGGGACTGAAAATTCCTCCAATAAATCTGCCTATGGGACTTGTTTCTTGGTTGGTTCTGTTTATAAGGGTTTTTTGTAGGAAAACCCTGCATATTATGGCTAGATTTCCTAGCCACAAGAACAAATGACTTTTTAAAGAACTCTGGGTAATTGTAAGCATGTGCATGCTTGCTGCCTGACCCAGCTGCAAGTGGGAGATGCTAAGCAACCCATGGGCACATTTCTTCTGGATTGGTTGTCATAATGTGTGAATCAGAAACTCTCGCTTGTTTCTCCCCACAACAAACTAGATGAATAACCCAATTGGTGGGGAAGCTAGTGACCTGAATGGAAAATGAGTGGACCAACCCTGCATCAGACCTGCGGTGTCAAACCAGCCAGCAGCAGCAGCAGCAGAGAGAGAGGGAGCAACCAGAGGACGCTGACACTCCCAAAGACCAACACTAGCTGTTTTGTGTGTGCAAAGCTGGCTTACCTCCTGTAGTGCACCATGGATAGCACCCAAGTGTGAAGCATAGAGCTAGCAATCTCAGGCAGCCAAAATACTTTGTATTAGCACTGTAGACTTCCTGGCTAATTGCACCATTGACATATGAAACAATCAACCAACCAACCAACCCATTTTGCAGTTGGGTATAATGGAGGGGAGACAGTGTGTGGTGTAGTGGTTAAGAGCCTGGGACTGGGACTCAGGCGACCTGGGTTCTAGTCCCCGCTCAGCCATGGAGCCAACTGGGTGACTCTGGGCCAGTCACAGACTCTCAGCCCAACCTGCCTCACAGGGTTGTTGTTGTGGGGATAAGATGGAGGAAGAGATGTAAGCTGCCTTGAGCCCTTTGTAGGAAAAAGGCAGGATATAAATAAAAAAATAAATAAATAAAATAAATAATAAAACTGCATCTGAATACTGACAACCAGTTCCGGTCTACTTTATTCAGAAATAAGCCCTGCTGATTTCTACCGAGTAAAGCTGGCTTCATTTGAATGTGCACTGCTCATTTGCAAATGGGGTGGGAGAAGAAAGGGACTTCCAAATACTACCCTCATTTGAACATCTTGCGAAGCTGAGTGCAGTGCTTTTTGCTCAAGGGAACAGCAACGGACAGGATGACTCACAAGTGGGGGCAGAGACTCTACAGAAACTCAGATGGAAATAGATTATCAATGCAGGAAGGTCACTCCAGTAAACTGCTCATCATGGGATACAGCAAGTAGCTACAACTGTCTCCATGACTCAGCTGCGGCTGTGCTACTAGCTCTGTCCCTAAGCCGGCATCTCCCAACAAGATCTGGCCGATGCATGTTTCAAGGTTCTAGCACAAAAGGTCTGCATGACTGCAGTTACGCCAAGAATAGCTTCCCCTTGCCCACATGCGATCTTGGGCCTTCCCCCTGCATTTCTTCTGGGGCTGTCAAGATCTTTCACAACCAAACAGGATGCTGAACAAAACGGCTACACTTGGGGTGTCTTCATGAATGGGTTTTGCTCATGCAAGAACCGAGTGGCTGTTATTGGTGGGACTGGGAGGTTTGGTGAAGTTTTTGCCAGTGCTGAACAGGCAGCAAGCCTAGTGGTTTTTGCCTTCCCTCCTGCTCCTTGTCATATGGTTCATTTGAGCATGTCATGTTTAGGTCTCTGCCCGGTAAATACACTTCTGCAGTGCACCCATGTTCTGCCTGTGGCACACTGTGATCTGGATTGCAGAGGTTAATGGGTATATGACCTTTGGTTTAATTGAAGTTGGGCTGCCAATTTCCATTAAAAGCAATGAATGCCACGGGTTTCCTTTTCCTACACTATTAGTTTGTTGGACTGCTAATGTTCTAAATTTTCAGTGATGCAAACTAAAGGACGTTGGTTTGCCATGTAACAGCTAATATGCCCTTTCAGCAGCTCAAACATCATACTCTATTAAAACACACATTTTTTTCAGATGCATTTATAAATTGCCTACACCAGCTTTCCCCAACCTGCTGCCCTCCAAATTTATTGGACTACAGCCCCCCAAATTACTCTGCCAAGCCAATCTACTAGTATTTCTTCAATATGAAGAAAATGCTAGAAAAGGTTTGAATAAGTAGCTTTTTTTCTTACCGATATAACTGAAAATCCTCTTTTGTGAAGGTATCGTGAATTTTATCACCAAAATATCTGGGGGAAAACAAGCCAAAGACCAAACCAAATCAGAGTCTATGCATGATAACTCTTTGCACCAGCTAGCTGCTTATATTTCCTTTGCAAAAAAGTTTACTCAAACTACACCTCTTAATATGCAATATTTCAAAACTTCTGGGTATCCCAGTGGGATAGTTAAGAATAGTAAGCAAGAGCAGCTCTGACAAATTAAAAGATGCCATGGAAAAACAATCACTTTTTTAGAAAACAAAAACAAACAGGGCACATATTAGCTTACTTTCTCCATCATAGATAATGCTATGTTTCTAAGCTGTGCTAGAACCAACTCTTAAACAGTTCAGCTATAAGGACAGTAACACCATATTGGTCTCTTAAGGGCCCAACTTAAAAACACTTGCTAATAGTCTTTTTCAGAAGCAGGGAAACTGCTGAAAATTCCCTCTATTTCCTTCAGAGTCTAGCTTGTTTCTTTTTACAAATGCTGAACATATGCTGAGAAGCTAAAAGTACTAAAATCAGCAGTACCAAGGGTACAGAGATAAAGATGCTACCCTACATTACCTGTACATGTTAACAAAATGCTTCCCCAAGGAAAGAGCTCCAGAGTGTAAGTCCAAAATTGAAGCCTGGAATGGAAGAAACACACACACGGAAAACAATCAGTAAAATGAAGGAGAGTATTTAGCCTTTTTCATACAGGAAGCTAGATCCCTGTTCTGTGTGGTCTTGGATACTTGTTTTGTTTTAAATTCGCAAAGGTTATAAACATCTCCCATGCAAGTCAAGAATCCAGGTAAGGCAAAATTTCACCAGCATTATTTTCTTCCAAAATCATTTGTGCTCATAAGTTCCAGGACTTGGCATGCAAGCAGACAAAGAGTATTCGTGTCATGATTTGCCTATGTTAACTTTATACAGTTCTAATGCCATGTACCTCCCTCACCACACACACACACACACACACACACACTCATACTAAATCTGAGAGGGGAGAAGTTAATGAACATTCAAGAGTAAGAGTTTGTTTCAAAGCTCTACTAGAGAAAAGCTGTTGGGCTTTTTCTTTCAAACTTTAAACAGATAGTTTAAAGATACATATTACCCTGTGTGATTTAACCTGTTTCCCACTTCTAACTTTCTAGCAGGTGAACAAGTACCTTCTCTGCTTTTTAAAACAGCACAACTTGCAAATGCTGCAAGTGGAGAAAGATCAGTACCCTATTCATCAAAAAGGGAGTTAACAGGAATGCCCAGGGAGAAAAAGAGAAAGGCCACAGATTGGAAAAACTATCTGCATTAAATAGCCTTCAAGTATAGATGATTGCTATGAAAATGGACTTGAAAAAGAGAGAACTGGCTAGAAATGCCTAATGCCACTTAGCATATGCTAAGTGGACCACAAGAAAGATCGGGGGTCTTTTTGTTAAGTGTCCTTGCTGCAAAGAAGCAAATCAGAAGTTAATTTTGCAAAAAGCCATCCCACAGAAGATACTTTTCAAGACCGTGCTGTATTCCTCAGAAATGTTGACTACAGATACTCATGGCAACTGCAAATCATAAAGGCCTCCATTTTTTTTTTTAATCAACAAGGTTGAATTGCCACTACTACTTAAGGCTAAAGCCATTTTGAAAAGTGTGACCACTGGGACTTCCAACTTCTTGCACTGCAATGGTGTATTCTCCTTCCATATGCCATTCAGAACCTCTCATTTGGTGTTCATATGTAACTACCTTCCACTAAGCATGGGGATAGGCAACCTGCATCCTTCAAATATTTTGGACTAAAACAATTAGAATTCCTGGTTGTTGCCCATGTGACTGGTGCTGATGGGAGTTGTAGTCTAATACAATGAAGGGTGCTAGGTTGCTTACCTCTGCTCCAGGAGATGGATATGGTTGTCAGGGAATGTCCAAATTCAACTCTATGGCAACCCTCCATGGTGACACCAAGGAGTAATACAACAATCTGGAGTAGCCAGGCTTAAGAATGCAAAGACTACACAATGTTGGAAGGTAAGGCACACTGGAAGAAAATGCAGAGCTTCATGGATCTTGCTTTGGTTCTTATCCTTTGTTCACTGCAGTAAAGCCCTTACTGGATGATTCAGATGCTGACTCGTCCATAACACTCAGGGGAATAAAAAAGGCTCATTCATTTTGTTTTAGAAGCACCAGCAATAGTATTCTCCCATATAACCTTGATTACAATACATAAGCACCTGTCCAAGACTGCTTCGAAAGGCACAGAAAGGGCAAGCAGATGCAAACACATAATTCCATCATTTAAGTGAAGCTTTTGGCCTCTACAGAAGGAAGCAGAAGATGCATGAGGAGTTAGAAACAATTTGTAGGTCAGGAAAGGCATTTAGTTTGTCCTTTCACTTCTCAGAGGTAGAAAAAATGGTGGATAACATCAATTTAAAAAAGTGGAAAGACTACAGAGCCATATACATATGTGTGCTGTACCAACTGAGTATGATCAATCAAAATGTATCACAGGCAACAGCCCACAAATTTAAAAAAAACCAACAAAACCTCACAGAACACCAGAATCTGGAAACAAGCCGAATCTATATATAAAATATACACAATGGTATAGTGTTCCAATAATCACACAAAGGCATATAATGGTATTAGCATCTAAGAAAGACAAAGCGGCTTCTGACTGCAGGGAGATGTAATCCACAAGGAAGCAGGTAATAAATATATGCCTGTCAGTCACTATCATGACAGCAATGAACAACTCCTCTCCAATAAGCAGGACTCCTGCTTGATTGGGAAACACTCTGCCCAGTGCAGACGATGCACCTTTGCCTGCTCCATAGTTTTGCTGACAAATGGCTTTCCAGCAGGGTGGATAAAAGTCAAAGATTTTTTAAAAATAAAAAAGGCTTTTAAAAATTTAAATTGGATTTTTTAAAATAAAATGCTTTTTGAGGAAAAATCTATCTAAAGATAGTTTTCCATCTAAGATACATTTAAATCCAAAGATTATTCATCATGAAATAAGAATTAGTTTGTAATTACCTAGCTTGCAATGTGAAAATTTTTTGGTAAATGAATTCCATTAATCCATTCACAATGTCATGCTCTTCCAGAGGTTTCTGTAAGATTATTTGGCAATTTTTCTATCTAGAATATGTTATCACAGATGTCTGGCTTTACAGTTCTTAAAACTGTGATTTTGTGTCTGCAGAGATCACATGCCTTTTTCACAGCAAAAATGTTAGAAAGCAAACATACAGAGCCGAGAAAAAGATGTTAAGCCTATTGTTCTTTTGCAAATCTATGTACACAGAATCAACCCCTTACCTCTTAAGCGCTACTTTCAAAAAATTCAATGAAGAGAGGAAGATTGTTTTGAGTGGAATAGTCCTGCAGGAGAAGCTAAGTGGGAGGAGGGAGGGACAAGCAGTAAAAATGAAAATGAAACCTTTTGAGCAGAATGCTCCACAGGTCTTTGGATCTTTTTGTGTATAGCCTGAGGTTTATCATAATATTCTGTCCATGGAGGAGAAAACCTGTAAGGACAGGAAGTCATCAAAGAGACCCAATATGGGAATATTTTTAAAAAGTTCCTCTACCTACAGGTAAGCCAGGCATGTGTGCAAATTATGCATGCCACACAACATTCTGATAACCAAATTAGCAAAAACTGGGCTAGATGGAAAAACTATTAGGTGGATCCAAAATTGGCTGCTAAATCGGACACAAAGAGTGCTCATCAATGGCCCCTTCTCAAATTGGATGGAGGTAACTAGTGGAGTGCCTCAGGGCTCAGTCCTGGGCGCAGTGCTCTTCAACATCTTTGTGAATGTTCTAGATGAGGAAATACAAGGAAAGATAATCAAATCTGCAAATGATACAAAACAGGGTGGAATAGCAAACACCCTAAAAGACAGAATGAAGATCCAGGGTGATCTTGATAAACATGATAAAAAGAAAGATGCAGAAAAATTAGAAAGGGTCCAGAGGAGGGCAACAAAAATGATCCCAGATTTGGAAACACTGCCCTCTGAGGAGAGACTGAGAGAACTGGGCATGCTCAGCCTTGAGAAGAGAAGACTGAGGGAGGACATGGTGTCACTCTATAAGTACCTCAAAGAAAGTCACAAAGAGGAAGGTCAAGATCTCTCCTTGCTGATGCCAGAGTGTAGGACACGGAATAATCAGTTCAAGTTGCAACAACCAAGATTCAGGCTGGACATCAGGAAAAGCTTCCTCAATGCCCGAGCAATACGACAGTGGATCCACCTGCCTAGAGAGGTGGTCGGCTCTCTCTCACTAGAGACATTAAAAAAGAAACCAGACAGCCTACCTGGTGTCCTACAACAGCAGGGGGTTGGACCTGATGGCTTTCGTGGCCCCTTCCAACTCTACTATTCCATGATTTTATGATTTAAATCAAATCCACCCTGCTTCCAGCCTCTGCTTAAACACTTTCAAGGAAGGATGGTCTACCGTCTCCTGAGCCAGTCTGCTCCTCTGCTGAAGAGTTCTCACTGTTACCAAGTTTTCCCTAACGTTTGGCCAAAATCTACTTCCCTCCAGTTTCTACATTCACTCCTAGTCCAGTGCCGTGGAGCAACGAATAACAAGTCTGCTGCATCATCTGCATAGAAGCACATCAGATATCTGAAGGCTGCTATCATGTTTCTCCTTAATCTGCTTTTCTCCAGGTTAAAACATACCCAGATCTTTCAACTGTTCCTCATTATCCCGCTCGTTCTTCTCCGTCAATGTACTTTTTAAAATGGAGTGTCCACAACTAGACACAGTAGCCCAAATGCAATCGGACAAACAAATAACAGAGCAGACTTTTTTATGATCTGAAAAATGCACTCCAGTTAAGGCAGCTCAAGAGTTGGATTAGCTTTCTCAGGTGCTGCATCAAACTCTTGGCTAATATTCAGCTTGTGACCCCATTAAGATACCTAGGTTCTTTTCACATGCACAGCTGCCAAGCCAGGTCTCCGTCATCCTATGTTGATGTCTTTGATTTTTTTCCTTCCTAAATGCAAGGTCTCAAAATTATCCCTCTGAAGCTCTTGTTAGATTGGATCCAGTATTCCAGTCTGTCAAGACCTTTTGACTCTTATTTGCTGTTATTGGCTATTCCTCCTGGCAGCTTGTCATCTGAAGATTCAGCATACAGCCCCTTCAAGTAGAGTTCTGTAGAGTCTCATATGTTAGCCCTGCTTTAAGAGTTAAATCAAACATCACTGGGCTGACAGTATTAAAGCCAGAGTTCTAGAAATTCCAAATTGGTCATCAATGTTTCAGCTTAAATATTAAATACATCCCACATATCAAATTGACACAGTGGCCCATCTAGATTATCTTCAAGGCATGGGAATTATTTATTATTATTATTATTATTATTATTATTATTATTATTATTATTATTATTTCCTATTATCACCCCAAGGTTGTTTTCCATTTAATATGTTCTGCGCTCTAGTTGCTATCTTTATCCTTAAGCTCCTGCTTTATATGTGGCTCTAGACCTACCCCATGTTCTCTATCCTACCTACCTCTCACAAACACTTCTCTGTAGCTTCTAAAATAAACACTGCATATTGAATTCCAACTAATGTGTTGTTAGCTGCTGGCTTCTGAGCACTGTGAAATGTTTCTCCAATTTAGACCCTGACACTATAAACTTGTACACCCTATTGAATCTCACAGCCTATGGAATGAATGCAAGATCACTGCAGCTCAGACCTAAAGTAAGGGATCACAGTTAATCTTGGTTAAAAAGATATTGAAGAGGAGCACCTAAACTTTTGTGGGGCCTTGGAAGGATTTGGAAGGTGGAACACATGAGGAATCTAGTAAAAAATGAATCTGCACTAACCAACAAATTCGATTGCTCTGAAAAGGAGCATGATGTGTTTGGATGGAAAAATTCTACAGCGGGACAAAAAGGCATTCTTGCATTTTGGAACTGAATTCTGCCTCCTTGGGACGTGACAAAATAGAATCGTTGCCACTTTTTCAAGTTTTGAATCAATACTGTATGCCTTGCAAGAGACTAGCATCTACTTTTGATATTTCTTCAGATCTAGCAAACAGCCCTGAAACACTGAAAATAATTTAAGAGCAGTTCATAGCCAATGGCAGAAAAAGCTGTCAATCAAAATGATTAGTCCACACATAAAGCAATTGTGTTCTAAACTCAACAACAAAACTGTCTGAGCTCTCAATAGGCTGCACAGTGCAAAGAAACACAAAAGGAGTAAAGAAGGATCCTTTATTGAACTGTCTGATGGTGAAAGATGGCTATCTTTTTGTGCAGACAGAATGGAAAACTCACTCATTTTGCTGTGTGGGAAGTCTGATAAAGTGTGTGTTGGGAGTTGACAATCCAGTTTAAAATGCTAGCCCCACAGGTCACTTTATCAGCAATGAACAGCAGAAGATGAGAATACCAATCAGTAATCAAACAGAACACCTTTTACCTAACAGAGACGGGAGGGGAGTCCTATGTCTCTTTCCCACCCTAACACTCCTCCCCCAAACACAGTGTAAGACAAAAAATCTGAAGAATCTTGCCTGGACACCGGAAGAATGTAAAAGGTAACAGGACACTGCTCACCCCTCCATCTGATCCTCCCAGAGACAGTCCCCTTTCCGCTATTCTGTGGATGAAACAACAGTCTCAAATCAAGCTTTTAGCCCACGTTTACTGCTTAGTGCTGCTTGCCAAATAAGAACAGTCACTATTGACAGGGAGGGAATAGGAAAGGTCAGCTGCTTGGCATCATGGAGAGGCAAATGTGAATATTGCATGCAGAGAACACAGGTTAAAAAAAGGCAAAGCACTTGCTAGCAAAAGCTGACTACCACATAAGGCAGCCTTCTCCAACCTACTACCCTCTAGTTGTGCTGCCTACAGTTCCCACCATCCCCAGCCCGGCATGGCCATCTAAATGGTTCCAGGTTGCAGACACAAGGCATGAAAAGGATCCAAACCATACAAAGCCCAACTTTAACATAATCATATCCAGACAGGATTAATGGGAAGGGGTCAGAGCAATTGTTGTTTCTTACTTCAGATACTGGGAGACTGTCTCTAGCTACAAATAACCAACACACAGGACCATTATTCTAGGAGCGCTGAAGCACTGTCCTGCTGGGATGCAAGAGCCTGTCTGCAGAACAGGCTCAGGGGAGGTACCTGTTATAGCAAACACGGCAGTTCAAATGATGTAAGGTGAGAAAGCTCTTAATTCTCCATTTCCTCCTATCACTTCTGCCAAATGTTCAGACAATGGGCTGGTTCAGATGTATATTTTCTGACTCGCTAAACCACAGTTGGGCAGCGAAAACACACCACTGGGACGGTGTGCTACCACCTTAGGACTTCAGCATGCCAGTCCCCACTTGCTCAAACTACCCTTCCCTACTAAGTCTGAAATGATGAACTGTGCTTCGATGTTGGTTTACTGTGATCCTAAATCATGCTTTGTGTGTGGTTTGGCATCCAAGTAAATAACCTGGCCTTAAATCATACTTCCTCATTGCAGACATAGCAAGGAATGGAGGTTTAAGCTAACCAATAACAGCACAAGGGGAGCAGAAAATACCTAAACTGTGCCTTAAGTCCAAGCATGTACATCCAAACTGAGCCAATATACATATACAGGAAGTATCAACTTTTGAAGAAGTGGCACACAGCATTAATGTTATCTTTTGGCAAGAATAAGTCATGGCAGGAAAGCTAGTAGGCAAAAACAAAATTGCTATAGGCTCCCAACTGCTTAGCCATGACTTGCAACTCTGCCGACAAATTCCAACTAACCTGAACCACAGTAAATTTGCTGTAGAATCTGACTTTGGTTAAGGCGGAAATGAAGAATTCATGTTCCAAAAGAGAACTTACAACAACACAGCCCTCTCAGAATTGTTTAGTCAGGATTAGACAGCTGGGAGCCTTACTTCTATCCAACTTCAAACTGACATTTTCTATGAGTGCCTTGGTTGGTCCTGATCAAGTCATTCTCTCTCAGTCTCAATTCCCAATATATAAAATGGGCAAAATGGTGACCAGCCTTAGAAGACCTTTGAAGCCAAGATCATAAAGCCTTTCTTTAAATGGTCATTCATAAACAGAGATGGGCAAACTCTGGACATTTTGCTCATCCTATAATCAGATAGTACCATTTTCCCCCCTAAAAGATGCTGAAAACACTTAGAAAAGTGCCTCCCACCACCCATTTCTCTGCACCATCCCCTACTACAAGCGAATGGAATAGGAACAGCCTGCCCCATTGCAGCTCCCTGAATATGCCATGGGAGTCCCTTTGATCCTCCCAATTAGAGGCTAATGGGCTGAAGCTGTTCCATCAGTTTTTGGGAAGGAGACTAGAAAGGGCGTGTTGCAGGAGGGAAAGCAGGCCATACCCTTCCCTGGGGATTCCTTCCCCTGCGTCTTCCAGTTCTACCCCTTTCCATCTCCCACCTCAAATACAACACATTCTAACTGATTGTATTAGATGGGCAGGGGAGAACTACAGGCAAATCCTCATTCTAAAGCCTTCATGACAACTTTAAGTTCTGAGGAAAATTTACCTACGGATTCTCTCAGCTTCTTCCCTGCTGATTATGGCATCTGTTATTCCTCTTCCACACTTTCGAGGAGTACAGCCTGGAGGACACATCCAAAGAGAAGAGGGGGAAAGATTAAGCACTTTCACCTGCTTTTAAATGTGTGATATCAAACCATTTCTTTATTTAGAAATCTGACCGATATCTAGAATTGTACTGCAAAGCATAGGATCTAGTGGGTTTTTGCAAACCACTGAGAACTTTAGCTTCTGATTGTAAACATGATTCTTATCTTCGAGGTTTTAAAGAAAGCCCAAAAAGAAGCCAATAAGGGAGAGCTCACAACTTCCCCAGATAATAGGTTCCATTGTCATACTGTTCTGACGGTGAGGAAATGCTTCCTGGTGTCTAGTGCTTTATTGAATTCTGGCTTTCTTAACCAGGCAAGAGACATACTGCAGGAAAGACTGGCTCAATTGCAAAGATCAGTAAAACTACACATATATGTTTATATTGCTTATTTTTCTTGAACAAGCTAAATAAATAAAAACAGAGATTCCAAGTCAATGTCTCTTGGTTGATCCATTACAAGCAATATCTATGATGAAAAACCACTGGTTGCTGCAGACTTAGTCTTCCATGTAGATTATGTCGGGTCCTGAAAGCACACACAGGGAAACTCCCACAGGGCACTCACATACCCATCAATTCCCTCCCACAGTACCAATTCCCTTCTGCGAAAAGGGGTCCAGCCAATTCCATTGCACAAGCAGAACCCACTGCTTATGCAAGGAAGATTTATCCCTTCCTAGAGGAAACCTCAAAGTAAGCAGAAATACCTCTTTCTGGAAGGAGACAGGTTGGTAGACTTTCAGCTTATGAAACCCACCAATCTGCCTCCTTACAAAAACAAGCATTTCTCCTCTTTTCAGGCTGCCCTGGAAGTGCTAGGTCAATGCTGCACAAGTGGTGGGGTCACTGGCACAACGGAGTAGGCAGGTCATAAATGAAATGGCAGGGGGAACTCTACCCTGTGGGATTCTGCCTAGAATTTCTGGTAGAATCTGAGCTGCGTACAACCAACTCCAGCATACTGGAGATTCTTTCTCGTGACTGGGCATTAGCTGAACTTAATCATCTTGAAACTCAGTCTGAACTTATCTTTAGTACTGAATCACAGCATCCAAGAATCAAATCTAAAAATGCTCAAAACACCCAAAGATCCGATCATAGGTCTCCAAATTACTAGATATTTCCATCTGAATGTTTGTGGTCCGCTTTGATTGACATCTTTTACTTAGCAAATCATCCTATTTTTTGTGAGTACTGCATGTCAATCAGCTTAATGATCCAGGCTGCCTATTTTACTTCTGGACATTTACAACACCATCAGAACTTTTCAGATGGTTATCAGGGGAAGAATTATTGATTAAGCTTCAGGTAGAGTAAGCAACAGATATTGAGTTACGAGGTTGATCTTTCAGAGTAAATGAGGCCCCTGAGAGTTCACTTTTTCTACAATCTGAACATGAATAGAGTAAGAATTACGGGGGGGGGGGGGACCGAACAATATACTTCTAAAGCCAAAAACTCTGAAAGCATTTTTTTTAATTGAAAAAGAAACCTTCAGGGCTCCATAACAGCACTGAAAGCAGCGCATTATTCAAGACTAAACAATAACTTCATCTGCCTTCACATTGTGTGGGGGAGGACAAAGGGAGCAAGAAAGATGCCTTGTGTTTGCCAGCACAGAAAAAACACTGAAGAAGCAAAAAGTGGCATTTCCATCTGCCCTCACTGAATAAAAGTGCAGGGGGTTAAAGCATGTGGGGAGATGGAAGAGCACATGCCTATGAATTTCATATGTACATATGTGAATACATGAGTGCACTATTAACATCAAGGGCCAAAAGGCATATTTGCCTATGACTTTGGGAAAAGTGGTTGAGGTGAAGGAGAAAGAGATGCCAACTGCTGAAATACCAATTGAAAGGGAAGGAACTTTTGCTCCTCTTCTTGTATAGCACCTTCTATGACACACAATCAAGGTGGCAGAAAGCTGCATACTTAAGGACTTGCCACTATGACCTCTCTCTGGAACTCTCTGCCAAGGAAGGTGAGGTAAGCCCCTCTCTGCCGGTGGGTAAAGGCACCTGTATTTAGGCAGATGTCTTTACCCATCTTTGGTCTTTGCCCTCTGGTGTTTAAGGCTGATTTGTGGCTGAAGGGTTTTTAAAATAGTTGGTGTTGCTTATTTCTTTCACTGTTGTGTTTGAGATCTATTTGTTTTTATGCTATGTTTTAATTAAAATTTGATTTTAATCTGGATTTTATTGTTAGCTTTCGTGTGTCATTTTAAGGGGGGTTGCATGAACACAGGCTGTAAATAAAATAAATCCAGCAATAAACCAACTATGAAATAGCCTCCGCGGGATGTTTCACCTGCTTTGAAAACAGGAACACCAGACCATTTTATTCCTGCTCCTATTTTCCAGTGAAAACCTTTGATACATTTATAGCCTGTTGCTACATTAGTCTGTTAGTTCTCATGCAATGGCATTTTTACTGCTGTTCATTTTGTTTTATTGAGAGGATTGTTTTCATTTTTATGATTCATACTGTTCTTGGTAAGCTGCCTTGGGTTTGATATTATCATAGAAAGGCAGGCTAGAAGTGTCCAGACAAATTCACAAATTCACAACTAACTAGTTTGCCAACCCCCTGATACATCAGTAACCTTTCCAAAAAGCTGTGCTGGATATCACAATAAAGCAAGGATTAGGAAGACTATCCTTCCCATGAATGCCCAGAGCAACAGATAAACTGTGAAACAATCAGGAAAGTAGAACTACCAACACTCTTCCTGAGAACATTGGATGGGATGAGTTCTGGGCAAGCACTAAGTTAGGCACAATATTTTATTTGCACTATTTATATACCGCTTAATATTAAAACTCTAAGCAGTTTGTATATTTGGTACAGAAACTTAGCCAATATATTGTCTAGCCAGGTAATCAGGAGCTTCCTGCAAGTGCAACCAGCTCTGGTTGCAGCATCAGGTTATAGAACAAAAGATACTACGATAACCATCTCTAGACTGCCCTCATGTGGGAATGGAGTAAAATCACAGAGATCAGAAAGGCACCATGCAACCATGGTGTTAGATCCGAGGGAAGGCCTATTTACTCCAGCATTCTTCCCTCTCAGTGGTTACAGACAGGAAGCCCAGAAGCCAGAAAACAGCCCACACATCCTAAAGTTATGAAGTTCTTCCTTTGGCTGTCCTGAATCACCTGCCATGCAGCTTCATGAGATGAGCCCAGGTTCTAGTATTATGAGACAAGGGAGAAAAAACATTTCCCAAGCCACTTTCTATATATCATGCAAGATTTCATGGATCTCACCCATCTCCATTTTCTCACTTCTGCACTATGTAGCCTCAGTGTTGTAACCTTTCCTCATAATAAAGCTGCTTCAGCCCTCTGTTCATGTTGCTTGTCATTTTCGCACATTTTTCTACTATTACCAATTCTGAGATTTAGCAAACAGAAAATATTCCAGGTCACTCTCGTTTTGATTCATATGAAAGCATTCAAATATCAGTAGGGTTTTTTCCTCCTTCTCTATCTTAATGATTGCTAAAATAAAATTTATCATTGTCTTAGTTGTCATACACTTGGCCAGTGATTTAGTTGTACAATCAAGTGTGCTCATGATTATTTTCCTGGTCAAGCACTACCAGCTAAACCCATCAATACACATGCAAATTTAAGGAGGTTTAGCCCAATCTGCATCACTTCATACTTGCACTGAACTGTATTTGCTATTTTGATTATCCATTTTAGAATTATTTGCAATCCCTTTTATTATCATCTTGAATAATTTGTTGCCATCTGCAAACATGGCTACTTCACAGCTCGCCTCAAACTCCACATCATATATGAACAAGTTAAAAAGCACTGGATCTCAAAGCAAATTATTGGGGAGTCTACTGTTTAAATCTACATTTAAATCTAAATTTAAGTCTACAGTAGGAAACTGTTTATTCCTACTGCCTGCTTCCTGTTGTTTAATCAGTTATTAAATCAGTTATTGATCCATAAGAGACTCTTTCTCCTTAACCCACTTAGTAACTTGTCAAAAGGTTTGTATGTATGCAAGTAATACCTACAGCAGAGGTAGACCCTCCAGACACTTTGGACCACAACTCCCATCATCCTTCACCATTGGCAACATTGACTAGAACTGTAGGCCAAACCACTGGAGAGCCACAAGTTGTCCATCCTTGACCTCCAGCATTGCTGTTATTCATATTCTTACCGATATTCTCAGAAAACTGTCAGAGGCTGTTCTTATCTTTGAACAAACCATACTGATTCTCCTTTAGCAAAATGTGTCTTTCCCTCTATATAACCTTAAATGCTTGATAATGTTATCTCTTTTGCCACTAATATTGGGTTCAGTTCTTCAGTCTATGTTTCTAGAGAAGTTAGTTCTGGCATCATGCCCCAGTGAACACAGACAGAAACAATTTATTTCACTTCTCTGCACTCTTCTTATCCTCCTTAGCACACCTTTAACTTCCTTGTCATTCAACAGTCCAATCACATCCTATCTGGTTTCCTCCTCCTGCTTAGTTAAATCATTAACCTGAATAATAAATATTTAACTGACATGGACCTGATTCTTTTCTGCACATTTAGCATCTGCTCTTATTTTTTTCCAATGTCTATGATAGGCAAGTCTTCTATCTTCTGAGGGATTTGTTATCCTCCCCTTTGATTCCATGCTGACATCTAGCTGATCAACTCTGACTGCATGTACTTTGACATGGAGAATGGCATGACCCCTGGTATGCCCTCCCTTGTCATGCCTGTAGATAATATATCCAGGGCAAGTACCAGTTTTTTTCTCCATTCCACCAAGTGCCAACTACATTTACAATGTCCTTTAAGAACAACTACTGCAGCTCTCCCATTTTATTTTTATTTATTTTTACATCTATAAGCTGCCAAACAGATCAAATGAGCTCCCTAGACAGCACACAACAATAAAATGCAATTAAAACTTTCATTGAAAACAACTGATTAATAATACTAGCATACTAACATAGGCCAAATCATTTTCAAGAACATGTCCAGGTGAGATGGACAACCAAATACAAAAACACCTTAATATTTAAATGTTTAAAACCCATTATTAAAAGCAGTTATTAAAATTATTAAAATGAGTGGAATAGAGATAAGTTTTCACCTGACACTGAAATGAGAGCAGAGTTGGTGGCTGGCAAACTTCTCTGGGGAGCCTATTTCATAGATAGGGCGAAGCCACCAAAAAGCTCCTTCTTCTATTTACTACCCCTTCACCTCCCTGAGGGTTGGCTCACTCAGAAGGGCCTGATGGCTAGAACTTTATAGTCAGGTAGGCATGTACAGAAGAATGTGGCCCTTCAGATAGTCAAGCCCTGAGCCATTTAGGGTGACAGGTCTTTAGCTTTAGCATATGAACCGCAAGATATGCTGCCCCTCTCCAGATGTCTCCTGCATGGGCATTTGCCCCTTTGACCTTCCAGATGGCTAACATGTGCAGCTTTATCCCATATGGATGATCACCTGAAACATTTTCAACCTCATCCCAAACTGGAGTCCGTTCAAAAGTTGCTCTGCCACCTTTTTATATTGTACATCAAGCGTCTGGTTCTGCTACAGTTCAAGTGGAACCTATCCTGTTTGTATAAAGGCCCACACTAAAATATCCCATTTTCCCCTCTCATACCTATTCTTCCACATATATTGTTATATAATGTATCAAAGAGATTGAAAACTACTGATCCAGACGAACATACAAGCAACCACTCTATAAAAGCAACATTTCTAGGCACAATGGTAAAGCTTAATGATTTCTCGATCTGGATTGTAAGAGTAATGCTGCAACTCTTAGCTAATAGTTCCCAATGGATGGGTTGATACCGAATATATTCAGTTCTGGGGACACATGTACCCTTATCTAGGAAGCCAGTGATAACCCATCAAGTCACAGTGGCTTTTCACAATATACTAAACTCAAAGCTTTTGAAACACGGTAGTGGAATCCAATTACTTACATTGCAAATTATCACTGCATGATTGTGACTAGCTATTAGTTCAACAGATGACTGGGCATACAAGAAGTTTTGTCACGTGCAAGCAAGCTCTGGTGGAAGGAATTAGGGCTGCCATCCTATCAGGGCTGTGGAGTCAGAACTGGAAGCAAATTTTGCATTACTGGTGTCAGTCGATAAAAATGTATCAATGCTGACTCCTTATATTGCATTTAAACTGTAATATAAATCATGTTAAAATTTCTTATTTCACAAATAATAATTTGAGTAACCTATTTTTCAGGTTATATTTTCAGGATATATATGAACAGGTTAGGGTTCTAAAAAGTAGCCCGATTCACAACATAGGCAGTGATGAAATGTCTTGTAGGTTGAGTGCTTTCAATCAATATAGGAAATAATTAATTAGCATATTCATTTCCTATACTGAAATATAAATAAAAGAGTTGGAGTTGAAGGTTTTATGTACCGACTCCATAGCCCTGAATTCTATGCCATTTACTTCTGAGTACACATAGGATTGTACTGAAACTCTGAGATGATTTATTCAGTATGTTGCCTCTTTGGTCTGCTAGACAGTATGAACACAGGCAAGGAATTGAATGGAACAATGAGCTATGAAGTTCTTTTCCCCAGCTTAAGAATACCAAGACTGCCCCTTCCATGTGTGTTTATATTATTTTTTACTTACAGTTGCATTTCTATCCCACCTTTCTTTCTCTTGAAAGTAATCTAAGGAAGATGATGTTATCTTCTTCCTCCTCTCAGTTTTAATTTGTACAAGAACCCTGTGACATAGTTTGGGCTGAAAGTCAGTGACCGGCCCAAGACAATCTAATGAAATTCATGGCTAAGTGGGGACTGGAACCTGGATCTCCTGAGTCTCAGTCCAACACTCTTAATAGCTACACTACAGTGGCTTTTAGAGTTGCATATACCTTGTTAGTAATGTAACAAAGTGATTTTGCTCTTAAAAACAAGATCTCAACATATTGTTATAGACAACCGTGTTTAAAAACTGGTTTCATTGACTCTTTCCTCATAACCAACAGAAAATGAGGAAGATCTATGTTGTGAGCCGCCCCGAGGCTTCGGCACATGGGGCGGCATAGAAATGTTTTAATAAATAAATAAATAAATAAAGATAGTTTAATAGTGGGCACAGCAGGGCATGAGAAAAAAGCAATGTTTACCCTGTTAAGCATATTTTATGCAATGCTCAAATAAAAAGTGCAAAAAGTAACATGATATAACAGCAAAGTAACTGTGACAGCAGGTACTTCTGAAGTGTCAAGAAATTTGGAGGCATTTAGACTTCTACTTTGCCACTTATCAGCTAGGTTGTTTCAGCACCACACCAGTGCATGTCAAGATACCTTCAAAACGTTTGTGGCTGTTGTAGTCCTCTGAGCAGGGAACCTCGATGAATCTGTCTGGTAGGCTTTCACTATGATGGGCCAAAACTTCTGTAATTCCATCTTCATTGAACAGGTAGCTCCCACCGAGGAGGTAGCCAAGCATCGCAGATGAGAGAAAGAATGCCACTTTCAGCCACTTCCGGCGCGAGTCTTTCTGGACATTCCCTTTCATACTACTAAATACAACACAAAACAAAATTCTAACTACAGTGTTGTACTGAAGCAGGAAAATTGTACTTGGACAGCAAGCCCAGCCTCAATCCTCAACTGCAAATGCAGGGGCTATTAGCACTGATGAAGTGAGGCCTAGAATGGAGTGCAGGAATGCAAAACAAGCTAACAGTGGCCTGAATGAAAGTGTACACATATGACATACAATAAAGGAAGCAAAATGTATGCTGAAAATCTTGTTTTAAGAATAATCTTCAAAGACATATAAAAGCCATGCAAAAGGAGCTTAAGGTTCATATAATATAAAAAATCAACCTCATCATAAGGTTGACAGTGAAAATCCAGCATTTCATCCTCTAAATCAAAGATGGGCAATCTTTTTAGGGTGGGAAACAGCAGGAGTGGGTGAAGCTAGTGGTGAGTGGAAGGCAGAGCCAGGATGTGATCACACATGCACGTGTGCACACACTCACACAGGTTCACGAGAGAGGGATGTGAAAGCCTCTTTCCACCACCCCTAACAGTTGCAATGAAACAATGATCTTGCCCTGCAGAGATCACTGGGAGTGGAAGAGCTTAGCAGAAGGTAAACAGCAGTCTGTTCCCAGCAGTACTGATGAAAGATGATCAGATGAGCTGTAGGATATAGGGGGTCGAACTCCCCAGACAGCACAGGTGGCCAAGGACCACATCGGGGCCACAGGTTGTCCATACGTACTCTAAGCACTTTTGGCCACTAAAGGAACCAGACACAATGAATTATCTACAGGTGAAATCCTGTACATCTTCAGTTGACAGAACACATCCTCATTCACATTAAAGAGCAAATCCAACACTGGGTCTCAGCTGTGAGCAAAACAGCCTGAAGCTGTTAAAAGCTTTTATCCCTGACAAATCACTCATCATTAATAGGTTATGATTTACTATAAATATCTGCTGCTGTGAATTCCACAGAGAATCAGCTGCGCTCCATTTCTGTTCCTTCTAAGTCACATACTCAGTAGGAAGGCTAAGTTTATATGAAATTCTACACACTCTTCTTTAACTCAAAGAGCTCAGAGCAGCATGCAACCTTTGCCAACCTTCTAACTTGTGAGGTAAACTAGATGGAAGATGACTGGATCAAGGTGGTTGTTGTTGCTGTTGCTAGTCATGAAGTTGCATCCGACCCATCGTGACCCCATGGCCAACACTCCTCCAGGCCTTCCTGTCCTCCACCATCCCCCAGAGTCCACCCAAGCTCACACTGACTGCTTCAGTGACTCCATCCAGCCACCTCATCCTCTGCCATCCCCTTCTTCTTTTGCCATCTATTGTTCCCAGCATTAGGCTCTTCTCCAGTGAATCCTTCCTTCTCATTAGGTGGCCAAAGTATTTGAGTTTCATCTTCAGGATCTGGCCTTCTAAAGAGCAGTCAGGGTTGATTGCCTTGCAGTCCAAGGAACTCGCAGGAGTTTTCTCCAGCACCACAATTCAAAGGTCTCAAATCTTCAGCTCTCAGCCTTCCTTATGGTCCAGTTTTCACAGCCATACATTGCAACTGGGAAAACCATAGTCTTGACTATATGCACTTTTGTTGGCAGTGTGGTGTCTCTGCTTTTTAGTATGCTGTCTAGATTTGCCATAGCTTTCCTCCCAAGGAGCAAGTGTCTTTTAATTTCTGGGCTGCAGTCCCTGTCTGCAGTGATCTTGGAGCCCAGGAAAATAAAATCTATCACTACCTCCATTTCTTCCCCATCTATTTGCCAGGAAGTGAGAGGAATGGATGCTATGATCTTAGTTTTCTTAATGTTGAGTTTCAAGCCAACTTTTTTGCTCTCCTCCTTCACCCGCATCAAGAGGTTCTTTCATTCCTCTTCACTTTCTGCCATGAGAGTGGTATCATCTGCATATCTGAGGTGGTTGATATTTCTCCCAGCAATCTTAATTCCAACTTGTGATTCATCTAGCCCCACCTTTCTCATGACATGCTCTGCATATAAGTTAAATAGGCAGGGCGACAGTATACAGCCTTGCCGAACTCCTTTCTCAATTTTGAACCAATCAGTGGTTCAGTGTCCAGTTCTCACTGTTGCTTCTTGACCTGCATATAGGTTTCTCAAGAGACAAATAAGATGGTCTGGCCCTCCCATCTCATTAAGGACTTGCCACAATTTGTTGTGATCCACACAATCAAAGGGTTCAGCATAGTCAATGAAGCAGAAGTAGATGTTTTTCTGAAACTCCCTAGCTTTCTCCATGATCCAGTGTATGTTGGCAATTTGATCTCTAGTTCCTCTGACCTGTCTGTCTTGGGTGCCCCTGCACAGCATAGCTCATGGCTTCATTGCGCTACACAAGCCCCTTCACCATGACCAGGCAGTGATTTATGAAGCGGGGGATCAAGGTTACCCAGGAAGCTTTCTGGTGGAATAGTGATTTGAAGCCCTGTTCTCCATGGTCTATATGCATCATTCAAAAAACTACATTCATATAGAAAAATCAGTAAGCCAGAGCTTAAAAATCAATAAATCAGAGTTAAAAGAAATGCATGAACCCGAAAAAGAATGCAAGCTAATGCTGGCAAGATTGCTGCAGAAGTATTTTCATTTTCCCTCAAATACTGCTACCGCAGTAGCATTCTGAATGAGGCATGTCAGTGAAGGCGCCAGCTTTAACATCTTCTTAAAGGGTGACGGTGGTGGTGTACAAATTGATCTGCGGACTACAGAAAGAGTAGACCTCACAATCCTTATACATGCTGAGGTGAGATCAAGTTCCACCAAATTAAGCCTAGGTTCACTCTTAACCAAGAATGCATTGATAAAAAGATTACAGGAACACACATTCAGGACCAAACAAAAGCACCAAAATTTGTGGAGAGCTAAGGAACGGATAGACAAAAGAAGCCAGCAAAGAAGGCGAACCAAGCATGGAGCACCTGAGAGTATCTGCTACGGGACGGGGAAGACAAGGCTCACCCTTCCCCAACCTGGTACTCTCTGGATGTTTTGCACTACAATTCCCAATATTACTGACAGGCCATTCTGGTGGGGGCTGATGGGAACTGAAACTCAATAATCTGGGGGGCAGAAGGTTGGCGAAGGCTGGTAAAGCACGCACTCTTCCGCATGGAGCTCAAGCAAGTCCCGCTCAGCGACGCTTCCCCAGGGGGCGTTGCCGGAGCGCGATTCGCGGCCACCCAGGGAGTCCTCCTTAAGACCCCAGCGGGAGCCCTGCCTGCGCCGCCCAGAAAGTACCTGCTGAGACGGCGGCGCTCCTCCGCCCGAAGCCCCGCGCCAGCGCCGCCGCTCTCGGGAGTCCTGGCGCCCGCTCGCCGCTGAGGGGCCATGGCGCGAGCGGCGACCGGGATCCAGCGCAACGCCGGCTAGACGCAGCCTGGCGCGGAGGGAGGGAGCGAGGGAGCGAGGGCGGGGCAGGCGCCGGCCAATAGGCATTCGCATCGCAAGTAGCGGAAGCTGCTGCGGGAAGATGTCCAGGCGAGAGCAGTCGAGCTCGCCGAGCCAGTGGGGCAGGCGAGCTTAGTGGAGCCTAGAAAGGGAATGGAGCGCGAAGGAGCGGACGGCGTTGGTGTGGAAGGCGGGCTGGAGCGCGTTGCGGAAAAACAGGCAGGTAAGTCGGGAGTGGGAAAGACCCAAGAATTGCGCATGCAGGAATATGTGATGGTGTGTCGAGCAGAGATCCAGGGATGCCATCCCAGGGGCTGCAAATGACGACGACGATTTACGTATCTCGCGTGGAGAACCAGCATTGCTGTGACTTCTGGTGGAGACCTCGAGGTGCTTCATCTGTCTGAACCAGGCTGATACCAAGAAACCTTGGTGATTTTTCAGCACCCGGCCTGGTTGACAAATTGGACGGACGAGGGCAATTGCCGTGATGAACTGAATGTTAAGAATGTGTTGACTTCTTATACTGCAATTTGAAGTACTTCTGTAGTCGTGACTTGCACCCACCGAAGTTGTGGTGTTGTCTTTCTCAGAGACATGTTTTTGTGGGAAGAGGCTATTATAAGCAGGGTGGTAGGAAGTGGAAGGTGTGTGCAGGTGTAGTAATGTGTTGTTTTAACTTGAATAAATATTGGTCCTGTATTTGGACTGGAGGCTTCATGGGTAAGATACAACATTAACGGGGTGTTAGATGTAGTTTTAAAGAGGACTTTTCTCAGCCTATGGCTGACTCATGGCAGGCAGAGCAGGGTGTGTTCATCACCTTGGTGTTGCCATTGCCAGTTTCTTCCATTTGAAGAAGATTCATAGTTTCCCTCATTCAGAAAGGAGCCATAGCTCAGTGGGAAGCATTTGCTTTCCAGCCAGAAGGCCCCAGGTTTAGTCCCTGGCTGAGAACCGCCCCCCCCCCCCACCTTGACACTATGGATACCCGCTACAAATTAGTATAGGCCAAGCTAGATAAGCCAGTGGCCTTACTTGTTACTCTGTTCCTGCCTCAACAAAGTTTTTGGTTCCTGGTACCATCCATCAAACATCCTTCCTTATTGATGGCTCTGTATATTTGCTTTAGATTTTGCAGTGCAGAACATCCCAGATTTTGCAGTGCAAGGCTTGATAGTCTTAAGGCCCCTTCTGGTCATACCTTTTTAAAAGTGCTTAGAAACAAAGCACTCCGCTTTGAAATTAACTTCCATGGAAATAATTGGAACTTGCTTCTAAGTAAAGCTGTTTTGGAGGGCTTTGTTTCCAGTTCCATATCTCATTTTTTGTCTGTAGAAAGTGAGCAAGTTCTGAAGCCCAGTGTTCATTTGAAACAAGGATGGAAACCAGGTATTTTCACTTGAATTCCAATATGTTGCATTGCTTCTTTTGGCCCACCATGCCTATGAACATAAGGACTTTATTAAATACTGTTCATGGGATGCTTCAATTTTTAAAGACTCCTTGTTATGCAGGGAATTGAACCTGCTCATAATGCTATTGTTCCTTTTCCTACAATATTGTTCCATTGATACAGTTGCTTTTAGGTGTATGGCAGAGAACTTGGAAGAAAACAGAGGAAAGGTTTCTTCTCCATTCAAGCTATGCCTGGTTCACTTGGATCTCAAGGGAGCGCCACCAAAGGTCTCATACCTGGCAGAGGTAACATAGTCCATATAATCAAAGAATTAATGATTTAGCTTGATTTGGGTTGGTTTAGTTGCATCCTGCAAGTTCTTTCTCTTCAATGACTTGTCCTTGTATTAGGAATATCTTGATTTGTGGTTTCTTAGAGGTAAACAGTTTACACACAAGATACCTTTATTTTAGTCTTGCATTTCCAGCAAGAAATGAGTCAATCATCTTACAGTTTTTTTACTTCCCAATAATATCTATTAGATTCTTATTCAAGCATGTACTTTCACAGGTGGAACTGTCAACTCTTTTTATGCCGGAAAGGTCAGACTGATCTACAGTTTATTGTGTGAACTAAGATTAAATTTTTATTACTCCAGAGATGTGTAGTGGCTTGACTGCTGTTGGTCCTGGAACTGGTGAGGTCATCATGCCACAGGAAGCACTTGGTTTAGCTCTGAGACTCAGAAGCACACTAAAAAACTAATCACGTCCTTTTCCTTTGTCAATATTATGATTAAACTAGGTATTCACAAATAGTCTACTGCATGTCACAATGTTCCGCACTGCATGTGCAATCTAGAAGTCAGACTAGCTAAATAAACCAGAACATCTTAATGTGGTGCCATATGCTCACTGTTGTAGCTCCAGCAATAAAGGTAGCAGTTGTGTTACTTAAATCATTGGACATACCATTCCCTGAGACAGGGTAATCAATGTGATGCTAAAATAACACATGTTCTTGGCAGCTAGGATTGCTGTGAGATAGTTTCCATTGGTGCCGAGAACTGTATTCAAAGGTGTTGCTTAGAGGCTTCGGACTCAGAACACACTTCAGCCTTGTACACACTCAACCTTTGAGGCAGGTTGCTTTTCCTTTGCCATAACCCCCATTTAAGAAAATCCATTTATATCCCATCATTTTTCTTTTGCAAGGAACCTAAAGATAAGAGGTAGCTTAAATAGTGATCTTTCCCATTTTATCATGATGAACCTTCCAGTAGGTTAGGGTGAGCCAGGGATTCCCAGTTACCCAGTGAGTTTCGTGGCCAAGCAGGGAAGGCAACTAGTTACCTGTAACTGTTGTTCTTTCAGTGGTCATCTGTGCATTCTCACATATGGGCTCTGCGCTGGTGCAAAACCCATATGTGTGATGCACAGAAACCACGAAGAACTAGAGCTCCTGAGACTCTGTGCAGAACTCTTATCACTACTCCACACTGGCTCTTCATGGCAGCCAGCTTGTAGTGGTGCCCAGGAGAGCTTCTTAAGTTATGAAATGTGTTCAGTGCCCAAAACAGTTGTCTGCCCCTGGCCTAAGCTGTGTTAATGTCTCAGAAAATTAAATATAGTGGTTCCATGCTGGCTAGAGATTTGAGATGTTTTATGCAACCAACAGATCTTTCCATTGTTCCATGTGCTGGGTGCAAATGGCATTCTCCTTGAATATGAGGATATGTTCCCTTATGATGGGGAGCTGAAGCCACTCCGAGCAAATGATGCATACAGGTAAGTTAGTCAGGAAGATCTTCCAATTGCATTTGGCTAGGCTTTGCTGGGGGGCAGAGTTTGAGTCTAGGGCTCTGGGGCTCTTGTTCCTTTGGTAAGTGGTGCTGAAATACAGGGGCAAACTCTTCACTGTTCTAATGTTATACATACCTGGCTGTGAGTGCTGTGCTGATTTCCTGTTTCTCTTTGCTCTCCACACATCTTTTAGGGAGGCACATGATAGAGTCATCTGATTTAGGAATTATCTTGAAATATGTTGGTGAGGGGGTGGCTTGATTGTTACCAAGGTGAGCTAATCAGCTCATAGTCTGAAACAGGAAAAAGCAGTTGTTCCTGAGCTGAAGTTCTTTCAGGAAAGTCAGCATGGATGCATCTCCTGGGACTGAACGGAGAGCCTGCTGTGAATCTGTATTAGCACCTTTCTGGAGTTGCCATGGATCCAAAACAGGCTCTCTGCTCATAATCAGAAGATTTAGGTGCACCCATTAAAGATTTAACTTAATGCAGAGCACATCATGAGAAAGGTGGGCCTAGATAAATCACCAGTTGGAGTTCAGATTCCTGGGAGAAATATCAACAACCTCAGATACGCAGATGATACCACGCTCATGGCAGAAAGTGAAGAGGAACGAAAGAGCCTCTTGATGCGGGTGAAGGAGGAGAGCGCAAAAGTTGGCTTGAAACTCTACATTAAGAAAACTAAGATCATGGTATCCGGTCCTCTCACTTCCTGGCAAATAGATGGGGAAGAAATGGAGGTAGTGACGGATTTTATTTTCCTGGGCTCCAAGATCACCGCAGACAGGGACTGCAGCCCAGAAATTAAAAGACACTTGCTCCTTGGGAGGAAAGCTATGGCAAATCTAGATAGCATACTAAAAAGCAGAGACATCACCCTGCCAACAAAAGTGCATATAGTCAAGGCCATGGTTTTCCCAGTTACATTGTATGGCTGTGAAAGTTGGACCATAAGGAAGCCTGAGTGCCGAAGGACTGAGGCCTTTGAATTGTGGTGCTGGAGGAGACTCCTGCGAGTCCCTTGGACCGCAAGGCAATCAAACCAGTCAGTCCTAGAGGAGATCAACCCTGACTGCTCTTTAGAAGGCCAGATCCTGAAGATGAAACTCAAATACTTTGGCCACCTAATGAGAAGGAAGGACTCCCTGGAGAAGAGTCCAATGCTGGGAACAATACATGGCAAAAGAAGAAGGCGACGGCAGAGGATGAGGTAGTTAGATGGAGTCACTGAAGCAGTTGGTGTGAGCTTGAGTGGACTCCGGGGGATGGTGGAGGACAGAAAGGCCTGGAGGAATGTTGTCTATGGGGTTGCAATGGGTTGGACATGACTTTGCGACTAACAACAACAACATTAAAGATACAAACTCACTTGTGGATTGAGTCAAGGAGAAAGCCAGAACCATGGAATTTAAAGCCAGTGGCAAGCATGGTTAAAAGCTGTTCACAGGGGAACAACACAGCTTTTCTAGTGTTGAGCAGTGTTGGAGAAAGTTGCATTCTTCCTGTGCAGCATGGGGAAGCAGCAGCAAAGGGGTCCTGCAGAGGGGCTGGCTGGCTGGCTGCATGGAGAAGCCTCATAAGCCATAGCAGCAGCAAAGTCTTTCAAGATTTTTTTGAGTTTGTTTATATAGAGCAGCCTTCCATAACCTGGTACCCTCCAGATGTTTTGAGTTAGTTTGCTACCATGAACAAAAACCCAGGTGCTAATGCACCAATGATAAGTAAATTCTGTCTGTCCTTTTCTAGTCCCACTGAAATTAAAGAGATTTTAAAGCTGGCAAAGTTGCATGAATTAGAGATTATTCCTCTGATACAGACCTTTGGACATATGGAGGTAAGTTTTGTGTTTCAAGACACTTGCTTTCATTTGTGGGGTTTGAGTTGATACGGTTAAGGTTCTTTTGCTGCCTGTAGAAAATGAGAAGAGAGATTTCTTTTCAATAGCAAATTTTCTTCCTCTGTCCCCTTCCTCCACTCCACCAGTATATGCTCCAGTTCTTATGTACGAAGGTGTTGATCTGTTGTCTACACAAATTTCTTCCCCTCCTACCCCATTCTATGGGAAGAGGCAGTTTGACTTTCAGAGATGGAACCATCCCTCCAAGAGGAAAGTAGTAGTAGATTTTCTTAACTGCAGCAAAACCCACCAAGCTCTGCACTAGGGAGCTGCATGCTGCATCCACAGCCGTACTGATGTCTTGGGCTACTCTGCTTGCTTCGGTTTGGTGTTAGTTCTCATTTCTCCTGCAGTTTGTCCTGAAGCACAAAGAGTTCTGTCATCTACGGGAAGTGGCCATGTTCCCCAACACTGTGAACCCCCATAGAGAGGAATCCCTGAGGCTTATCAGAACAATGATAGAGCAAGTGGTAGCTGTGCATGATGATCTCCGGTGGTTTCACATTGGCTGCGATGAGGTATGGTGTCGGGCCTGGGGCTGAGACTGCTTCTGCAACAACTGTGAGACGATGCCTTTGAAGAATGGCTGGACCCAGCCGCTGACTGTTGTCCCTTTATGGGCTCAGTGTCTTCCTCAACCCTGGCCTTGCGAGGGTGCCAACTTCCATAAGCCAAAGTGCAAGTCCAATTCTGATGAACAAAATTTGAGACATTTTGGTTTAAATCTTCAATAATAATTTTGAAGAAACCATTGTTACAGGCTTTGATTATGTATTAGGCCCTTCCTGGTTTGCATATTGGGCATCCTTTTGGCACTCTCTTGTGCTGTGATGACTTTTTTGATCATGTGACTGTACTGGGGTGTTGCTGCCGTGTTCTAGGTGCTTTAACGCTAGGAAGGAAAGGTATGATGTCTTGCAAGGACTTTCCCACTCTTTGCTCAGCCATTGTGGCTTCCCTGGATGATTGACAGGAAGGGAGAATCAAGATGGTTAAAGAAGAGAGAAACAAGATTCATCACTGGGTTTTGGCTCATCCACCCTTCCTAGCTTCGTGGAGTTACTTGAGTTGATCAGTTACAAAGAATGCAGTATAATTTCTTGAGTGGCTTTCTCAGCCACTCCACTTGCAATAGAGAGGACTACTCTGCGAATGAGAATAGAAACTGCCCATCTGTGTTGTATTTTGTTAGGGCTAATGAACAGAAGTACTGGATTGACGCTTCTATCTATGTTAGTCCATGGCCAGTTGGTTATAGTGCTATCGCACCAAACACAAGGTTTATCCTTTGGTATGGCATTGCAGATGCCCAAAAGGTGATGTTTGATTCAAAAGCTGAATTGTCTCCACAGCAGAAAACATTGCAGCCCCAGGCCGATGTTCCACAGAGTTCCAAGGGTCAGCCAATGCACCAAAGCTGCCATAGGAATATGGCTTTGCTCGAGCACGTATGGTCATGCATGCCTAATTTAACACCAAGCTATTTTTACAGAAGGATAGCTGTAGACAGAGATCTACCCTGTTCTAGCCTGCCTCTGCCCCTTGACCCCTCAAACACCAGTCATTTCTTTCTAGACCAAATCTCCCCTTTCCTCTCAATTATCTGGGGCAAAGGCTGCAGCGCGTATTATGGAAATAACTGCTAAAATGATCTTCTTGGAGTACTTGCTCCCCTACCAGCATGAAGAGTTTGGAAGGACTTAGCTTATGGAACTTGAGCATCTTCCTATATCCGTACCCTCGTTTGATTTTCCTAGTGGGTACTGAGGCTCTCAGCAGTGTGGCTGAGCATCTAAAAATTATGGACCAAGCTAGAATCAAATCAGTTCCCAGTTCCCAAATCAGCTGTTTTCATTGCCCCCCCCCCCCGCCATGGCAACTGTAAGGTGTGCTCCAGCCCATGGGCCACACCAGCCAGGAACAAGCGGCTGACTTCTTGGGAGAGAACCACCTTTATTTCCTTCCGCACTACCATGGTAACTAGCCCACTGCCGGTGCTGAAAATGAATGTGCCGCTACACGACGGTGGTGGTCAGAATGGAAGTAAATCCAGATTGTCTTGGTTGGCGCCTCCAGGTGTATTACCTCGGTGAAGGGGAGGAGTCCAAGCAGTGGCTGCAGCAAGGAGAAAATACAATTGAAAAGCTGTGCCTAGCCCACATGAAAGCAGTGGCCAGCCATGTGGTCTCAGCCCACCCCACAGTAAAACCTGTTGTGTGGGATGACATGCTGAGGGGAGTGAGTGAAGAAACACTGCGAGGTACGTTGTCACTGGAGTGGGATTCTGACAGTGGCTTTGCAACACCTGAACAGTGCGATGCATTTCTGACAGGCCAGGATTCATTGTTTGCTTCCGAGCCAGCTTGGGTAATGCTTGCCAGCAGACTCCTATAATGGAGGGGATCTGTGCTTCATAAAGCAGTGTGAGCATTTAACACGCACACCCACTGCGATGCTGTCCAGAAAAGAGACATTCCTTCATTGTCCCCAGTCAATATGTCCACCTGGAACATTATTTGAGTTCTATCCTGCCTTTTTCCTTTTAAAGAACCCAAAGTGGTTTACATCGTTCTCCTCCTGCTGCTCTCAATCTTCTCTCTACAGCAACAACAACCCTGTGAGGTAGGTTGGGCTGAGAGTCTGTGACTGGTCACCAGTGGGCTCCATGGCTGAGCGGGGACTAGAACCCAGATTGCCTGAGTCCCAGTCCCACACTCTTCACCACTGCACCACACAGGGATTCAGAGCAACAGGGAAGGGTGCCAGTATCAATTTTTTAAAAGCTATGCCAGGCCAAATCTGTGAGCACTTTGAAGAGGCAGTCTTAGTATTCTTAGGCTCTGGAAAAGAACCTCATAACTTGTTGTAATCCTGTGGAGATGAGCATAAGCTCCCAAATTCAGAGGTCCATGTTTATCCAATGGGAGGGGAGGCAGAAGTGCTCTTTGCCTCTCTGCTCCTCCTGTACTGTATTTTCACTAGATGGCCTCTCTCGACTGTACATGGGCCAGGGGGAATTGATCATTGCCAGGATGCCTTGTTTATTGGCTGCTCCAGTCTCCTCCTTTCCCACTCCCTGAATACCCCTTTCCCCCACTCTTGGAGTTTCTTTCCCAGCCTCAAAGAGCAGCCTGTGAAATTCATGCCATGCTGGCTGAGAGGGGCATCTGAACTCCAGTTCTCAGCTTTGAGGCTAGACTATCCTAAGGCCCCCTCAGACAATGTTTAGGGGGCACGAGGTTATTTCCTTAACATCTGTAAGCAAATGAGCAATTATAACAGAGTGAACAATCTGAACAGTAGAACTTTTTTTAAAAAATTCCTAAGTGGAAAAAATACAACTTAAAATCAAAAGGAAAGGCTGAGAATTTAGAAAGGAACAATGATTCAGCCTTACCAAAATTATCAGAATAATACCTGAATATGTGAACCTTCCAATTATATGCTGTAGCCCTGGGGAAAGTTCCATGCTGAAGCAGGAACTTCATTTTCCTCTAGAATTGCTAGTATATGGCTTGTGTTCTGGGGCTTTCCGATGGTGTTAGAGCATGGTGATATTAACATTTATTCTGAGTCTTTAAACACTATTCTCAAAAAATATGGATTGGATTCCTGCAAACAGATATGAGCACAATGCAAGAAAGGGGTATAATTTTTATCATTCATACTTCTTTTCAGGTTCTGGCATTGCATCGCTTGCAGAATTGATGATCTGGGATTACACCTCTGATCTTGATGTAGACAATAAAGGTCAGTGCTGCTTTGTCTCTTTCCTCAGGGAAAGGAAAAGAGACCCAGTGTGGCACAGTGGTTAAGAGCGTGGGACTGGCACTCAGGTGACTCAGGTTCTAGTCCCCGCTCGGCCATGGAGCCAGCTGGGTGACTTTGGCCCAGTCACAGACACTCAGCCCCACCTACCCCACAGGGTTGTTGTTGTTGTGGGGATAAGATTGAGAGCAGGAGGAGAATGATGTAAGCCACCTTGAGTGTGTTGTAAGGAAAAAGTGGGATATAAATCTAATGAAATAAAATGTTCCGCCAGTGTCAAAAATTCACAATAATGCCTTTTATTGCCAACATGTAATTCTCAGACTAATTACAACTTTACAGGCTTTTACAGGGACTAAATGAGATAACCCTGGCTAATGCACCCTGAGCTCCTTAGAGGAAGAGCAGGAAACACATACATAATTTTACTGGCCTTCTTTGTAACCAATTGTTGGCATGATGTGTTGAACAGCAGAGGCTAGAGGACTGAAGCTAGAATCCGCTCTTGAATTCCCACTTAGCCACAGAGCTTACAAGATGGGTTAACAACACACTTGCATCACAGGGGTGTTGTGGAGATCAGTTTTCCACAACTTGGTGTACTCTAAATGCTTTTGACTACAGCTCAGCAATCCTGACTATTATTGGCCATGCTGATTGGAGTTGGTGGAAGCTATAGCTCAAACATTTGGCAGGCATCATGCTGGGGAATGATTCTTGGAGGAAAGGCTTATCTCTTTTCATGAATAGGCAAAGTGATTAAGGACTTGCTGAGCACTGTAAAACTTTTTTTACAATGTTTTGTAAAAAAAACATGCATAGGATAGTGGTTTCAGAAAAAAATGGTCCCTCTGCCTCCTCAGCATTTGCTTCAGTCATTGCATTTAAACAAGTACTTTCAAATGCATCCTTTACTTGCATCCTTTAGGAAAACTCCAAAGCCAACAGTGGAGATAGAAACTTAGGAGTGTTTTAGTAATAAATTGCCAAAAGGATGAGAGTGCATCTGTTAACCTAATTGAGGAGCATCCTTATTTGTTTAATGGTCAAACGAATACCAGAACTGAGGCCATTGAAGAAAGAGGGTTGACTGTGAATTGTTGATCAGAGGTTCTTGTAGGTGTTTTAAAAGAGTGTTAGAGAAGCAGCTTGGGCAGCATGTGAAATTCTTCTGATTTGAAACTGCTTTAACCATCTATTTTATACATAACATTTATGTATATTTTAACTTATTGGTTTTATTTACTGTTGTAAGCTGCCCCGAGGCTTCGGCGAATGGGGCGGCATAAAAATGTTTTAATAAATAAAAATAAATAAATAACATTTAACAGTTTTATTCAAGTAACATGAAAGGGAGTTATTTTTAGCATCATTTCACTTACTGGCATTTTTTCATCTTGATGATGAAGGAGCTCTGTCTGAGTTAGTGAATATTCAGAACGTTAACAATACTTAAATCAGGTCCAAGGAAAGATTGTTTTAAAATAAAGCAGAATTTTCTGGTTAACCATGTATCATTTGAGCTCAGATCTCTGCAATCTTTAAAACTTTTTTTTCTAAATCCTGGAGCATATGAATTTTAGGTCTTGCAGCTTACAATCTTTTATATCTAAACATAAATAAGACCAGACTGGTTGTATGTATAAACAGTTTAGGATGCAATCCCATTCAGGTTTAGACAGAAAAAGTCATACATCTCCCAGTGTTCCCCAGCCAGCTATTCTTTCTAAACCTGCTTGGGATTGCACTTTAGATACCTACATTAACAGTGCAGATGACTTATGGATTCCTGTTAGTTTAAGTTTAGGATCACTGTCTTTTGTGCTTTTTATCATTGATCTGTAACTCTCTTATTTTCTACTTGGTTCAAACTAAACTGTATCTTGTATCAACCAAAGAGGGTTTTATTTCCCAGAATTTCAATAAACTCTGTCAGTAAACTGTGAACTTTACCCTTTAGTTTTTAAAAAGTATGTGATAAAAAGTTATTCCTGTGTCTCTTGCCTTCCAGCAATTCTCATTGAAAAGTACCAGAAGTGTAATTTCTCGAAGCTCTGGTTTGCTAGCGCTTTTAAAGGGTCCACTGGAGTCAACCAATCTTTGACACTCATTGGACACCATCTTAAGAACCACCAGCAGTGGCTGAAAGTGGCAGAGAGCTGTCCTTCTGGTATCATCCAAGGGATCGCCTTAACAGGCTGGCAAAGGTAACTAAATCTTAGAAAGATTTGTAGCATTTTTAATACATTGAAAATGGGAGGACTTCTCGAGAAAGATCCTGAAGCCAAGAATTGTCCAGTTAAACTAAAACAGCACACATGTGTTTCAAGCCTTTAGAACTGTGATAGAAAACTAAATCTCTCAGAAACAAAACAGGGTTCGTCAGCTCAAGAAGGAAGTCCCACTCTTACTCTCTGTTGCTTCTCATCTTCCTACCGCAGCCTACCCTACTTCCTGCTTCACATTCTATAAATCTGCAGTGCCCAACTTCTTCCCCACCTACCTCCTCCAGATTTCCTGGATTCACAGATTTCCTTTTTCACTCTATTTTCCACTTAAAAACCCATAGCCACAGTTTTGCAAAGGGAACAAAACAAACATATTAAGCTACATACAGATGCATTGTCTGATTCTGATTGTAGCATATTTGGTTTTCCATCAAAGAAAAATGTGTTGCAAAAGCACCTATGCATGATTTCACATTCTGGGGGTTCAAGAGGTGTGTCTTACCAAAGCTTTTAGAGTCCCTGAGGCTAAAGTGTGGACTGCTACAGTGCCTTGCCTATAGTATCGCTTACATAATAGCACTATATTTTCTTCTCTAGGTATGACCACTTCTCTGTTCTGTGCGAACTTCTGCCTGTAGGGATCCCATCATTAGCTGTATGTCTTCAGACCCTAAAGAACGGTATAATATGATTCTCTCCTCAGTCAGATCTAAGTTAGGTGTACAGAATTTGTATATTCTTTTGAAATGGTTTGGCTGGAATTCTCCCTGGTAATTCTATTATCTAGGACTTTATTGGGATCTGTCATGGGTAGGCACATTCCCTTACTTCAGACATGGGCATGATGCCCTCCAGACATTAAAGTGTTGGCCTTATATCTTCCCCCACAGCCCCTCAGAGTTGGCCTCTCTGCCAGCCAGAGCAAGCTTCTCAAAGCTGATGCACAGCTGGCTGGGACATGCTGCGAGTCATAGGCCAATACATCTGGAGAGCACATCTGGACTGATAAAGGTTGAAGTTCCATAAAATATGGCTTCACCTAAGGCAGAAGTGGGGTGTATAAGGTTCTCGGGCCACTTTGGTCTTGCCAGAGTTTTCCTCTTCAATAAAATTTTGCTGAGCAGCACAGGCTGAAGGAAAGCTTTCACAGGCCAGATGGCGGCCAGAGGCTACACGTAACTGTCAAGCTCCATCAACTTTGTTAGAGCCTAATTTAAAGAATGTATGCTTAGGAGTACACCCTCAGTTGAAAAACCACCCATTTATACTAAATCCTCATCTGCATTTTCCTTACCCTAAATGGTCTGGTGGGTTCTGAGCCATCATTATGATTTGAAGACATGGATGATCTGGAGTCAGAATTCCATGTTTATTGATAAGTTGGGGTTCTGCACAGCCACTTAGAAGATTTGCCACTTGGCACAGGTGTGAAGTAATATATACCACCACATCCATATTCTGGCTTTGCCATTTCTGGCATTCTTCCCTGTCTTCTATACTGACAGGGGACCAAATCCGTGTTCAAAGCCACTGCTTTTTTCCATTAACATTTTTACAATCCAAATAAATATTAATAATTCAAATAACTCTTTTTTGTTTCCCAAGGTGGCTATTCAGAAAAAGTGAAAGAAGATGTAGAAAAATTCCTGGGGATCTCTAATTTGGAAATAGATACTTTCATGAGGTAAAACTATTAGGACCTTTTTGCAAACAGATTCAGGACAAAAAGGGCAATCCTAAGTAGGTCTATTCAGACATTTATTTATTCATTCATTCATTTATAAAATTTGTATGCCATCCAATTACTTGCATCTCTGGACGGCTTACAGCACAAATAAATTGACAACCCACTCTGGCTGCAAGTTAATGAAAGACAACAATAAAATTCAATATTAAAACATATTAAAATATTTATTAAATAAAAAGATCTTAACCTGGCGCCAAAAAACATATAATGACGGTGCCAGGCAGACCTCTCAGGGGAGCCCCATTTAGTTAAGTGGGACAGTGTGTATAGTATTGCAGCTTAAAACAATCATGGTTTGGGATGATACCCACATGTGGAAAAAGAAATGAGCTCCCTGTTGGTCACTCATCAGTCCCTGGGGGTTGTCATGTGAATCCAGTGTGAGAAGCCCATGGCTTGCTTCTGGGTGGTTCATGCCTTCGTGTGACATCTGAACCTGGAAGGGCAACTTCATTGTAGGTTTCTAGGAATGGCCAGAGAGCCCACCCACTGAAAGCAGTGTACCCCTTCCAAAACCCCCATCCGCTTTCATAATACAGAGAGATACATGAGGGAAGTGTCATCTGCACTGGCCCTGTTGGGTTGGACAAAATCCATTCTTTCCAGTACATTCATTTAAGAAACTGCTATGCTGCTTTCCACACATCTTCGCATAGTGGTTCGCAAACTTGTGAAACAAAGTGTGAGCAGTCCCCAGGTTACAAACGAGTTCCATTTCTGCAAATGCAGAATTGTTTTCTTTAAGTTGAATTTGTATGTAAGTTGGATCGTGTATAGCTGGCCCTCCACATTTGCGAGGGTTAGGAGGGTAGGACCCCCCATGAAAGTGGAAAAACTGTGAATATCTCAAGCTCCTGCCCCACCCAAACTCACCAACTTCTCTTTGCAGCAAGGAAATGCTGGAGAGATTCCCCCCCTCCAAATGCCCGGGGCAAAAAGGCTTGCTTTGGAGCCCTTCCCTTTGCTTCCTCTCTAGGGTGATGACAATTTTCCACAATTATTTTTAAAAATTTAACAGGCTTTTTGGCAGTTTGTTTGTAAGTACGGGTTGTCCATAACTCGGACATTCGTAATTTGGGGACTGCCTATAATGCAAGAAAGCATCATTTTTCCAGTTATTTACTTGCAATGCTCACCAGGGTTTTCTTCTCGAACAGTGACATCTCAGGGACTTTCCCAGGAAGTGAAATTCTCTCACTCATCACTCAGATTGTGTTCTACCTCAAACCATCTGTGGTTGAACTTCTGGAAAACAACAGGTAGGAAACAAAACAAGGAAGCTATACTGCAACACAGCCTATAATTGATCTTATAACATACTGTATTTTTTTTACTGTGTATTATGCAGCCCAAAGTTCACAGCCACCTCTTTACCTCACGCAGCCACTAAGACTGCACTCATATATAAACCTACCAGGAAATAAGCCCAATTCTGTGTAAACATATATTAAGATTATTCTGTAGGATTATAAAAATTTATTTCTCTACCTGAAAGCATACATTGAAACAATTCTGCTTCCTCTTTTTAACCATCCAGACTGCACATATGTTTAGATGATTATATGTTAAGGAGTAACTGCTACATATTAAGTGGTTCTGAGTAAATGTCTTATAAATTTGATTTCTCCTTGATGTGTGATGCATCTCGTGTCTGATACATGATGTTTTAGTCTGTTCACATGTAGATCTGTCTTTAGTTATGTCACAGGCTGGTTCAGCCCTTACCACAGAAAGAGAAAGAAGATCCATCCTATAATGATTCATCATTTTCAGCCAGATGCACTAAGGTGAGCCAAGGTCTCTGATCTCCTACAGTGTTTGTTTTGAAAACTAGAGGTTTAAAAGGTTCACACTCTTATTCATGACTAATTAGCATTAAGAACCTCCATGCTGAGGCAGCTCTAATGCTTTCAACGCATTTGAGCATATAGTTTATTGCATATCGTGTTTAGATGTGCTAATTGTCAATAATTATTGATCATTCATGCAGTTAAATTCATAAATAATCAAATAGTTACCAATCTACAAATAGTTACCAGCTAGCTAATAGTTACCAATCACCCCTCATTGAGACCACCCTCCAACCATTGGCTGAACTGCTATGTGAAATCATAGACTCTTCACAAGTATTTGAGCCACTAAGTGAAAAGACTCAGGGAAAGAGTGTTGACAATTGCTGACCACAGATGCCATATGGGAAGTGAAGAGGTCTGTTTGACTGTTTGTCATCTGAAAGAGAGAGGTGCTTACTGGAAAGCTGCAGCTCTCCAGCATATCAGGGCCTCCCACTGGGGATGCCAGAAGTTGAACTTGAGATGTTTTACATTTTATATTCAAAGGAGTGACCATTAAGGAGGGCAGGCTCCAGGTTTTGGGGAGCCCTTGAGGGGCACAGCCCCCTCTCTCCATGAGTCTGTGCTCAGCAGCTTCTATTGGTCCCGTCAAGTGCACTGAGAGGACTGCATGCTAAATATCTTGTATATCTTGTAGAAGGTGAAGAACTGAATATTTGGAGAGTGGCAGGTCATCACTACTAGCCTTAGACTTCTAAGGAAAAGCTGTGTGTTCTACAGATACACTTAGCCATAATCAAGCATTAATCTCTTGTGTAGCCATGAACAGAATGTTCAGCAGCAAGTTTCAGTTTTGTATGGTTTTCAATGCAGTGGGATTATTACAGAAGCCCACACTGGAGCTGTAGCAGCAACATAACACGTGGAATGCTAAAATGTGAGGTAACTTTGAACAGTTATAGTGGATAAACTACTTCACTCTTCATAGCCCCAGTTCATATTCTCCAGCCAGTGGGTGTCTGGTCTCATCTGTCTTCCAGTTACTGTTTCACTATTACATTTTGCAATCTAGCACAGTTGGTGATTTATAGGAGGGGTGTGAATGTCTAGGAAGTATAACTAGATTGATTATATCATCTTGTAATCAAAATGTCACCATTTTAGCTCTTGTGATATTACCCAATTTGGCTGCAGAAGCAGTGCTTTCCGATAATAAAAATATGTAACTTAGTACAGTATTTCTTCATCTGTTCTGTTCAACTCATTTTCCTTAATGAATTTAGTTGAGTCATTCTGTGAAAGCTGCCATGTTCCCATATAATCTGCAGCCCTAAACTCTTTTATCTTTTCATGACATCAAAAAATTGTCCTGTGGCATAGTTATTAAACCAAGAACCTTGTGTACTTCTTCACATGGCAGTATCTTCAATCCTATCGTTGATTTCTGTGTAGGCTTCTTTCCAAGTGGACTGCTGTCACCCAGGAGCTACAGACAGCCATGGAAAAGATCTTTTATATATCTGCTGCAGAAGAATGGATGGAGGAGAATGCTCAGTCCAGCCTGGAAAGGCTTCAAGCTACAGTAGATGATCTGGACACAGCAATACAGGCGTTGTCATAGCACTCGTACAAGTGGCTCTGCTTTACGACTAGCACCAAGCAGCTAGATAAGTGTGGTGTAGATGGGAAGTTGGATGTCAAGAGATGACTCAATTGCACTTGGAATTATGGCATTTGTATATTGGATGCTCTCCTCTTCTTCTGAAAAACTCAACAGCAATCACATTGTACACATGCAGCTGTACTGGTTCTCTTCTGTAGAAGTGAAAACATGTACAGCTTCCTCATGGTTGTTCTTCAGAGTAATCTCAGATCTCCCAAATTAAAAGCATGTACACAGACACTTTATTTTTTAAATTGAAGAATTTGCACAATTGTTTCTTTCGGTATACTTTAAGTGTCTCTGGTAGAGTGTGGAAAAGTGGACAGGCTGGTACATCTTTTCCTTTCTCATACTAGAACCCAGGACCATCTGGTAAAGTCCAATGTTGAGAGATTCAGGAGAAAAGGAAGTACTTGACACACAGCATATAAAAGAATTCATTTCTGTGAGATGTGGTGATGGCCGCCAGCTTTAAAAATGCTTGGATTTATGTAGGAGTGCTGCACTCATGGTGGCTGTATATTAGCTCCAGCATCAGTGGGAGAATGCGTCTCCATACCAACAGCAGCAAAGGAGTACTGCCCTTAAGACCTGACTGTGGGCTTCTCATGGTCAGCTACTCTGGGATGTAGGATGCTGGACTGGATAGGCCTCTGTACGGGGACAGCAGGATCATTTTTATACATGTGTAGCACTACATGAACAGCCCAGTCCTGTTCCTAAGAAACAGTCCCTTTGCTCTGCTATCCGGAGAAACTATTAAAACTAATGTTCCCTGTGGAGCACCTAGATGCAGTGCCCTTCTGACCTATCTTGAGAAGAATCATAACTGGAGCATTGAGGACTTGGAAGTATTGGTGCACCTGTGAGGATTATCATTCTGAATTACAAATTGGCAACACAAGTGTCTGTACCTTAAGATTTGTCTTCAGCCAGTTCACAATAGTTTCTGTTAGACTGCCCCAACCTCTATCCTCAAAGCGGGTGTTGTTGTTTTTTAAGGAGAGGGCACAATGCAGAGGTCACTGACACTGTTATTACTCATTTACTATTGTATTAGTAAAGAGCCAGAATAAACAGATTTCCAAACCTATTAAACATGACCAAAATAAGTACAGATGATAGTTTTTAAACAAGTAAAACAACAACAAAAATACAGGATTTCCATAGGATTTTTTCATATTTAGGTATTTTATACAACATTTGTTGGTTTTAGTTGGATTTAAAATCAATTACTCCTAAATATACATTTAAGCGTTTTAAAAAGTCATTGGATGCTTTTGCAGATGGTCATTATAAGAAGGTGCAATTTAATTAGCAAGGAAGATTAATTACCAGTCATTGTGAGGCAATTTTGATGTTTTTGTCTTTCTTATTAAGGATTAGTACCAAAACGGCTTTTAAGTCAAACAACTGTTCTTTAGTTTCAACCCCACCATTCCAACTACTGTAACGCTTCCCCAGGCACCCAGTACAAGAGTGTAGGAACTGTACTTCTAGCTCAGGTTTAGAACTGGGGAGGAAAAATGCACCATTTTGCTGCTAAGACACCATTTCAGAATTCATAAAGGGAACCTCGCTGTATTCCTCATTCCCAGAACTAATCGTTCCCACAGTGTAACATCTTTTAATTGTCTAATCAGTGGATTAAAACTTCAACCACATTCAGGAGTTGTAAGCCAAAACCAGTGCAGTTTGAAAGCCAGAATACTGAAGGCAGACAGTGAGGTCTTTCCTCCTCAGAGGTAACCTGAGTTCAAATGACTTACGCCCAGGTAAGTTTGTATAGCACTGCAACTGTGGTCATCTTTAAAAAATCCAACATGGTGAAGCAACACAATTTCCCCTTCTACTGTTATTTCCCATAATTTTACCAACTATAACAAGCTTGACATGATGGACCACTATGGAATGAGTGGTCCTTTCAAATTCAAACAGGATTGCTAATAAATTTAAAATTAATTTATAGTACTGGAATGTCAGTACTAAATGGCTGCAACTGAGTTCCTTGTGGTTCACACAGAGCTTCTGGGGTTTGGACATTTAGTGGTAACTCGAGTATGAAATACACTGGCCTTTACTATTGTCAGACCCTATACAGTACATGCAGACAGTCCAACGAATCTTATTTACACTTCTGCTGCTGCTTGAAGATCCTCCCAAAGAGCACACGTGTTTAAGTACTGTGCTTCACCTAGGAAGAGCTATTGTTCAAGTAGGCCTAATGTTCAAATGAGCTAATGAATCACCATTTGGATCAAGGCTACTTGTTGCCTTGGCCAAAAGTTGAGCCTGAGCTTTCCTCAGAAGTGTGCATTTTTCAGACTTGCAGCCTGCCTTATGCTGAAGGACTGCAGTAGACAGCAATCACATTGAGAGTCTACAGAAAAGACCATGTACCTTCAACAGTTTAATCCAAGTCCATGGAAATTAGGTACTACTTAGACCCTGGCTTGTTCCAGCAGAACATGGATATGTACCTACACAGGGTGCCTGGCAGTAGTTGGGCCTTAACGTGGATGATAAGCACCAGCTTCCCATGCAATAGAAGAGACTGCAGGCATCTCACCAGATGGAACTGGTGGCTGCAGCTGCAAGAGGCAAATGCACTGGAAGCTCCTTAACCATCCCAAGGCCGCAAATCTGTAGTTGAAGGAAAATATGAGATATGGAGAAATTGCTATTTAATCTGATTTAGATAGATGTAATTCGTCACTGCAATAGATTTAAATTCTAATACAAATGAATTTGAGCCTGACCTACACTTTTAGAGAACGCTCAAAAATACAGGTGTTGTCTGATATTTCAAGTTTTGTGCACTTAAGATTCACCAAAATAAAAACACCCCCCCCCATCCATTGACTGCACTCATATCTACAGTAAGCAAGTATCTACAGGATGGTTTTTCAGATTTCTCCACTCTTCTACTAAGAAATTCATGTCTCTGACCAGATATCTTAATACTGACTATCAAACAGTGCAGGTACCTTTACAATTTGTACAACAAATGAAATGCTATTCTACAGAACAGTTCACATTAACAATTGACACCTTAAAACACTTGAGTGGTAGGAATGATCTGAAATCTATTTTTTTTTCACTCTAACCCTAGACATTTATTATAAAATAGCTACCATTACAAAGATAACACAAAGTATAGATGTAAATCAAAGACACTTTCAGAGTGCGCATATGCTCCTAGACCTCACCTAGGAGACACAGGGTACTTGGATTTCCCACCCTTAGAGCCCCAGCTCACAGCCAGTGCAGGAACAACCACCCTACCTTCCTCTCTGAAGTCAGGAACTCAACTTCACGGGAGTGCTCTGGTGGGCAGGGAGGGGAGACTGCAGAGGCCAGGGTATGACATAACCCCTCTCATTTGTAGCCTCCTTGCCTGCCCACCCCCCATGCCCCCCACTTCCCAGTCAAAAACAGTCGTCTAGCAAAAATGCAAGGCAAGAAGGGCAGGGAGGCAGATAGCACTTCCCATCATTCCTCCCATTGTGCACATGAGTCTCCGGGAGGCTTCCTGCCATCACAGTTGGTTTGCACCCTTGCAACTCTTACACTGTGAGGTATATATTTTTAAATTAAGGACAGCTCTTAACACCTATTTGAGATAAATCAAACCAGCTCAACCATTCTGAAGTTTCCTGCCTTTCCTTTCTTAAAAAATAAAACCTTACAATTAAACCATATCGACAGCTCGTTCACTCATTCGCTTGCTCTCTCACACACCCACTTCCACAAATGCATTTTTAAAAAATGGTTCTTCTGAATATCTGTTACACTGGAAATTTCCTTTGGAAAATGATGTTAACATAGAAAAATTTAAGTTACACAGGAGCATCAAAGTTGGATTTGACTGCTGTCAAATACATGGTGGAATACAGAAACATATAGATCTTAGTAGTCTGTAACTAATGACTAAGATGGCTTGTTAAGATTTGTTTACAAGTAAGGCAACAATAATGCTCTTCTTCAGACAAACACCAAAATCATGGGTTTCACAACTGACAAGTCACAATAAACTTGGGATCACCTTACTCTCTTTTTCTTTGCGTGCAAGAGTAAATGCTTCCTCTTTGAAAAAACCAGTCCAGTATTACATGTGGCTTGTTCTAGCCATGGTTTAGAATACTGTTTTGCTTTGGTTAAATTTGTTTAGGGGAAAAAACAGTTCCAGGTTTGGGCAGAATTGTAGTCCTGATGTGAAAGTTCCTGCACGGAAAGGAAAGGTCTCTCTCTCTCACCTTGGCGTGAGCTCAAGGCTCACCTTTTAGGTCAGGGAGAAGAAACTCTTTCAGTCCAAGGGTTAAATTCCATTTTGAAGACATTCTCAAGAGCCACATACCAGTGGTGAGCAGTGCCAAAATACTAGTATACTTCAGGGCTCTTTTTCAGTACCAAACCCTTAGGGGATGCATTTTAACTTTTTATATTGGAGAAAAACTGGACAGAGGTCTGGAAACCAGCAATAGGTCACTGGAGGGAAAAGGGTGCAGCCAGAGACTTTCTGAGTAACAACGGGAAGTTGGGGGTCCCAGGTAGACTGAATCTTAATCCTAGGCCTTAAGTTCCGTACCTCTGGTTTAGGTGATCATCTGAACTGGGCCAACATTTTGCTTTGGTTCCTCTAAGGTCACATCAAGGTAAGTTTCAACTAAAGATTTGCTGAGTTGGGAAGGATGAAAGACATCAAAAATAAGAGTTCATCTAGGGGTCCCTTTCCTTCTAAATTGGTAGCTCTAGCTAGAAAGAGATTTACACAGAAGGAAAGCCAAAAATCAAGAGAAATGTCTAGAACCCAAAAGATACGCAGTTCTGTTCTGTACTACAGTTGTTGTTTTCTGTCCATCAGCATTCACATAGCTACTTGTCCTTGGGTTCCTCTTCATCACTAATGTCGGTTTCACTGCTGTTTTCAAAGTCTAGCTGAGTTGGCACCTTGTTCAGTTCAAGAAAGCCAGTAATCAGCTTGGCCACAGCCTCAACATCACTGTTGAAAAGAAATGTTTGACAATTAACAATTCAAGTGTCTGCCTGAAAAGGTCACAAGTGTGCGCACATATATAAGCATCCATCTAAAATGGAGGTCACTGGTAAGGGCAGCAAAATCAACAGGGTTCCTCAATTATCCTCATTTGAAAGGGGTATCACAGGAGCTCATGTGTTAAGTATTATAAAGAAAATACTTAACGCATGAGATCCTCTGATATCCCTTTCAAATAAGGATAATTAGAAACCGCTTCTATTTGATTTTAGAACATTATTTAAACTTTAAGAGTTAATTTTATATGAGCAAGGAGCCCATTGGTTTCTTAGCAGTTAGTTGGGAGAAATTATATCAATACTGTTCTCCTGATCAAATGGCTAATAAAGGCAATGGGGGGAAGAATAAAGTTCAGTAAAAAAAATAGTGAGGAAAAAGAAAGATGCACAATTTGGGAAAGATGTGTTTTTCACAGTGGATACTCCATTTATAATTAGGCTCAGACTATGAAGCATCCCTAGGGGACACATACTGCCACTGGTAAGAAGTACAGCTTGAGACTCTCCTACAAAGCCAGCTGCTTTTTAAATATTTGTAATGGCTTTGGGGCTTACAATAGCTTGGAGACGCATGATGCAGTGGACTGAAAAAACCCTCACAAGTAAAAAAATTATCTGCTTCAGAGTATTGCGTACTTCCTCTGAAACGTTCAAAAGTGGCTGCTCTCACACAGAGTGCTGCACGAAGGGTGACTGCTAAGGGTGTTATGCTCTCATCACCTCACACAGCCTGTACTGGGGTGGAATAGTCTTCACAACTGGAGCCTATGGAACAATAAATACAGTCAAACAGAAATCCTTTTCAGGATTTAATGTACTAAGATCTTTAAAAAAAACAGCATAGAAAACAACGGAGCAGTAACTGGAAAATTCCTAAATAGGGACTATTAATTCTTTACTTACTCACTGCCACATGAATTTTGAACTTGTCAATCCCAAATTGCAGCCATCTGTTGCTGTCAGAATTTTTAGGTATGTTGAGGCCCAATATTTACTCTGTTTTCATAAATTACAGACAAACTGAAATATTTCAGTCACAGCCTTAGATAAGATTTTATTGGGAGGCAGCAGGGGGGCAGGGAAAACACCACCAAAACCAGAAATAGGAATTATTTTGTGGCTCAAAATAATTCTCAGAATATTCTCAGAATGCCAGCTTCTGTTCAGTTTCCTTTTTTCTTGAATCTGTGGACATGTGGATTTTGATTTTTTTCAATGTATGTTTGAAATGCTAACTTCAGTATTTTTCATGCATATTTTCACCACCTGCAGCCTGGAAGTTACTGCAATTGTTAAAAATGGCATCCAATTATGCTAAATACCTACAATCAAAATGAACAAGTTATTTATTTTATGGCTTTTTTCAATGTGATCTACTGATCTATACATAAAGGCGGCCAAATAGTTGGAACTTCTAGTGTTGTCCATCTAGGGCTGAATGAGGCTTCCTCACATACCCTTGAATACCCACAGACAAGAAAGTTCAGACTATACCTTCTGCAGCCCATCACTGCACTCTGTGTCAGAGGATGCGAAAACCCGGTGCCAAACCGCAGCACAACTAGGTATCCCTTCCCAAAGTAACGCACTTTCTCTTCTTCCACATTGACAGCCCGAATTTCATCCAGTGGAACCACCACTGCTTCACAAAGGAGCAGAAAGTTGAATGTTTAGCATAATTCCAGGGAGCACCAGTTGCATTCTCTGAAATACTTCACTCTTGCAGCCTGCATTTAATAAAGCACTCCAGGCACTCTCTCACGCCGCTGCCAAGTGCTCACCATGAATTGAAAGCCCTGTGGAACTAGTGTAGCGGTTTAATTGAGACAATGGAGTTAGGGGAATTTCTGAAAGCCTCCTTCAAGTCAGGGCAGTAAACTGTTCAGCACTAGCCCTAATGTAAATTACAATGCACCGGCATAAGGTACCTCTAGCACAGTACCAGTAGCATTTGCTGGTATGAGAGGTTTCCACAGAAGACCCATTGCAGCAGTAAACACGGTTGCATTGTGCTAGAGGTGCTTATGCTGGCATGGTACGGTTTTTATCAGCACTAGTGCCAAATAGGATATTGCTCTTAGTGGCAGAGCATCCTTTTTCCCCTTAACTTGTTCCTCCCATGTTAAGATTGTAACAAGTATCACACATTTCAAGGCAGTAAGAATGTAGAATCATGAGAATATTTTTGAGGGGATAAATTGTTCCCCAATTCCTCTCACAATAGATGTATAAGGCTTATCCTACAGACATGTGTTTGTCCCTATAGCCATTACTGAGACAATTTCCAGTTTAGAAATATGGTGTGACAATTTTAATATTTGTTCTTGAGGAACCAAAGAGAGATGTTTTTGTTCCTACAGAGTTTTATAGCATTTATGAAATCAGGAACAGCCTTTGCAGGGACCGCAAGGGTCATCTTGTTCAACCCTCAGCCATATTATGGGGAACCACATACAGAAAGCAGTTTTGAAATGCACACTTAGTTGCACACACTTAAATACACCCTTAGTTATCAGCAGGAACACATCCTGTGAAGAAGATTCACATATGTGGCTTATTTCAGTCACTCTCCATTAAAATTTGAGCATTTTGCTCATGTTCAATGTATCATATTAACAGTCTGAAAGCCCACTGCACTCTTGTGCTTGAGAACAGTGTAGAACCACCATCTTCCAGACAGGCAATAGCTTGAAGAGTAAAAATCAGACTGTGCATCAGCACAAGTTCTGGAATATTTTTCTGATCACACTGACAAGGATGTAAATAAGTAACAGTTCCAGAACTTAAGAGAGCTGTAAAGTCACAGCATCCATTCTTTAATATAAACTGCACACATCTCTGGCCCCAACAACTCAGAATATACAGTTACTCCCTTTCTGTACAGAACATGTATCATGCACAGCCTGTCACTATACCTTGTTCGTGACCAGCCTTTGACAGGGTCAGCAACTTTTTGTAAAGATTGAACGACTTTAGAATAACTTTCCCTGCATCTTTTTGAAATATAGCTTCCTATAAACAAAAAGAACAAAGAAAACTGAAACAAGATCATATAATTAACTGTGCATATAATTAACTGTGAGATGATGGGAAAATAGTTGCCCATTTACAAGGTAAGAATTTCCCATCATTTTCCTGTCTAATTAACATCAACTATGGTAGAAGATAAGTAAATAAGCAACAGTTATATAAGCATCATTACTATTTTCCCATTGCTGGATTATACCAGTACGATTTCTCTGCTTCTCCTCAAAACAGGAAGCCTACTAAATCTCAAACTCCATAAAAATGTTTGCATTAGCCTCCTCTCATGATATAAAATATAATGGAAAATTGAGGGCTTTTTTTGGCTGATTTTCCAAACGCTTAAACAACTGCATAGCATTAAGCTAGACACCCTCTCCTTATGGAAAATACAATGCCTTACTTTTAGGGCTCACACATGCCTAACTTTTCCTAGCCACATGTGCCTATTTTGCTGTGTGAATGTGTGGGCACCCTTCTTTCCTATGCTAATGCTATCTGATTCACTAACCATCACAATTCAGTCTTATCTGCACTCTCTTCCCACCCAAGAACATTGAAAACTGCCAGTATTTCCCTCTTAGGCTAGGTTTCATTTGGTATTCCAGCTAGGAAAGTAAGAAGGTTCCATAATTCCTCCAGACATCTAAAAGAGGCAAATGTAAAGGCTAAAATTTATCTGGCAATCTGAAGCATAGAAACACTGCACAAGTTTCTTCAACAACCATTTTGCCTCAGTCCAGAATTTATTTTCCTAGTGGATTATTCTAATTATCTTTGTTCTAATATTAGTGTGAGTCAGTGTAATCCTTCAGTGGACAACAGGGTGGCATATAAAATATGAATGCCTGCATTTTCTTGAAAAAGAAAGAGGAACGACAAATGTTAGGAAAAAATACTTGACAACCTTTTCCCCTCAGATACCTAGTTTAAGAGAGTAAGAGTGCAGTCCTATGGGGATGCCTGTAATCCCCTGAACTCAAAGACATGGGGGTATCCAGTGCAGAGTATTTCATGAGCTACCAGACACATGTTCCAAAAAGAGATTCAGAGACTCAGTGCTGCTGCCTCTATGTAGAAGTAACCGTGATTAATACACCATTTTTCTACTTTCTATGCAGCAACTTTCTTGGCACTGACAGAATCAACAAGTCAGTTTTGACTAAACGATACTAGCAACCACACAGGCTAACTCAGCCCTCTCCAACTCAGTTGCCTCCAGGTGTTCTGGATTTCAACTCTCCTCACACCAACCCAGCATGGCTGACAGTTAGGGATGCTGGGAGTTGCATCCTTCAGAAGACAGGGACAACTGGACTAAGGCAACCAAACTGCTTGCTCACAACATGCTCCTTACCTCCCAGTCCTCCAGATTTTGCACAGCAACAAAGAGACAGCCAACAAGATAAAAGAATTTCCATCCCCAGCTATCTGAACAAAACAAAACATTTCAAGTTAGAAGTGTACAACTAACCCAGTGGTTTTCAACCACCAGTCCAAGCCCAGTGTCAGTCCACCAGAGGTTTCCTGCTGGTGGGGGGGGGCAAATCCCACTCGCCATGGACTGGCATGGGGGCTGACTGTGCTCCACCAGCTCTTCCTTGGTTGGCATCATGTTCATGGGGGTGCACTGAAAATACTAGGCGTTGACTCTCCATAGCCACTATTATGTTCTCCAAGTATTCTAATTCCTTCACTTTGTCCTTATGTGAATCCTAAATGCCTTCCCCAGCACTATCTAGGATTCTAAAGAGAAGGCTGCCTCCTCAGTTCTTGCAGACCGCTGACTGCTTGTAACTGCTGACAGACCACAACTAACTGCCTGAAAGTATCTATTTCTCTCGCCTGACGCACTTCCAAGCTTACATCTTGTGGTGCAAGCTTTCATGACCAAATCCTACCTCATTGTATTCCAAAAAGGACATACACAGCACTTTAGTTTCAAGCTATATTGTTAGTGGACCAGGAGGCAGGCTTATGAAAATGTATTGATAACTAGGAATCTATGTCTAAGGTATACACAGAAATGAAAACGTTCCCTACTGCTTCTCAGAACACACTTTACAATGAAATGGAATATGAACTATTGTATCTAGAAGCAGGGTGTTTATACCAATGATTCTCAGGCTGTGGAATTATTTTCTCCATCCACAACATGGTGATATGCAGCTCTGCCAACTTACTGGTTTTTAGGAAGAACTGCAAAGCACCTCTCTTCTATTTAGGCTTTAGTTCTTCTAGTTAGTTTGTTGTTTTTTGGAGGGAGGGGTTGCAGGGTGGTGTTATTTATTTTCTATGTTATTATTGTCTAAATAAACCAACTGTTGTTGTAAGCCACATGCACCGTTGTCGCTAATAAAATCCTAAAGAACTTTTATGCATATCAGGTATAACTTCTCATGGAATGAAGGTGCAAGAGATTAACTTAATCTCTAGAAAAAATAGTTACAATTTTAAATAGTATCACTGTACTCATAATTTTAATTTGATTTTTTTTTCTCAGTATAAGCTGCAATTGTATACCTATTTATCTGGGAATAAACACCACTGAACTCAAATGAACTTGCCTCTGAGTAGACACATGTAAGAATAGACTGTTAATTAGCTAGCTTGATGTACTTTATATTCACTGAGATTATTTAAAATTTTGATAACCAAGCTGGATATTTTTGGAAATACCAGTACCCACATTTTAAAAGGCAGAGTCTAAACCTTTCTATTCTTCTTACAAAGCTGCCTCAGTAAGGACAAGAGTGGTCTCATTACACAGTAATACAGAACATCGGCAATTAATGAGCACATTCGCACTATATGGGACTTCATTCTGAACATCATCACTGTAAGTCCTTGTTCCAGGCCGGTTTTGCCCTATGTGGAAGTATTTCCCATCATTGTACCCATTCCGTATCAACTGTCTTATTTATTACTTATTTATTTCATTTATGCCACCCAATAGCCAAGACTCAAAAGGCAATATATAACAGAAAGCTAAAACTCCCTCAGTACCCGCTTATAGTTGGGAGGTGATGTTGCTGCTGCCCCCACACTTTTTAGAAGACCATTCCCTAGGTGTAAGGGTGCACATTTGCTGATATCAAAACCTCAAAATCCATTCTAGTTTCTTCTTCTTCCCTTTGCCTTCCCAGGCTCCACTTATATGACCTATTTTTATTATAAGTCTTTTAACAAACACCAACCCACATTCAAAGTTCAAAACTGCATCTACTCATCTTGAACCTTTAAAGAAGAGGACATTCCTCCAGTTTGCGACTCTCATTTTAGAATTAGGACCATGCTGGATCGGGATCACATAAGTTATAGTCAATAAGTCTGGAAGGCACCAGTTTGGGAAAGATGTAGGAGTATGAAAAAAAAAATCCAGTGAATAACAGAAAAAAGTTTTTAGTGAAGGAAATGAACCTTACCGTCACTGTAGTAACCAGCAGCCAAACCTACAGAAGAGATCCCTAGAAAGAGAAAGGGGAGGTATGAATTTAGAACATATCTCAGCTAGTTAAACAACCCCAGGCATTGAGCTTTCAAGAAACCTAAGTTGTTTGGTCTTTCTTAGTAATTTCAAGAAATAATTCATCTGTGCCAACACTACCACAATGATCCATATTGGGTAATAAGAAGAAAAGGTTACTTGTAATCCTAGTAAGGAGATAAATATAAACACACACAGACACACCAGGTCAACTATGACATTACTTTTCTGGGCATGCATGTAAGACACCTATAGGGAAACTAAGAGAAGACAACCAAAGATGTAAGGACTCAGAACAGCACATATGATGGTTCTGAGTCATTTACAGGAAACTTACAGGTTAACTTCAAAGAGTTTATCCATTTCTGGGCATCAAACTTGTCATGCACAGACCAATCTGACTCTGAGGAGGCCACTTCAGACACCTACTCTGTTTCCCTATGCATGTTCTAGAGAAGAAAGGTGTACTAAACCTGGCACTCACTGACTTTCAAATTATATTTCTCTGCTGAGCCAAAAGAACTGTATCAAAGACAAACACTTATAATATGGAAGTACAGCTAGAAATATAGTATAGACAGAGTCAAAAGAAAACCTGTAGATAACTATATTAGGTTGATGCCTCACAATGACCTACAGAATCAAAAGCAGCTACTGTTGTTGGCAAAAGATGGTACACAAGTATTAGGTTACTGAGTCTGAGTTTGGGATCCCAACACATCCTGGACAAATAACCTGAAGCCATTGTTTTGGCTAATGTTCCATTCAGTATGCAAAATCATGGGCCACATGTTTGAACTCCTGTCCAGCAGATTGGATCCATGAACTTCTCCCTACATTCCTCATAGATTTCCTGGCTTTAGTAAGGGGATAATCAAAGAAAACCATAAGCTCCATAGTAAACATTTCATTTGGCTTTGTTTTAGAAAAAGATTGTTGCAAATAGCTTATATTTGGAAAAGTCAAACATTTGGAACAAATGCAAAAATAGAAAAGGGCTTGGTGTCTTACCTACAAGAAGAGACCAAGATCTGATACCAGGTGACCTCTTCAGATGAAGAACTGTGTCTGAGTGGTTTTCAACCAGCATATACATCTTTGGAAATAGATGATGGTATCTGCAGAGCACAAGAGCACTCACAGAAGTCACCTAAAAACGACAGGAAACAAAACCAAGAGATCCTTGCATATCTTGAATCCCTTGCATGTCCAGACAATCCAAATCCTAGATGGACTGCTTATTATGTGCTGCTTGTTATCAAGTGCAGAAATCCTGAGAAAAGTGCAAATACATGCAGCTATTATTAGGGCAATCAAATCTGTTTGCTTCAGGTAGAACCTGCACTCTCAACATCCACATATAAGCAAAGTTACGTCCAAAGTGTGGCTTTCTCAATAGTAAATCAACTTCAAAACAATAGGACATATGCTCAATTTTGGAATGTTTTGTTCCACTTGTAATATCCAAGTCCCATGAATATCTGAACATGCGATGATTACTCTTACATGTGGAATTGGGAGGAAGTCTTGCACGTGTTTGTCAGGTCTAGCTTTATAACACATAGGGTACCCTATTAAATATCAGTCAGTGGTTGCTTTGTGTTTTTAAGGAAGCAGTATCTTTAGCCATACCTATCCATCCTCCATATATTCCCAAAAAGGTATAAGGATTTGTCCAGCAGGCAAAACATAGGGCGCCTAAATTGAATTTTCTGTGGCCAATTACTTTTAACACAAGCATGAAACAAATGCAGTTGCTTTCTACTTAAGCAACTGCATTACATGCAAATACATTGTTTCCAAGGAAACAAAACATGCTCGAGTACCTTTGGCAATATTTTTTAGGCAGCAAAAAATCCAACATCCCCCAGCATCCTCCACCCAGCTTTAAGTTATTTTTATTTTCGGTTTCATGGAGCATTTTTCTTGCACGATTCAACGTTTTATAGAGCATATGCGTTTTAACACGACTGGGGCAAAAATAGGGAAGTCAGAGTAACATTACTTATTCTCCATGTAATAATTGCGCCGCTTAGCCAGCAGATCGCTCGGAGAACATGAATAGTAAAGCGCGAAAAGACACCCACCTCCCGCTTCCCAATGCTCAGGTCCCGCCTCTACAGTGCAGAGCTTCAGACGTTACTCTCCCCGCACCAAAAAGCCCGCTAGCTCATATTCCCTCCTGCTCCTCCTCTCACCCTCTAAGTTTCACACCCAGCAGCAGGAGCAGCTTCCGGTGCGCGCTCCCCCGGCCCTCAGCCGCCCCTCCAAGGATACTGCGCCCGGCGGGGGTCCCGCCCGCAGGCGCCTCATCCTCCCGCGCCTCACCTGAGCCGCCGCTTCAAACTCTCAGGCGGCGGGCACGATGCTTCAGAACCATAGAGCTAAACTAGACGGTCCCCCACAGTCAACCATAGAGCTAAACAAAAGGAACGTATCCCTTGAGCGGCACGGAGCTGCCGATGCAACAATGGGAGTCTTGCGCCGCCGCCACTTCCTCTTCTCGCGTGAGTCTTCCAGGGAGGGGAGAGCGCTAAGGAGCGCTGAAGACTTTCGCGGCGCCTGGCCGACCGGCGCGTGTCGCCCGCTTCAGCCGATGCACGGAGAGTGATGGAGGGGTCCGCACTGGGCGAGACGGAGCGCGGGGGAGGGAAGGCGGGTAAGCCGAAGGTAATTTAGCGCAAAGCATGGCAATCACCATCTGCACTGTCCTCAGTAGATGGTGTCCCTCCCTCGCTGGAGCAGAATCCGGCCCTTTAGATATTACAGAGGAGAAAAGGTAACCGGTGGAGTGGATAAGGACGCACACGAGATACATGCTTAATTTTAGCGTATGTTCAACCTGTTTTGCTTAGGAAGGAGAATGCAGCATAAAGAATAAGCGTTTTGGAAATGTGGTGCTATCTTTGCACACGCCAAACCATGTTCTTCCGGTGGAAGAGTTTAAACTGAATCAAGTAGTTAGCTGAATGATGCAGGGAGCTGTAATCCAACGCATCTGGAGGGCGCCAAGTTGGGGAAGCCTGAATTAAAGCACCATTTTCCGCCCCCCCGCCTTCAAATCAGTGAAGGGTTTGAATCAGCTCAGGATGCTGGAGTGGAGGAAAACTTATGACTGGGTAGTTGAAAGGTAGACGGACCAGCCCAAAGGCTTGCTTGGCCAGGAAAGAAAGGGAGAAGACGAACATTTTTAGAAGGTGGAGAGCTCAGTCTGAGGCTCAATCTACTGTGCTGTATCAAATGTCTGTATAATTTAAGTTCCGTTCATTTCAAGGCATCTATGTTATTCGAAGTCAGACTAACATTTTATTTATATATTTATATCCTGTCATTTTTCCTTCAAGGAGCTCAAGACAATTTATATAATCCTCTTCTCACTCTTAACCTCACAACAACGCCTGTGATGTAGGTTTGGGTGAGAGTCAGTGACTGGCCCAAAGTCACCTTTGTGCACCAGAACCCAGATCTCTTGGATCTCAACCCAACATGCTAACCACTACCCCACACAGGCTGTCATTAAATTTAATGGAGCTTACTTTCTTGTTAAATGGTTTTAGATTGCAGCATGGACTTACTTCTGAGTGCATGTGTCCCATGTGTAGCATTGTGCCTTTGCAGAGTAATCCAAAGGATCTGCAATAGCATTTTGGAGTTCTAGACTTGTGCTGTAAGGTGTTTGCTTGATTGTTATGGAAGGGTAGCAGTGACACCCTGGAATACTGTTTGCGACTACAGAGATGGTACTGGGCTTCAAGGGATATAGAAATTCAACAAATGATGCTGTTCTTATCAGTGTATTTTCTGTCTGTTGGTTTTTTGCTCCTCTCCAGGCATTTTTTAAAGCAGAGTAGCTGGTGGAATGGGACGGGGGGAAGAAATGTGTGTGAATCCTGCCAAAAGAAAATACTATATTTGTTTATATTGATCTGTTCTTTTTTTCTTGATAAAGTACTTCAGAAACATTACAATGAAAAGGAGCCTCCAATTTTGCATAGTTTATTTGAGAAGCTTTTATTGTCTTATCTATTATAATTAATATTATTCTATGCTGTCCCGTAACTAAACCTCTCTGGGTGGTTCACAGTAATAAAAATGGATGCGGTAAAAAGTACAAATGCAATAAAAGTACAAATGTAATGTGTAAAATTCCAATATGTAAAATTTCAAACAGTTCAAACTTCTAAAACAATTTCAATAAAACTAGACCTGATTAAAACCTGATTGTTTTGTTTTACATTGGTTCCTCTATATTTCCATTGCTGATGCTCCAGAAATGGAAAGTGCAACTCTTGTAAGGTAGCCATTTCTCCACAGAATTTTGTCACTTTGGAGTGCATCAACTTGCTCCTCCTTTGAAGAAGACTTTGAGATGGAGATGTGGGCCATAAACCTGTATGCACATACCTTGGTCTCTGTCTGCTGTGCATGAATAGGCATGGTGTGGACAAATCTGTCACATCCAGTTTTGTTTAAATTCTCATTTTTCCAGTGATAAATTTATTCTATCTTGATTGTATATCAGATTTTGATTTTTCTTATTTCATATTTTTGCATGCATGTATGCAAATATATGCAAACTTTGTAAGTTTATTTTTGTTTTGGCAAACTGTATCATAAACTTTGGAAATGGAAGGCTTTGGTGACAAACTCCATTCGAGTTTGTATTTTGGGAAGTGAGAATTTCGTAAAATTCTCATTAAACTGTGAACTGAATGAATTATTCACCCATCTTTAGTCACACATGTGTGAACTCCATTGCCCCTTCTAATAATAGTAGACTGTCAATTATAACATTTATTTATTTATTTATTTATTAGTTAATTTTATTTAAAATATTTTTATCCTACCCATTGCGAAACATGCCTCAGGATGGTTTACAAAGCTTAAAATAGTAATATAATAATACAATAAAACAGTAATTAAAACATTAAGTAATAAGCACATTTATTTTGATTTTCCTATACTGCCCCATTCCCATAGGTTTACAGGAGTTTAATGCCAACAATAATTCAAACTTAGACTAAAAGCTAGCATAAAACTAATTTGGGAATGCCTTTTGGAAGAGAAACAGCTTTAACTCCCTCTTAAAAATAGCAGCTGAGGATATCTGATGCATTTCTCCCAGCAGAGCATTCCACAGTTTAGGAGCATCCACTGAGAAAATCCTCTGGGTAGTTGACATTAATCTTGCAGAAGTGAACTTCAGAAGATTATCCCAAGAGCACCTTAGTGGGCGAGGAAGAATATATAGGCGAAGGGGCTCCTGAAGGTATTTGGGACCCAAATCATGAAGGGCTTTAAAGGTAATTACTATGTGCCCAGAAGCATATTGGCAGCCAGTGCAGAGATGTTAAATTCAGTGATAATGTGGTCATCAGAGTAGACTCAATTACCCTGTTTCTCAAAAGTCACAGGCATACACAGGCCTATCTCAAATCCAAAATAGGTGTCTAGTTCCGTAACTATAATAATAACTTGTACCAGAATCTAAGAAAGTGATTGAGCAAAGCAAATACAATGGCAAATGAGACTCTGGCTGCATTCTCTCAATACAAGTAAGCCTGCATGGTTTTCAAGATTTGAGGTTTTTACCATGATCTACCCAACAGACAATCAAGTGGTTTCTATGTTATCATGGTTTTCATCCTTTCCAACCAGTCCTTCCACTGTCAACATGTATCCCATCAGCCACTGTGCCCAAAATTTAATCCCAGGGTGCTCTGCTGCCTGCCTGTTCCTCACTGGTCCATATGTGCAGGATGTGGATGGCTGGAGTGGCTCCTGCAGTTGCCACTCTTTCCAGGGTACTCTGTGGTAGTTACATTCCAGGATCATAGAAACCACAGTCTGAACTTCTGCTGAAGGGTGCATTGAGAACAAGAGTCTTCCTTAAAGTATCCATTTTCCTTAATGCTAAGATTCTCTTTATAATTTAGGGGCCTGGATGGGACCCAAATATGGCTGCCAATGTTCTGCATACCACGATTAAAGTTTATAGACTTATTTCTGCAATGGAAACATAAGCATGTAATAAACCAGACTATAAGGTAATATGTCATGAGGCACGCAGAGGACTCTGAAGTTCACCTTGCTAAGATTTCTTGTTGAGCAATGGTTAGATTTAACTATTCCCCAACCTTTCATGCAAATAGACTAGGAGTCATTCTGCAAGGAGGAAGAGAGAGAGAGTCACCAACCAATCCAACTTGAGAAAAGTGAATTTCTTGCCAAGGTGTTTCAAATTAGATCAACTTTGCTGAATGGTTTATGTAAAAACGAGCATTATGCTACTATAGAAACTCACCTTTGCCTGCTACTGATTAGTACAAAACTGAAGGATTGTTAACATAGTGGGAGCATCTCTCTAGTGCAGGCTTCACTAATGGCTTCCTCCAGATGTGTTGATTGCCTTTCCCATCACCTCAGCCAGGGATGATGGGATTTGTGGTCCAACACTGCTGGAGAAAACCGGGTTAGTGAAAGCTGCAGTAGTGCATCAGAAAGCTCATACTTATACACAGAGTATCAGCAATTCAGATGGCTTTCCAATGGACAGCTCTTAGCACTCACAGTGAAGAGGTACCATACAGCTATACTGTCTATCTCCTCACAGTCCACCTTAATAGATTTTTATGGTGAGGGGAAAAAATGGAAGAGGTGATAGGAAAACATTTGAGGACAGGAAAGGGAAGAAGACGAAATCTGGAGCCTGCACAAAATGCTGTGAGGCAGGTTATCACATAAGCAAAGCCTCTCCTTGTAGGACCCTCAGTTTCAGTTTCACATAATATGATGACACATGAGAGGAAAATAGTCTACCAACAAGCATATCTCCTTTTCATGTTGCCCAGATGTTGTTTTCAAGGTTGCTATCCTGAGTCAACAACCCTTGTTTACATAGGAAAACACAGGACATTTTAGCCACTCTGTTCTATTCATTGTTAATGCCTTTCTCAAATAACTGTGATTGTATTATAAAATGTGAACTCTTCCAGCCCAATATATTTTATAGTGAAACACGAAAGAAGCAGTCAATCCTCTGGAGTATTTTATTTATTTATTTTACATTCTCACTTTAGTTTGGAATCTAGCCCTTAACCATATAATGAAGTGCAGTTTGTTCCAGGTGAAAAGGTTATCTTAGACTGAGATAACTATGTTTTTTTTCCATAGAAACATGAGAAATGAAGTCAGAAAAGTCAAATGAAGAAATCCAAAGTGTACCAATGAGCCATCAGATGCTCATTGATACCTGCAGATTCACTGTACAGATTAAAATAGATGGAACTGGTATTTGGAATATTACAGCTTAAATTGCTTAGAGAAGCATTGACTGAAAATGATGTGTTGACTAAGTGCTATAAAGTGTGTGCCCGCATTTTTGTTGGCAAATAAAATCCGAGGTCATCTTAACTTGTTTTCCTGGGAAGTGAATCAGGATGCCCTTCTATCAAATATTAGTTAAGTCTCAGCCCACTTCTATGATGCAAACCTGAAAGCTGCCTGAAAAGTAGCAGCCAATGGTTTTTCCCCCAACTCCAGCTCAAGGTGCACAGTACTCAAGGCTAGTTGAATTTGTTTCCGTACCTGAGACAGAAAATCCCACAAGCACCTTTACTTCCATCTGACACTAAAGAAGTGATAACAATAATTTAAATCATTTATCATTTGCAGCTCTTTCAAGCCACCCTCTCCAAATCAGTGGCCACCGTACCCTGCCTAGCACAGAAAGCATAGAAAAAAGGATAATTAAATGGCAGGAGATATTTTTTTCTAATTTTGGGCATCTACCTGATTGCTTCTTTTCCCAATCAACAGCTGCTGGTCAAGATGGCCAAGTGTTACCTCCAGGATCTGAGACAATATACCTCTGAATAACTGTTGCTGAGGAACATGGGAGAGTGCTGCTGCATTCATCTGCCACTTGTGAGCTTCCCACAGGCCATTCAGCTGGTTGGCCACGGTTTGAGCAGAATGCTGGACTGGATAGGCCTTTGTTCAGATGTTTGTATCTAGAGTTCCACAGAACTTGATTTAGGCTTATCTTTTAGATTTTGTAGCACACATCTCTGTTTTATACATGCGTATATAAGGCTTAGGGGGAACCCTGGTTGTCTTGCAATCATATTTGGGATTGTCTCAAATGGAAACTGAGCCTCTACAAGTTTTCAAGTGTTGTGGGTGTTTGTTTGTTTCTTTATTGTGGCAGAAGCAAGCAGGGAAAAGACAGAGAATGGCAAGCAGTTGATAAGCAGTCAATACATAATTTAGTGTTGCTCCAAATGGGATGGATTGATATTTTGCACCTAAAAACACTTTTGACAAGTGACTCCCCCCAAAAAAAGTTAGATTAGAGAAGCCAAGGCCCAAACCGAGGCCCACCATATGCTTTGTCTACAACTCCCATTAGTGGTCAGGTGTAAGAAGAGTTGTAGTGCAAAAACTCTGATGGGCACCAGGTTGGGAAAACTGAAAGCTTTTTTTTAAAAAACAAGGGAGAAACACTAACAAGAACTGAGTTAATGGGCGGTGGTGGGGAGAAAATAAGGAGTGAGGCTTGGTTTTTACTTAAGTTTGTGAGGAAATATAAACCCCAGCATGATACTCCGGCGTTGCCCTCCCGGTAAATAAATTAACTGCTTAAAATAAAGCAATAAGCAAACTCTAGGTGCGTGACACTCTCGTGCCGCAAGAAGGCGCTGTCCCTCGCATTTCACACAAACGTTTGAGGCTACGTGACAACCCTCAGGTCTACAATGAAGGCTTGCAGACGACAGAACAGGAGAGAGGACAAACAAGGCGACCCCAAAAATAGGAAGAGAAAGGAAGAGCGCGTTGCATCCTGCTTAGGGACCGCTCAGGACCACCCGGCTTGTGTCTGGCGTTCCAACACAAACCGCACGCCTTTAGCTGTAATGATATTTAATTTCTCTTAGGGATGCCATTTGTGACTTAAGTGAATTATGCAACAAGGTACCGTGTCTGCTTTTCTCTTTCTCTTCCCATTTCTGTGCATGCTTTGCGATTTTTCTGCTGCGGTAGCATCAGCAGCTTGCTCCTGCATGTTTCTGGGACCGTCTTAAGGCGGCTTTCCCTGATCATTCTGTAGGCATCTGCAACGGAGATGCGGAAAGGCTCGCGGTTGCAAGCGTAAGATCCAATAATTATTAGTTTTATGTGGAGTTTGCAACCGCAATAACAATATGAGAAAGAAAAAATGTCGAGAGTGCTGTGAATTTATGTCTGTTATCCATTCCAACGGATTAGGATTCGGGACTCTCTCCAATTGCCACACACGCAGTAGCATTTTATATAATCCCTGCGATGAAGCGTACCAGGTTTGCCTATTATTTTAAAATGCTTATGAAATGCTGAAGCAGAGAGCGGGACCTCACAGAATGCAGACAGCACTCTAATTCGATGTTGGGAGGTGCAGGCAGATGAAGGGCTAGTTCAGCATTGCAACCAGAGCACGTTTTTAAACGGAAAGTCAACTTCCAAGTAACTGTGCTGAGGGTTCGGCTGCTTCGAGACACGATTGCTTCGCAGTGCAGAGCGAGGTGCCACATCTATTCATGAATCAGTCTGTGCAGGCTGGTAGCAGTGATAGTCCTGCTTCAGGAAACCAGGCATAGATCTGGGGCTCCATATGCCCAACTCAGGTGTGGGACTCATTTGTTTGCCTTAAGGGTTGGGTAAGCAAATAAGGATCTATTATATTTGTTGCCTCTTTGACCAGAACACCTTTTAAGCTTGGTTAGATGTTGTGGGTAAGACTGACAGACGTTGCCGGGGGTTCTTGTTTGTATCCCGTCTTTATAATGCATGTGCCCCGGAGAGTAATATGTGAAATACGAGCCTCAGATGTCCGTGGCCGTTCTTTGCTTATGGACGCATCAGGCTCACAAAATATGGATAAGAAGTGGACTGCCACAGATGGCTTATTCCACTGCCAGCATTTGGAAAGAATGGAGACTGCCAAACTGGGCTGTCTGCGTTGTAGAGGTGATGTCTTCTGAAATGAAGGGCACAAATTGTCCTCCTCTGACCTGCTGGCCTCCTATTGCATTGGACTACAACTCCCAACATCCTCAAGGATATGATGTTCTGCAGAGCTAGGATAAGGGATGATAGAGGGATTTCTTGGAATCTTATCCGTTGGTTGGCTGAACACTCATAGAGTCATGGCAAGCATGAATGGCAGCCGGTTTTATGCTTGACCACGTGGAAGAGAAACCAGGTTTTGGCACACAAGTCATCATGAACAGCGGGCATTTAGAGGACTCCTGGATGTGTTCAGTGGCAGGGATTGTTCAAAATTTGTGGTTTGAGAGGAAGCTGAATACTGTTCATGTGAGGGAAGATTTTTCTAAATTCTGGCAAGGCTGAGAAGTACATAGCTGAGGCAACTTTTCTTCTGTTTCTCTCTGTCATGCACACAGTGTTGAACTACTTGTGTAGGCAGTGCTGTTATGTCTGAAGGCCTGTTATTTCTGTCTCTGGGCTCCAGAGACATATCAGAATGAAACCAAAGGTTTTTCTTGGTTTCCATGGCAGGTGTCATGTTGTCAATATGGTGCAATAAAATCACCTCTTGCTGGAGGTAATCATTGATAGGAAGCTAAACATACTTTCAGAGTCTGATGATGTGACATTAGGCATTTGTGTTGTGGTGATCGGACTACTCAGCAAAGTTACAGGATTTAAACCTTCCCACTTTGAAAGCGTGACAGAGGCAGAACTGGCAGCTGAGCCAGCAGCTCGTCACTGCCTTCCAGGCTTTTCATTGGTCCCAGAAAGCTTCATTCTAAAATAAGTTATAGCTGTAAGAAGACTGAAAGGCAATTACAGAAATAAAGACCAACCACCATAGCTTTTCCTCTTGTGCTCCTTATTGTTTCAGGCAGGTGAGAAAAACAGGCAGTGGCTTCTCCTGTGGATGCAAGTATAAGAAGAGACCCAGCAACTTTTCAAGCACAGCCTAATACCACCAAACAAAAATAGACCAAAGAAAGTAAAGGCAAAGATCCACAAATGAAGTGTGAAAATTGCACCAAAACGGTAAGTGCTTTTCTTAAGCATTTATATAATTCTAAGGTCGTTGTCCCACTGAATTCAGTATAACTTGCTTAAGAGTAAACACCATATTTAAAGCTGCAAGCCAGAGCACTCTGACCTGGCAATGAGTCTCACTGAAGTCAGTGAGCTCTGTAAACACACACATTATATAGGGCTCCAACCATGATAGTTATAAGCAACTTATTTGAATATATAGGTTTTGTTTTGACTTTGGAGAGGCTTATATATCTGAGGAAAAGAACACAATGGTTGGGTTGTGAAGAGAAGTACTATAAACTTAAGTGTTCTTGCATTTGGATAGGTTAAGAGCTTCCATAATCATGGGCATTCCTTTTGTCTATGGTTCTAGGTAAAAACCTTATGTAAAAAACTATAATACTTTATTTCATTTTTTCATTTGTTTCTATTTTTCTATTTTGTTTTCGTTTATTAAAATCCACAATAAAAATAAATGAAAAGGAGACTTTGGAGAGTAACATTCATATTGTTATTAATAACATTATTATTAACAACAACAACATTATGTAACAGTACCATTGATACCATAGAAATAGATTTTGTCTCAACTATATATAATTGTAATGTATGTTCCAAAGAGAAATGAATGGAGTCTGGTTTTTTGACCAAGTTTCTTGATGGCATAACTCTAAAGCTTCAATGAAATACATCAGTTAGTTTGTCCATTTCTGCAATGTTCAGAATTTTAATCACCCAGGAGATCAGGTCTTTTTCCAGTGTCAATCCTACACAATATACAGCTAGTGATATTGCAAGAAACTTTACACAACATTTTATTTATTTACACACAAACATGCATATAGTATGAGTAGCATTTTTTCCTTTACTTTCTAAATTGTGTTTCCACATAAGATTGGGATTAAAGGTGGAGGGGAAGATTCCAATCACTTGATGTTCTTGGCTGGCATCACATTGTGTGGTTGTACATACACTGTGGGCTCCCAAGAATTGTACTGGTTCACAGTGTCCCTCACTCATGTGTGTGGCTTAGGGCACAATCTCATGCATGTTTAGACCTAAAAAGGGCGAGGGAGATGCTCCAATTGTAGGAAAGACATAGTTGCTCTGCCTAAACATGCATAGGATTGTGCCCTTAGCTTGGAGAAGCATGTGTGTAGTAGACTTTGCACCATCTTGTCCAGGTTGCTAAGGAGGACATGTGTCCCTTTTAGGAAAGCCATGCCTTAAGTGCCTGGAACTTAGGGTTATTCAGGGACAGAAATGGAGAATTACTTGTTCTCATTATTTAGGAAAGTCTCGGAACTCTGAATTTGCAGTACCTTTCCCTCACCCTTACAGCTGGCATGGAAAGAACCATGCTGGCTGCTTCTTCAAAGTTGCAAAGGCAACTTTGATCCTGGCAGTGCTTCAGCCTCTTTCCCTCTCCTTCTGAAGACTGCACTTAGACAACTGAAATTGATTGTCTGGGTGCTTTGCAGGGTGAGTCAAATACAAAAGCAACCTTTGCTTTCACATTCGCATCAGATGCTCCAAGTTTGGAGAGCTGTGGGCACCTGCATCCTTAATATCTTAATAAAGGACTGTTTTAATTAAAAATAGGTAAAGCATGCAGACAGTTTCCACGGAATGAAGATATACACAAAAAGAACCCATCTTTCCCTTAGCCTATCTCATGCTTTTTGATCAACAATTTTGTCTATAATATGTTTCAGGAATGTAGTAAAAAACAGAAGAGTGATGACCAACAAAACACACCAGTTGAGTTTCTCAATTCAAACGACAAAAATGAAGAGGTAATATCCTGTGTAATGCTCTTTTTAACATAAGTGTCCCAATCCAGCTGAAGGGACTCATGACTTAAGTCCCATTGAAGTTGTACTTTAACCATTTATTTTTTATACTGTATTTTATGTTTTTAATTTTTAATTGTTGTGAACTGCCCAGAGAGCTTTGGCTATTAGGAGATATAAAACTATAATAAATAAATAGCTGAAATTAAAAAGGGTATAACTATCTTTTCCCATTGATTTTTATTTAGCCATCATGGCTAACTTTCTTCTGAAAAATATTGTGTGCATATGTGTGTGTATATTGGAATGTGCTTTACACACACCTGAAGCATCATCCATTACAATTATCCATAACTGTAATGGATAAAAATTTCCAGTGGTGGTCACTATGACAAAAATATATATTCAAAAATACAGTGTCTAAAGGCCAAATTAAGGTTCCCTGTTTAAATGCTGTAAATACTACTGACTTAGCAAGAATGCTCTGCATACTTAGGACTTTCCTGAATCCAGGTGGCCACTGTATCTGTTTCTTGGGCTTCTGGGTTTCTGACTCCTTGCTGGATTTCCTGTACATTCCCTGTCTGCTGATCTCCATAATTTCATCAGTGAGGGAGCGTTGGACAGGGCAGAAAGAAGGTTCAGGATTACTGCTACTCTATTAATGGGTCTCTCCACTTTGGTCCCCACCAGAACACGCCATTTTCCTCCTTTCCATGATCTGATTATCCAGGTTCATGATTTATAAAATATTTAGTGCTACAATTGGTGTAACCTTTGAGTAATAGGAACACATTGCCTTGTGTTCAAGATTTGCAGATTAAAGATCAGCAAGCTCTGCTGAGAGTGTCAACTTTCGATCAGTCTCTTGGGCCACTCTGCTGGCAGTTTGACCACTTACACATCAAAGTCATCCACAAAAAAGAAGACAAAATAGGATATGGATTTGCATACAAAGATCCAAATCTGGAAGTAATTGCTAAAATTTAAAATCTGAAACATCTCACCATAGTAAATTAAACATCTAGGGCCTGGTGATCGGCACACTTGCCCAGGGTACTGTCCAGGTGTTAGTGGGCAACTTCAGGATCCCTGCTGCTCTCCCTTCTTATGGTTCTTTACGTTGGACTTGGACTAAACAGCCCTTCAGATAGAAGATGCCTTCAAATAGAGGGTTTTTCCTCTGTAAAGTAGGACATTTGGACATCCTGGGACAGTCCATAAATTATAGGAGGAATGAGGGCCTGCCCTTGCACCTTCTCTAACAGCCCCTGCAGCTTCTATTTGTGGAAGAATTGTGGGGAAGGATGATTTGGCCAAAATTGGAGGTGAGAAGTCAGGAGAAGGATTGTAGAGTTCATGAAGAGCCCCAAACTGTTTCCCTATAATTTAAACACCACACAGAGAACTCCTCCAACATGGTGGTGGGTCCTAACCTGCCTTTTTCCAATTCCCCCCTTTTTACATTAGTTTTTTTCTCCTTTTCAGAAAAGTGAATTCCATAAGTTGGCTAATGCTAAAATACTGCTTAGTGACTGCCTAGCTTGTGACAACTGTATAACATCCAATGAAGCAGTTAGAGTTTTCCAGCAAAATCAGAACGAACTCTTCAGTGTACTGAACCTTAATAAGGTAAAGGGATGGTGTTTGCACTGAAAATGTACTGGCCCGACAGTCACATTGGAACTCTGTGATACAAGCAACTGTACTTTCCCATGATTTTGTTTCCTTCCTGTTTTGAAAAATCTCTTGTTCCAGCTGTTCTGCCTTTCCTGTTTCCTATACATTTTGATCTTTTTTAACCTCTAGGGCAGTGGTGGCGAACCTGTGGCACGCGTGCCGCAGCGGGCACACAGAGCCCTCTCTGTCAGCACGCAAGCCAAGTTGCCCCAGCATCGCCCCAGCAGCCAATCATTGGATAACAGCGCACATAGGGGTCATGTGCATGCTCGGAAAGGAGTAGCGGTGCCAGGCAATGATGTCACGAGCCGCAATTCATTAAGCGCGACTCATCCGAGCTTTCGCATGGCTCATCAGTGCGCTGCCAAGGATATATATATAGTTGCTTGGACTGGCTGTGAGTTGTTTTTTCTAAACTAAAACCTCAGTATTCAGGTTTCATTGCAGTGTTGGCACTTTGGGATAAATAAGTGGGTTTTGGGTTGCAGTTTGGGCACTCGGTCTCTAAAAGGTTCGCCATCACTGCTCTAGGGTCTTTGCTTCCAACTTCAAATCTATCCCCATTTCTCCTGTACTCAAAAATCTCTGTTCTCTTGGGCAAGTGTCTATTGCCAAATCCCCTTTTAGATCCCAGTGTCCTCATTCTAGTGTTCTGACTTTTCATCCTTTAGAAATAATCATCTTTTCCACAAGTGTGTATTTGTGTGGCAATTTTATAACACCTTAATTATTCTCCCGTTGTTTTCTTTTGTTTCCTATCCTTCACTGTCAGTCTGTGAGCGGGGATTGTGGACTCTTCATACACTGTTTTGTAGGTGTACATTCCCCGTGCTTTAAGTATGCCCCTAGAAATATGAAGCACCAATGCAGCAAACCCCTTGGGCAGACTGGGGTATGGTGCATATGCACTCTGCAGGGAGTCAGGTTAGGCTGTGGCTTCTGACAAAAAGAGACCAGGGTTTGCTGCACCATAATGTATGAAATGGTCTTGTGCTGGATTTCATTTCTGCCCCAAACCTAAAGCTGCTGTTTTATGAAGGATTAATAAATGTTCTGCATGTGTTTAATAAAGCATAAACTCATGGGATTTTCTACAAAACGCTTTTTCAGTGAGAGATTACATATAGCCCTCCCTTAATGAAAAGCTCTTCCAGCTTTGTAGAACAAGAATTCTTCAATCAATCACAGAGGGAATACCTCTAGCCTTTGTTCTACTGCCAGTATTCCTTGCAGCTGCTAGAATAGTTATTTAGTGGTTTCATTTCTGCAGTCTTCTGATCACTAAATTCATAGCTCCAACTAACGTTTTGCCTTTAAGTGTTTAAAGCCAGAAGTCACAAAAGGAGAGAAAACAAATAGTAATGTCTCCTTGGCTGCGCTGTGCTAGGAGAGCTGTATGCGCCATTCAAGTGTTCAAGCAGTGAGAGAAAAATGAGCAGCTGCGCATTTAAGGAAGCCTTTGGCCAAGTGTCTCCTAGGGAGCACCTTCCTGCTTTGGTGGGCTTCCAGTTATGGGTTTCCTTGGAGCTTACTTGGTGATGGCAGCGGTAGGCAGCCATTTCAATTCCTCACAATTGTCCTCAGCAATGATACACTGAGGATATTGGGAGAAATTAAATGGTCACCCACTCCAGTCACCGCCAGGTTTGTTTGCAGCTGGGCATCCAGGCAGCATCAGCACACATGCCCTGCGGGGGTCCCAGCAGCTGCCCAAGGATGCTGGGTGCTGATGTGGGATCTGGAGGGGAAAGAGAAGAGACAGAAGACCAATAACCACTGCACCTCAGCACTTGCACAGTCTGAAGGAACAAGCTGCTGCATTGTGGCAACTGTCAATGTGGCATTTTGATTTTCTGTTTCTCTCTTTCTCGTTCACACTCTTTCTTGGCTGAAATTGGGGTGGGGTGGGACAGAGGAAAGCGGATTCCTCAGCACAGTGATATCCCCCTGCTCCAGTGGAATGTGTGGGCAGATGTGATCCACCCAGAGAGCCTTCTGGCTATGGAGCGGCATACAAGTGGAAAAAACAAACAAATAAAGCCCACCTCCTAAACCCTTTCCTGAAAAGCTGGTTTAATCAGTGTGTCAGAAAAATAAGCAGCATGCAAAGAATCTATCTGATGAATGTGAAATGCACTGGAGTGTTGCAGTAATGCCCTTGTATGTTTTGTTGTGTATTGTTTTCCAGAAATGTGATACCTCAAAACACAAAGTGTTGGCAGTGTCTATATGTCCTCAGTCCTTGCCTTATTTTGCTGCTAAGTTCAATCTCTGTGTAACAGAAGCAGCCAAGAGGCTTTGTGGTTTCCTCAAAAGTCTTGGTAGGTCTGTTTTCATGGTGAGAAAAAAACACAAACATCATATTTTTATTTAAAAATTACATGTTGCTTCCCTTGCATACTTTTGCAGCATATGATCTGTCACAAGATGAGATTGCAAGGCTGTTTGGCAAAGGATTTATTTATAGCTGTGTCCATGTTTGTTATACAATAGGGCATTTCCATTAGTGCAGAAATAATGAGGACAGTACATATCAAATCTTTGGGGGCGCTGCTTATTATCAGGAAATCTAAAATGGGTTAAACTGGGATCTACTAGTAGATAGCTGGATGATTTTCAAAAGTGGCAAAGATGTCAGGCTGTCAACTGTTCTAGCAACAGCAGCAGCACAACAATATGATTTTTCTCACCTAAATTAGGTTGCTGACATGAAAAAAGCTTGGCGTAATCAGGAGTAGGCATTTGCTTGAAAGAAGAGCGAGTGTAGTTCAAAGTCTAGAACGGAAAATAAATCCCTACACCAGGGCTAGACAACTTCTGTCAGTCTGGGGACCATTTTCATTCCTCCAGACCACCCCACTGCATGTTACGCACACTTTCTGTATGGGTGCTAAAAATAGAAGAGAAATAAATACAAAATGCTACAAAACACCAAAGGGTGCAAACTAATTTGTTTGCAAGCTCATTGTGACACTTTGATCACACCAACCTGCAGTGGAGTCTCCAAAAGGCCAACGTTTGCTAGTGTTGACGCTTTGAGTACATCATCTCCAGGAACCATTTTGTTTGCAAAAAAAAAGATGTTGTATGTGTATTGGGGGTGTTACTGTGCCCAAAATTGAATGAAATTGTGAATGCATGAAGAAATTGAATTAAATTAAATTTTGAATGCATGATGATCAAGTACAGCTGGGGGGTGGATGCAGTTTAACGCACCCCCCCCATGCCCTGTATCTTTATACAGACAGTCTGCCTGACTTTTTAAAAGAACTAGCCCATGACTTTCAGGAGAAAAGTAGGAAATGGACTGTTGATCATTCATCTAAAGGCCCATGTCAACAGACAGTCCCAGGAGAGGCAATCACCTGCATCGGGTGTTGTGGAAAAATTTTACTGCTTCCACTTTTCACACACTGGTATGGGCAGCTTTTCCATTTAAAATTAACTTGTATGTTCTGTCCAATGAGCACCTATAAAAACCTTTTTAGTACCTCTGCTTGGGCGTATTCCCCTCCCACGTTTGCATGACAGTTGGCTAGGACTGATGCTTCCAAATCCAGGCTTCCAGAGGTAAGAAGGAGCTGCCTCCCATATAGTGCTGTGTCCCCATGGACCCCCCCCCCCCCCCCCGCTTTGCTTTGTACTTAAAGGGAAGGTTTGCAGCTCAGTAGTGGAGCTTGTATGTTGCTTGCAGAAGGTACCAAGCTCATCCCACAACATCCTAGTTAAAAGGATCCCACCATAACAGGACCCTCTGCCGTGAGTTGCCAACAGCTGGAATGGGTGATACCAGCCTAGACAGACATGCATATGAGGCAGGTTCCCAGTGTTCCCTGGAGTTGAACAGTGTGTGAGTCCCACAAAATATAGAAGGGCATCAGAAAACAGAGCCTCATGAGTTCCCAGAATCTTTTGCTTTAGACATTTGACCTGCTGAGCCAAGTGTATTGTTTGTTCCTGTGTCCTTTCTCTTTTATATTCCACTGCCCCAGCAGTGAATAAATGATGATGCAGCTTCAGGAGAGTGGGGAAAGGAAGGACAACTTGCTACACTGATTAGATTTTCCAAACCTTTGTGTTTTTTAAAACCTCGAGTTGTAGAATAGTGGGTGAGGGTAAGGCATAATTGATATGTGCTGCAAAATGAGGTGATAAACTGCAAGTGAATGTTCCCCATTTGAAAATCCCCTGCAAACAAAAACTAGAACATAGAGGAAAAATAGAGAAAAAATCCTTGCCCAGTCTGCACCATGCTGTTTACAAGAGCTGAGCATGTCTGTCAAGGAAGCACATAAGGGAGGGCATTCACTCACAGGGTCACCATAAGTCAAAGACAATTTGACGGCATCTCACAACAGCAGCAGCAGCAGCAACTGCTCCATGCTGTCCTAGTTCTCTATCTTGAGGTGTTTCTTTGCTTTTTAACCAGAAGAAGCAACAACGTGTTTCTCCCACCTGTAGACTGAAGTGATATAATTCCATTCTACCACCTCAGGTCTCTGGTCATCCCCTTTGGACAGGGCCAAAGCACTGGATTCCAGGCGAACTGGCTACAGTCTGATTCAGGCATACCCAGAAGTCTCAGTGTAACCTCCTTCCCACTTTCTTTAACTTAAGTGGGAGATCCCCATACCAGCACAAACTGCATCTTAAACTCATACGATCTTTGAGTTGGGTTGCCCCAGTTCTAATACTCTGCCTTGTTGATAAGCCTGGTAAAACTGCATGCAAGTCATGTGTGTGTTTTGTGACTGTCAGTGGAAACATGGATGCAAATTGGCCCACCCATGCTTTTGTTTTTCACATATTCATTAAAAAGGCTAAAGACTATGTAGAACAGATGAAAGCACTATCTGATTATATGCCATTGCCCTGCTTTCTTGACTGTTTTCCTATAGGTGTGCATTATGTCTTTGATACCACGATAGCTGCTGATTTTAGTATCCTGGAAAGCCAGAAGGAGTTTGTGCAACGGTACCACCATCAGAATCAAGAAGAACATGCCTTACCTATGTTCGCTTCAGCTTGCCCGGGTGAGAAATCCCATCCCAAACATTGCACAACCCACTTCACCAGCCCTCGCTGCTGCAATGGATGTCTTTTGGTTTATCTAAGCATGTCAAAGACACAAGTACTTCCATGATAATATCCAGTTCTCTGATCTGATGCCTGTCTTTGAAATATTTGGGTTGGGACAATGGGGCATACTTTAAAAGTCCATCAGCTAGGAAAATCACTTCCTCTTCATTAAGAGAGCTGGGACCAGTTTCACTTCTGTGATATTCTTTCAGTGGTCAAACTCCGACAGAATGGGCATATTGGCTTCCTCTCTCCCATAATCTTGTGATTTTTTTTCATATTGCTTACAATCCAGTTTATATTTGGTCCGAACCCTACCCCACAAACATCTCCAGGAGCACAGCTTATGGCTGCACTAGTTGGCTCTTTGTAGGGCAATCCAAGGTATGGCAAAATATGGTCTGGTTTCTGTCAGCTTCCTAGGGCCTTTAAACAAACTCTTAGGCAGAGAAGCACACTGTTGTAATCAGTGCTCACTGTGAGCCTTTTGTTGTAAGATTTGCTATTGCTATAGCAGTTCAAGCAGTAGATGTGGAAGTTGCAGGGTAGCATAATACAGAAATAATCTCTTTTGAAACACATGCACATACAAAGTAGAAATCTGGTTCAGCTGGAGGGGAATTTGTATGTTAAAAGGTTCCTTATTCCCATCTATGTTGCATTCCCCACTGTGCAAATGAGATGCATTAATTTTCAGCAGCGTGTCTTGGATACCATGCCAGTACACTGCCACATGAAGCACTAGAAAGGGAGGGAAATACTGAGTTCAGAACACATGAATCCATCTTTTAAGCCAAGTAGGAGTAGATAAAGAAATATTCTGCATGTGATTTCAGCTAGCAGGTCGAAAACACACTTAGGTGGGATTAAAAAAAAAAAAAAAAGCCCTGCAGTCACAATTTTTAAGACTGTCTCAGAGGTCATAGCATTGCCTTTGAGAGAAAAGTATAAATTCAGTCTTATCCATATTTCTTATTCCAAGAAAATTGCTCCCTGAATCCCTGAGCGATGTCTCTCTTTCCCTCTTTTTTTTTTTTTAGTTGTGTGAGCCCCAGGCAAGCCTATCCACATTTCTGCACAGCCAGCAGGTCAGTGGGCTGCTGGGAGAAGATGGCTGCTCCCACACTGCTTTTTATGTATTTATATTATGGGAACCAGTGCAGTGCAGTGATAAAGAGCATGGGACTGAGACTCAGGTGACCTGGGCTCTAGTCCCTGCTCAGCCATGGAGCCAACTGGGTGGCTTTGGGCCAGTCACAGACTCTCAGCCCAGCCTACCTCACAGGGTTGCTGTTGTGGGAAAAAGATTGAGAGCAGCAGGAGGAGAATGATGTAAGCTGTTTTATCATAGAAGAGTTGGAAGGGCCCATGAAAGCCATCGAGTCCAACCCCCTGCTGTTGCAGGACACCAAGTTACACCATTCCACCCAGGTGGCTGTTGAGCTTCTTTTTGAATGTCTCTAGTGTGGGAGTGCCCACCTCTCTAGGCAGTTGGTTCCACTGTTGTATTGCTTTGACTGTGAGGAAGCTTTTCCTGATGTCCAGCCTGAGTCTGGGTTGCCGCAACTTGAATTGATTATTCCGTGTCCTACATTCTGGCATTTGCAAGAAGAGATCTTGACCTTCCTCTTCGCATTCTTTAAAAGAAAAAAGGTGGGCTATAAATCAGATAAATAGCAATAATCTTTATATCCTGCCTTTTCTCCTTTCAAGGAACTCCAGGAGCTTACATAAGGCAGCTTACTCCACTCCCAGTCCCACGCTCTTAACCACTACACCACAGTATTAGCAGTGATCCTAGCTGAAGTCACTGGGGTGGTGGGGTCAGGCCAGGGCAGTGATTCCACCCCCACCTGTGAATGGTGCTGTGTGTGCATACAGCATGGCCCTGAGGGCCAAAGAGTTTCCCAGCCTTTGTGTAGACTGTGGGTGAAAGCTGAAGAGCTCATGTTCCTCCAGGAAGCAGCTCCTCCTCTGCCACTGTGTTTCTCAAGTTCAGCCCTGTGGATGACTAGGCAGAAAGGGCCTGGGCGTTGGTGTGTGGGAGCAGATAAAATCCTCTGGGTCCTATCGCTCCTGCTCCAAGGCTGTTTGCAAACTGAACATTGATGAATGTGGACAAGAAGGATAGAGCTAATTGAGTGAACTCTGCCTGTTTTTCTTTCTGAGAAATAGATACTTGGAGGTCAGTCAGCTTACAAAATGACTCACACTGTAAACAGGCTCTTGGCTTTCCTAGTTAAACTCCACCAAGGCTCTTTCGATTATGCGATGTATGACATGGAAGCTGTAGAAACCCAGCTCCAAGAGCGCAGCAAGATGATGAGTCATGCCCTGAAGGGCAGGGTCTGAGCTTGCGTGAAGGGAGCTCTGGGCTTTGAAATGTCACCAGTCCAACACTGAGCGAGATCAGATGAAACAACAAGCCACCCTGGGTTGTCAAGCAATGATGGGTTGTCATGTTGCCCAGGTGCTGCATGGTTTTGGCAGGGTGGCTTATTTTTCTTGAACGTGCTGCCCTAGGAACTCATAGTTTGTTCTACACTAGTTGATGTCTTTGGTGGATTGTCATGTGGTTCAAAATCAGCATTGTGACTGATCATGGATTGTCACAATCACCCGCAGATCTTCCTATCAAGTGTGGCAAAAAAATGGGATGCATTGTTGTGATCTTGCCAATGACTTCCTTCCACTCCTGCTAAAATGGCACTTTGGAAGGACCATTATACATTCCCCAGCTTTTTAAAGAAAGTACTTCAAAAATGTGTAATTGAGGTGATAATTTTATTTTGATTATTTTTGAGGGTCTGCCTGAAGAGTGCATTTAAGACTGACCAGTATCAGTATTGCTGAGACAAGGCTGCCTATTAGCTAATTTTCACAATTTCAAAAGACCAGGGGAGAAATAACAGTGAGAGAAAGGAGGGAACTAATAGTATAAAGCAGTAACTCTACAAATGGTCAGAAAGAAAGGGCAAGGGAGTAACTGTGCCAAAAGGGGATTAACAATATTGATTATAACAATCAGTAATATTGATTATGTGATTTTCCCATTTTTCAGTGTTGAACCAACACTTCTCAGTGTCCTTCACCCTTTCAGCACTTCCCTGAGCCTAAACCTACTTCAGAAAGGGGAAATATTAAGTCCCCTCTTTCACAACTCCTTTTTTAGAGTACTTACTCATGCAGTTGCTGTGGTTCACTGGCAGTTCTAAAAATGCAGAAATATATGCAGATGTAATGGCTGAGAAGTAAATGGAGGGGATATTTACTTGCTGCAGGTGCATAAATTTCCCCTTAATTTACTGAGGTGGCTGAATGAAGTCACTGAGGAGGTGGGTCTGGGGTTGGGTGGACTCTGGGGGATGGTGGAGGATAGGAGAGAACCTGCATGTATGTTGTCCATGGGGTCGCAAAGAGTCAGGCATGACTTTGTGACTCAACAACAACAACAACATTGTGTTCATTTTTCGGCGCCAGGCTAAGACCTTTTTATTTAAAACTTATTTTAAGTGTTAATTTATTATGTAGAATTTTAAAAAAAAATTAAGCCGAGATGCACTGGGTTTTAATACTTTTAGTGTATAATTTTTGTATGTTTTTGTTTTTGTTGTGAGCCGCCCCAAGGCTTTGTTGCGATGGGGGCGGCATAGAAATGTTTTAAATAAATAAATAAAACATTATATTTGCATATATTTCTGTCGCTACTTTAGAACCATCGGGGCACTGCAGCAGTAATATCTCTCCTTTTTGGAGCAGCTACAGATTTAAGGCAGTACCGGAAAGGGGGAGAGTAGTGAGTACTGTCTGTTCCAGTCAAGAGAAATACATCACTGAAGGGGAAATGATATTCCTCCACACTCGGTGTACCTCCTTTTGCTGCTTTTTCATCCTCCCTGTTAGTGCTTCTTCCCTGAAGACTCTGCGGTTGTGCACAGATCAGCCTGCCTGCAGTCTCACCTTGTCCATCTGTTGCCTGCTACCCTTTGCTACACTCTGTGGCAGCCGAAACAGACAGACCAATTGGCTAGGCAAGACTATGCATATCAGCTGTGTTCAGAGCGCACTCGCACACTCATGAAACACCAACCAAAGTAGTAATAATAATAAAAATGCAGGTGCATCTGTGTAATTTTGAGGGATTATATTTTCAGAGATTCTGAAAAAAGAAACAGCAAACAAAAAGGTGTCAGCTGGAGCAGGGAAGAAGAATCGAGAAGGGTTCTGCCATGAGAGGCATTGGAGTTTGTGCCAGATCCAGCTGGAGGACTGAGGGGGAAGAAGTGGGGAACAACTCACAGCAAGCTGATCATGTTTCAGGCATATCGTGGGTTGTTCTGTAAATGATGAACTGAATCAACTGTGTGAATTAGCTGACTGGTTTACAGGGTGGCTTAGCATGACATGCAAATGTGCCCAGTGCTAATACATTTCCTCCTGCTGCTGTTTCTCTGCATTTTTGGAAGTAGCAATAGTCACCCTCCTTATTCATTCCTCCCTCCCTCCCCCTCTCTCTTCAACGGAAAGTGTCATATCTGGACATGTCAGAGGGCAAAGAATTCAGTTTCATTTAGATATGGGAGGGTGCAGCCCAGGAGGATTAGGGCGAAGGATAAGGAAAGCGAAGCTTGAGCTCAGATAAAGTGGACTGAAATATGAGCCAGTGCGGATGCTTCTCGTGGCTTTTAGAGAGTTAACTGGAAAGACATCCAAAGAGGGATGATCACTGAAAATACCTCCTTCCTTTGTAACAGATGCCTTGAGTTACACGCCTGCCTAGGATTGGGCCTGATGGTGGGGGTGCCTTTCACTCTGACCTTTATAAGAGAAAAGCACTGTGTTCCAATTTTCAATAAATGTTTGAGAATCCTCCACAAGGGTTTGAAGTGTTCAGCTATAGCATTGGGGACAATACTTCCTGGGGAACAAGCAGGATCATCTCAAAGGCCTCTCCTTCCACCACTAATACTGACCTGACTAAAAAACAACAGAGCTAATGAACAGCCTCCAGCCCCTCTCTTGACTTAACTGCAGTGCTACAGAATATGTTGGGGTTTCACAAAGGTTTAATTTTAGGATTTAACTGGGCAAACATTGGATGCAACTCTGGGAGAAAAGGAAAAGGAAAGAAACACTTGCATTGCACTACAAATATTGCTAGATGTACATTTTTAAAGACATGTCTAAAAGGGAGCACAAATGTAACTATGCTGGAATTAAAATAGTTATGGGCTGGGAAAGATAAAGATTGCATTCCACTAACCTGGATGAACTGGAGGTGAAAGGAACTGCTTCTTGGATAGTGCAGAAATGGAAGGAATAAGTCAGCAGTTTCCCCATTATCAGCTCAGTATAATAGTGATTCCGGTGAGCCATGTCTTAAGATACCACTATATGTCTAGTCAGTCAGGGAGTTTGGTTTCTTGATTCTCCATTTTTGAAAACTTTTAACTACGTTGTTTTATGAATCTTCCACTATATTTCTATTCTGTTTTCCTAGTTGTTGTGCAGTGCCCAGAATGCTTCAGCTGTTGGGCAGTATAGAAGCAACAACATCAGTAGTAATCCTTTCTACCTGTCTGGGTTACTCGCTCTAGGTTGGATCCAGTATGCAGAGAGAGCCCTCTCCAGCCTGGTAACTCCACACATTTGCACTGCAAAGTCCCCGCAGCAGATCATGGGCTCGCTAATAAAGGGGTATTTTGCCAGACAGCAGGTAACTATTTCTGGTGCTTCTCTGACATACTGTTGCTTGTGAAGGGAGATGGAGTTTTCATATGCTTCTTTGATGTTATTTGCTGTATCTATAATGTATAGTACTAAGGGGAGGATTTTTAGTCAATTTAACAAAATATAATTGTTTCTCTGATGACTAAGAAGTGTTGAAAGACACTGGACCAGCTTTTCACAAATCCTCTTGTCTTTGTCTTAGACAAAGACTTTAGGGCAAGTCTACCCAATCTAGTGCCCTTCAGATATTTTGGAGTACGACTCCCATCAGCCCCAGGCACTCTGGCCCATGGCTGGGATGATGTGAGTTATAGCTGAAATATCTGCAGGGAGTTCAGTTGTGGAAGTCTGCAGAAGTGTTCTAGGCCTGGAACCCAATTTTACCCATGTGTTAAATGGGGGTGGGGAGATGCAAACACTCCCCTCACCCAAGCCAAGACAGTGAATTTTTCTCTCTGTTTTATCATAATTTCCACTTCCTGTTTTCTCTGCTGCTGCTGTTTTGGCACTGCCACATTTCTTGTACAGAACAGAGCGAGCTGGTAGCACTGCATAAGCCATTGGATTTGGCTACGTGTTGCTTTCAGTGAGGATCAGCAACCACTTGGCCCTCCTTCTGCACAAGGGGAGAGTTGACATACCCTCGTTGCTAACACTTCCTGTCTTGCCTGGCCTGTAGACACTTCATTGCCTGCCCTTTGCACGGAAGACAGGAACACCGACCCCTCTACTTTAGGAGTTTGCATGCCCTTCTCATGGAGGAATCACACAAAGGGTCCCTCTCTTGACAGACATGAAAAGGTCATGTTCTTGCACTATTCCACAGAGTGCCATCTGCCTGATCCTAATTGTGCTAATTTAAGGATAAACCATACCAAATTCAAGGAAACTTTTTCTTCCTAGTAAGCATATTTGGTAAGAATGTTTAGGGTTTCAGCCTTAAAGACCACATTTCTTCCAAGTGCATCCTTCTTTGTGCTATTCTCTCCCAAGTTTCTTACCACATTACATCCACCCCCCATAGGACAAGATTTCATTCAGTCAATCAGTCACTTTCCTATTGTATTCTGCTTTTCAAGTATTGATAGTTTCCCAGCTAGCTAATATATTAAAGTATCAATTAAAACAAAGAGTAAAACCATCAAAGAAAGTCTCAGAAGGACAAGAATTCTGATCCAATAAAATCCAAATTCTATGTATAGCTTGTTTTCTGGAAAGATCTAGTAATCCATTTTGTCTCCAGGTGTGCCTTACTTTTCCTGCATTTTGTTTTTTTCCATGTGCTTCCTCCATCAGAATCTCTCCCCAGAGAAAATATTCCACATCATTGTGGCACCTTGCTATGATAAAAAGCTAGAAACCTTGCGAGGAGACTTCTACACCCCGTTGTCTAATTCTCAAGATATTGATTGCGTTTTAACATCAGGTAGGCATTTTCCTTAGGAGATGTATTCCTTTTAGCACAGACAATGAAGGAAGCACAAACACTTGCCTGAAAAGGCTGGCCATTAGCTAGACTGGATCTAGGATGCTATGAAAGGGCACCAGATGGACAGTGGTTTATATTTGCTGCCACCGAGGGGGAGAGGCAGCTATGAGGGTGTCTTTCCTTGGTGCCCGAATAACTTGGCCAGTCTGGGGGCCTGTCCATGCCCCAGACTTGGCATGAGGAAGAGTGGCCTTTGCAAAGCATCCGGCCTTGGCTTACCCTGCCTCACGTCCCACTCTATATGTGATTAAAGCAGGGCCAGGTTTTACTTCTGCCACTATATTCAGGGGTCCTTTCAGCCTGGGAAGGATGGGAGTTGCAGTCCAACACATCTGCATAGCACCAGGTTGGGGAAGGCTGCTGGACCAGGGCAGGGATTCTGGATGGTCCTTGTGCGTTTATACAGCTGTATGAGGGACCGTGCTTCTGCCAAAATGTAAAGCTTGCGACAGACCTCCTCGCTACCGTGATGCAGGTTGCATAAAGTAGCAGCGTGTCTGATCGGGAGGGCACTACAGGGATTTACTCCATAGGGAAAAAGTGACTTTGGAGTGTTCTGGGCCTGGCACTTTGTTCAGTGGTGTTGGGTTGGTCGCTCTTTGGCTTTTCTCCCTGTGCTGCTCGGTCGCCTGTCTACTCTGCAAGCCACAGCAGTGTGACTCCATGCAAGCCAGAGGTCTCGCCAGTCAGCAAGCAGCAAACATGCCTGATTTCTCCAAAGCTAAAACATTCGGCTAATTAGCAGTGTGAGGACAAGGTGACTGTCGCGCTGACTGGAACAAACAGTCATAAAAGATACCTGGGGGAGAAGCAGATAAGAGCTGTATAAAGGTGACTCTGGTCTTGACTCCCAGCATGGCTTGAAAGCTGCTCTTCCCTGGCAATATGAATCGCTGTCTCTGACCACAGTGCTGGCTGGAGATGCTGTGAGTTACAGTCCAATGCACCTGGAAGGCACCACTTTGGGGAAGGGTGGACTAGATGGACGTTTGGTGGGGACCTTCTGATAGCCTTAATTAATGCAACAGGCCAGATATAAGATATAATATAAGCTTTTGTATGGAATGCCATGGCCCTCCAGAAGTTAGTCAACCCCCATCAACCAGCATGGTCAGGGATAATGGGAGTTGTAATCCAACATCTCCTGCCCTATCTTCCTGCCTTTATCGGACTCCCATCTCCTTTGGTGCCCTCTGTGTGTGCTTAAAATAACCCCCCCCCCCACTCCATTTACAGGTGAAGTCTTCCAAATAATGGAGCAGAGAAAAATCTCTCTGAAAGAAACAGCAGAGCAGGACTTTGATACCCTGTAAGTAGCTCTTATGAAATGGGTTTGCTTTGGTTGGGGATTTGACCAAAAGCAAACAACATTTTTTGCTCCTCTATCAGACAAAAGAGTTTAAAAAGAGCAAACATAGCCGTCATTATTATGATCATCAGTGACATTTGTTACACTATTCAGTGTTGCAGTTCCAGCAGAAAGACATATGGTAAAGTAAGTTTTTCTTCCACCTGTTATTCCATTGCAAAAATAAGTTGTGCATTGGCTGGTGCTGATCCAGACCTTGGGTGAAATTGGGCAAGTGGTCCTTGGTGACCTCTCAGCACTGACTACCCTTCTCCCCCACCTTCTGCTGTCCCTTAGGCTCCCCTGAGGCAGGTGAGTGGGCCTAAGCAGCAGTGAGATCTCTGCACCATCACTTGTGATTGCAAGAGGAAGCAGCTGCCATGGTGGACCCAGCAGGTGGCGGGTTCTTTCCTAGCCAGGCAAGGGGTAATCTCCACTGGGCCCCAGCAGATGCCCTAGTATGCCAGAGGTGGATGTTGGGCCTACATGACTACTTGAGACATGCATTTGCAATAAAGTCAAGGCTTGACAATCCCCTCTTCGAGTGAATACCTTGTAATGGCTCCTTTATGGGACATCATAGGGTATGAAAGAATTCCCACAAAAGAAATAAATACTTCTCCAGTGGGTTGACTATATTTGTTTGTTGCAGTAAGACTAAATAAGAATAATACATGTTAAGTCTTAAGGCATCATAAGGACAAGCTTAGTGTAGGATATTTTTTCATAGACTATATGCCGTTTCCTCCGATACATGAAATACTATTCTTGACACACACACACACACACACACACACATTCAGATTCAATAACTGTAAGCTGTTATAAATAAATATAAATAGACTGTAAATAAATAACAAATGCCTATGAAATGTAAGGCACAAAGTCCAACATTTCTAGGGAAAGCTATTATGTCGGGTCAGAGAATCATAGAACAGTAGAGTTGGAAGGAGCCAAAAAGGCCATCAGGTCGAACCCACAGCTCAGTTCAGGGCCCAGGATTATATACACTAGACAAGCACAGTGATAATTCACCACAGCAGTAACAGGCGGTAACTTAAGAGAAATTAAGTTTTTATGCTGATTTGACTCCTGTAGCAGGACAGGAAACCACGATCCTGAAATGAATGAATCCCCAAGCAAGGTAATCATAGTGAGTCATTTGGACAACAGAGCAGGAATCTGAAAACCCCTTTGTAGCTGCAGGTGATGTGCTTCTTCAGGCCAATGTCTTCTCCCATTCCCCTCTGTGGATAGATATCCTAGTGCAGCCCTCTGTCATTCTCACTGGAAGCTGTAGTCCAGCACATCTGGAGAGCGCCAGGTTGGAGGAAGTTATCCTAGTAGTGTCGTGTCGCTTGGCCCTGGACAGATGCTGGCTGAAAAAGCAAGAACTTGCAGTCCCCCATTCACAGTGGGTTAAGCAGTGAAATTTAATGTTTAGCATATACTAAATTTAAATATATTTATATTTAAATACATGTTTCATTAGGTTTTTGATTATGTTCCTTTAGGCTGCTATCCTATGCAGATGTCTGTAAACTTCAGAACTCAGAGGATTGCAGACATCCTGTGCAAGAAGGGACAAGTGTGGAAGCAAAGGTGGCCTCTGTGTGTTTCCTACCCTGCGAAGCAGCTGCATGGCTGCTTTCTAATGGTGGCACTTCAGAGTGGGAGGGAAGGAGACTGAGGCAACTCCAGGATATATCATAACTTGGCGATGCTGGACTCCTCCCACACCCTGGGATACCCACCATACCTCTGCTCCAAGGCTGCTTTGGTGACCTCAGGAGGAGCAGCTGGTGTGGTTCTTACCACCCCAGCTGTGATGTGGGGAAGGGAAATCTGAGTGCAGATACCTGACTCCAAGTTTGGAGCAATTTTCTGATCTCATTGCTGGTGATCTGAACTCTCCTCTGGCCCCTCAATTTGCCCCTCCTGTGTTTAAGTAATATATGGTATTTGTGGTAACAGGCACAAATTATGTGCCAACAAAGTGCTGTACAGGTTTTGAAAGTGCTCTTGCTCTTCACTTCCTTCCCTTATAAGGTTTGGTGGAGCAAAGGAGGCTGAATTAATCCGGCATGATGGAAGAAGCTCGGATGGTTACCTGGAGCACATATTTAAATACGCTGCCAAGGAGCTGTTTGACACTGAAGTAAAGGAGCTCACATACAAAGTATTAAAGTAAGTTTCCTATCAAGATTGTGTTCGTCTGAAACACTAGCTCAGGAAATAGTCCTTCTGACCACACTTTATGCTGCAGCACATGTAAGTTCTTGCCACATGTACACAAGTCAGGGAACCATATTGTGGGCTTATTTAAGGCTGTTTCATGGTCAAAGAAAAAAGCATTGGGAAAACATTTCCCCATTTTATGACTAGGTAAGCCTGAGGCTGGGACTAATCCCAGAGTCAGATCAGTGAATCCAGCTTAGACATATGCCTAAGAGACAACTTGCAGCGGGGAGCCTGGCTAGAAACTCAGGTCAAGTCACAAAAGTGCTTTGTGTGGTTAGTGGGTTTAGCAGAAAGTTAACACAAAAGCTTTCACTTTCTTAGCATGCATACAGAGCAAGACTTGCACCTCCCCTGCACACCTGACTGGTTTATACTGGTGTTCCTGCTGACTGGCTGAATGGCCCTCAGCTTCCTGCCACCAAGCGTGGTCTAAACAGACTTGCAAGAGGTGGGTGAGGTCACAGCAGGCGTCCTCCTGCAGGGCTGTGCTGGTGGCGAAGCGGCAGGCTCACTGCCACTGCTCTCTGAGCCAAGAGGTGCAGCTCCTCGTTCCTCTTGCGCTTGCCACTGTGTCAGCAATGCTTGCCACCATTGTGGGGCAAGGAGCAGGCCTGTGCCCAGCCAGCAACGCTGTTTGCCGCTCACCACCAGCTCGGTGGAGAGCCCCAGAAGATGATTGCCAGGTAAGGCAGCTAGTTTTAAGTGCAGTGCTCACACTCAAGCCTGGTCATGCACGTGTGCTCATGTACACACGTGTTTCTGTGTCTTCCTTTACCTGCTATGCATGCAGGCACACAGCCTCGTAGTGAGTGGTGTGGGGTCAGAGGACGTGACCACTCCCCTCTCTTGTCTGTCAGCTGGATAAAAGCCATCAAAACCAGCCAGGCAAACCATAAAGGAGTTGGCTGGCAGCAGTATTTCACAGCCTTGGTCCAATCTTGTGATGTATAACCAGCCTTATCCTTGAAGATTCAGGGTCAGTAGCAAACTGTGTACAAAATAGTTTGCAGAAAGCACACATTTGTTCCTAAGCCTTGCTTGTTCCCCTTCTCTAAATCTTTAGAACAAATCCTTTTGACTTAAAAGCCACTTGAGTTGTGGCGTTCTTTGAGTGCAAGAATTTCAGACCTGGGAAGCCAATTGAGAATGTGTTCAAGATGTTCTGCCTGTGTTGTATAATTGCAGTGAATAATAGAAATAAAGGCAGTTCCTTACTATGAACTACCAAGGCTATGAAGGCTTTCATGATCAGTCATTGTAACCCACTGTGAGCTCCTGTTTGGGAAGAAAAACCTGAATATTTTGTTTATCTTGGTATTTATAAGTTTGAACCAACAGTGTGGATTGTGCTGAGAAGACTACAGAAAAGCAGCACTGTGCCTGAAGCACTGAGCCCAGGTGCTTCCAGTGCGCCATGCCGCTGCACAGGGGCATTGCTCTGCATCGCACTGATGGATGGTGGGACCATGAAGGATTTCAGCCCTCAGAGGGCAGGCCTGCGCTAATTAAATGCATTCTATTAATCCAGGGGAACAATAGTGACTGTATTCCAAACTGGACGTGGCAAGTGGGGACTCTTCCCCACTTAAGAGCAGTTGAAAAGCTTGAGTGCAGCTGCTGAAAAGCTCAGCTGCTGATCACCAAGTGCAGAGGCTGACATGGGACAGGCAGCTTTTCCACCTATGTACCTGCCCTGGTCAGCTTCTCTCAGTGAAGGACCCAGCAAAGTATTCTCTGGTTGCCCTCATTCAGAATCTTCCTGTCTTTTCAGAAACAAAGATTTCCAGGAGGTCACACTAGAGAAGGACGGTGAGACAGTGTTGCGCTTCGCTGCAGCATATGGCTTCCGCAACATCCAAAACATGGTCCTGAAGTTGAAAAAGGGGAAATGTTCCTACCACTTCGTAGAGGTGTTAGCCTGTCCTGGAGGTAACGGCCTGAAAACTTTTTTTTCCTCTTTGTGCAGAAGGAAGGTTGTAGACAGTCTTCATGACTGGGTTTGCACAGTCATGGAGAGGTGAAAAGGCCGGGGTGACTGACTTCTCCTGTGCGTGCTGGGCGTGTGCTGGAGGATTTGCACCATCACCCTCCGCGGTGCAACGTGTTGCCTCGCGCAATCTGGCCAGGGTAGCTCGATGTAGGCAAGAAGCCACCCGGAACCCATAGGCTGTTCTAGGGTTCTGGGTGCCACCCTGGTTGGGTTTGTACGATGTGGTCAGTCACACAGCAGAGGGAAATTAGGCAGGTTACCCAGCACATGACCAGTGCTCATGGAGGAGAAATAAGCTTATTTCTTTTCCATGACTGTGTGACTCTGCTCCTGCTTCTGGTCCTTGAGGCTTTTGGATAGGTGACCAAGTTTCCCTGAGTCCTGTCGGGTGCCAAAACGGTGTCCTGTACATTCACCAGTGACATGTGACGCAGTGGTGCCTTGAGGGCTGCTCCCGCAAGCTAGGGCCCTTTGCAAGATACTTGGTCACCTCCCCTCTCCTCCCTGTGCCCGACAAACACAACCATCTGGATCCAGTGAACATGTTCAGTCTTTATCAATTGTTTTTGTTTTGCAGGGGACTTCTCTTCAGGGGTGGGGGAAGCGGGTTCCTAAAAATTCTTTCTTCTTCTGCAAATCTTGTTACGCCCTGCCCTGCCCTGCCCTGCCCTGCCCTTCCCCACAAGCATAACATCTCCCTCTTGTGTCTCAGTAACCCCATTTTATCTACACAGCCATCATGCGTTGCCACCTGCATCTACCATTAATGTATACGATAAAGTATTCCTTATTCCTTTTGCAGTCTGTTAGTTCTTAGCATATCGTGAACCCTGAGTTTCCACAATGTGACAACCTAACCATGGTCAGCCAGCTGTAGTGGGTTGTCATGTCATCTGCACCCAGCTCAATCTTTATAAAGTGGCTTAATTTTTGTGAATAATCTGCCACAAAAATCTACAGCTTGGTGTTGGGTTGTTTATATCCATTGTGTGTTATCACATTGTCCAAACCAAACTATGGGTTGCTGATATTCCATCCCAGTGCAAGTGTGCCTGAGCAGATAGATCTTTGTCTGCCTTGTCTTGTCAAATTCCTTGCATGGTTTAGCTGTGGAGTGAGAAGTAGATGCCCCAAAAGAAAGCAGGGGGCAATATCTCCCACTAGACAGTGCAATCCTTTCACTATTAAGTGTGGAATGGATACTTCTTAGTGTCACTTCTTTGTGGGTCTCCAAGTCCCGAAAGGTTGGCAGCCATCCTTGACTTTTCACAGCTCCTTTTTGGAGCTTTTACTACTGCAGATACTGCAATAATTGTTCCAGAAAGAATTTAAAAGGAGAGGGATGGAAAAGGGTAGTGCTTGGAGCAGGGAGGGGGCAGGCCAAGGAGTCAAGACTGGTTGATCCCACAGAGGCATCTGGGATACATTCCAGAGCTGGCTGGAGGACTGAGCAGGGAGGAAAGGGAGACAAGCACATTTTTTGTGAGCTGTGCCATAGTTTATTCTGCAAATAATAAGCTTGTACATTTTGGTAGTAAGAGGTCTTCACAAAAAATTACACATACCCCTTCTTGTACACATGTTATATGCAATTTCCACTACATAACTTTTATGCAGCTTTCCAAAATGTATGGATTTTTGTACACTGTTTCCCCTAAATTGTGCATTTCTTATTTGAGAACTGCTTTAAAACATTCAGAGAAAGCCAGAGAATAATCGTGCACACATTTTGGTTTAGGGAAGTGCATATTAAGCAGAAGTAGAGCACATGCACCAGGTGTATGGGGGAAAAAGGTGTATTCTTGCTCCCCACCTTACAGATGAGCTAGAAGCAGTTTATTGTCTGATGCAGCCAGTGTATTTCTCTCTCTAAGCAAATGAGTTCTCTCTCTTGCCTTTTCCTTCTAGGGTGCTTAAATGGGAAGGGTCAGGCTCAAACTGAAGATGGAAAACCAGACAAAGCCCTGCTCAGGCAGATGGAAGATGTATATGCTGCAGTGCCTGTCCGACTTCCTGAAACTGATGGGCATGTGCAGAAGCTTTACCAGGAATGGCTAGAAGGGATGGACTCTATGAAGGCCCATCAGTCATTACATACCAAGTACAGCATGGAAAAACCCGCTGCCACCAGTTTGGATATCAAATGGTGACCAAACAGATTTGAAGACTTGCATTAGGGTTGTTACACAAGCAGCAGTGGCAACTATTCTATGCAACTGGAGACAGGGACTGATTAAATTTGGAAACAGTACAAAGGATTGGAACTGCTTTGTTCCCCTCCTGGACTATCTAGAGTCAAGATGTTGCTTGATCGTTTCCATGTAACTTTGGAATGTCTTTATTTAATCAGAGCCTGACGTTGCGTGTGTGTATATCTATCTGAGGACCTTTAACAAGACAGCAAATCTCACCTTCCAGCAGAGGCACACTGGAATGCAAGAGGCACTGCCGAATCAGGATGTGTTGCGATCAGCTTTGATCCTGATGCGTAGGCACGTGAGTCCCTGTGCCAGGAATCCCAGGCTACAGATTTCTGTGTCTTTCAAAAAGGGAGTTGCATGAGGTTTGCGGTTAATCTAAGACTCTGCATTATTAGCAAACATTAATGGTGCAGTTCCACAGGGGTGCCTGTCCCCCTCTCAGTTCCTATGCAGAGCAGCAGGAGGACAGAGGGAAGAGTAGCCTCTGTGCTCCTCCCACTCTGGGAAGCAGGTAGGGAGCTGACTTGCAACACCTTTGAGGACTGGGTAGGAGCAGGGGCTGGAGCACTACCAGGATACACTGCCTCTTGGTGACGCTGGCCCCCCACACCCCGAAACCTTCCTCTGAGGGCACTTCTGCAACCTTGAAGAAGCTGCTAGGGTGGTTTCTTTCGTGCCAGCTGCAAGGTAAGGCGTGTGAGATCCAAGAATGGATCCCTGAGCCAGAGGGGCTGTCTGGGAATCTGAACAGTCCTTTGGCCTTCTAGGTGCTGCTGAGGGTGCTGTAGGATTGCTCTGTAAGATACCGAAACTGAACAAAATTAGTGGTAGAATTTCCTGCTGTATCATGCCCATTCTGCATTGCAATATTAAGGGGACAGGCCAGTGAGCCTGCATTGTCCAAAAGGCCAAACTAGACACTTTGCTGCGGCTGGTAATTTTAATTTGGTCTTAGATCTGCTGGGAAAGTCAGGATTGTATCTAGTTCTCTGTCATCATTGTCTGTTCTTCCTGACACTTCCAGGTTGTTGTTCTGTACTTGGGAATATTAGGGTCCCAGTCTTTACAGGAGGACAAGAAACATGGGTGGGGGTAGCCAGCCAGATTGAGGTCATGTCTTTGCAAGGTCTGTATGGCCATCAGCAGTTCTGGGTGGGGTCATTGAAGGCAGTGCTATGGATATTTAGAAAGGAAAAAGCCGTGTCCCTCTCAGCACCTCCCTGGCCAACCATGCTGGCAGTCACAGCACTGTTTTCCACTAAATACACACAGGATTATGCCTTAAGTGGTTAAAAAGCAAGGCAGTGACAGGTGCAGACAGGGCCATTCGGCTGAAGTTGCAGGAGTGAGCAAGACTAAGGAAGAGAAGCTGGAGTTAAAGCTGTCGAGACACAGAGGCAGCCACCAGAATATCTGAGGCTGAAGGTTGACCTGATCCAGGAAGTGAATGTACTTTTACTATACTTGACCCTGCCTAATGCCAAAGTCCTGTGGGCTATTTAGGTAAGAATGATTTACCAACTACCTCTGCTGGTGTTGGAGGCAAATCCACCCATTTCGTTTTGTTTCTCTGAAGCTGGATGTCGGTCAGAACCTGATTTCCATTGAGGCTAATGGGACTACATCTGTTATATTTCTAGTGGGACTTTTTGGTGTGAGGCTAAAGCAATCCTATACATGCATACCTGGGGGATTTCTCACTGAACTCAGTGGGACTCACTTCTGAATGGACATGTAGAGGACTGCTCCTTAAGTAGCAAAGAGCAATCATCCAACCAGAGCTAATATGCAACTTCCATCTGGACCCTTGGGACACGTAGGAGAGCCCTCACTGAAATGAAAAGAGCAGCACTGGCTGGATTATGCTCCCCCGCTGCAATTGTAAGCAATAGTGTTTCTTCAAGGATGCAATCCCCCCCCCCCACCACCACCACCACTAGAGTCTCATTGGGACACTCTGGTCAGAAATGAAATGAAGGTTACACCTTTGCTACATTTCTGTTCGTCCTTTTATTTTTGGGGTACTTTAATGTCTCCAAAGCCTCTTAAAGGTCTTTGCAACAGTGTTGGCCTCTCCATTGTTTCATTTTCCTATCAGAACAAGAAAATACGGGTAAGCTTTGTTTTAATTTCGCTGAGAACCGCACATTCTCGTGACATTTTTCAAGGAGCATTATACGAAAGAACAATAACGCAAGGCTTTCAAGGCTCTGATCTGTGCGTTGTACCAATTTCGGCCTCTAGTTAGAGGGCACTGGTGCTTCACTCCTTTCAAAGTGTCATTCTGGTTCCCATGAAAGTAAAGACATTTTCACCCAGGAGTGGCTAAATTGTGAAGGGTGTGAGAAATTGTGATATAATGAAAGGACTTTTGTCTTTGACATGGTGACATTTGGGCTGCATCTCTTTTAGCAGCATAGAAGGCATATATTCTGTGTCCCCTTGATACGGGTTTGCGCTCACTCTCTCTCTCTCTCTCTCTCTCTCTCTCTCTCACACACACACACACACACACACACACAC